AATGTGGCGGGGTGATGGAAAGCGGGAGAATGGGGTGGGGTTATAAGAAGCGGGAGAATGGGGCGGGGTGATGGAAAGCGGGAGAATGGGGCGGGGTAATGGAATGAGGGAGAATGGGGCGGGGTGATGGAAGAAAGGAGAATGGGGCGGGGTGATGGAATAAAGGAGAATGGGGCGGGGTGATGGAAAGCGGGAGAATGGGGCGGGGTGATGGAAGGAGGGAGAATGGGGCGGGGTGATGGAAAGCGGGAGAATGGGGCGGCCTGATGGAAAGCGGGAGAATGGGGCGGGGTGATGGAAAGCGAGAGAATGGGGCAGGGTGATGGAAGGAGGGAGAATGGGGAGGGGTGATGGAAAGCGGGGGAATGGGGCGGGATGATGGGAAGCGGAAGAATGGGGCGGGGTGATGGAAAGCGGGAGAATGGGGCGGGGTGATGGAAAGCGGGAGAATGGGGCGGGGAGATGGAAAGCGGGAGAATGGGGTGGGGTTATGGGAAGCAGCAGATTGGGGCGGGGTGATGGAAAGCGGGAGAATGGGGCGGGGTGATGGAAGGAGGGAGAATGGGGCGGGGTGATGGAAGGAGGGAGAATGGGGCGGAGTGATGGAAAGCGGGAGAATGGGGCGGGGTGATGGAAGGAGGGAGAATGGGGCGGGATGATGGAAAGCGGGAGAATGGGGCGGGGTGATGGAAATCGGGAGAATGGGGCGGGGTGGTGGAAAGCGGGAGAATGGGGCGGGGTGATAGAAGGAGGGAGAATGGGGCGGGGTGATAGAAAGCGGGAGAATGTGGTGGGGTGATGGAAAGCGGGAGAATGGGGCGGGGTGATGGAAGGAGGGAGAATGGGGCAGGGTGATGGAAGGAGGGAGAATGGGGCGGGGTGATGGAAAGCGGGAGAATGGGGCGGGGTGATGGAAAGCAGAAGAATGGGGCGGGGTGATGGAAAGCGGGAGAATGGGGCGAGGTGATGGAAGGAGGGAGAATGGGGAGGGGTGATGGAAAGCGGTGGAATAGGGCGGGATGATGGGAAACAGAAGAATGGGGCGGGGTGATGGAAAGCGGGAGAATGGGGCGGGGTGATGGAAAGCGGGAGAATGGGGCGGGGAGATGGAAAGCGGGAGAAAGGGGCGGGATGATGGAAAGCGGGAGAATGGGGCGCGCTGATGGAAAGCAGGAGAATGGGGCGGGGTGATGGAAGGAGGGAGAATGGGGCGGGGTGATGGAAGGAGAGAGAAGGGGGCGGGGTGATGGAAAGTGGGAAAATGTGGCGAGGTGATGGAAAGCGGGAGAATGGGGTGGGGTTATGGGAAGCAGGAGAATGGGGCTGGGTGATGGAAAGTGGGAGAATGGGGCGGGGTGATGGAATGAGGGAGAATGGGGCGGGGTGATGGAAGGAGGGAGAATTGGGCGGGGTGATGGAAAGCGGGAGAATGGGGCGGGGTGATGGAAGGAGGGAGAATGGGGCGGGGTGATGGAAAGCGGGAGAATGGGGCGGCGTGATAGAAAGCGGGAGAATGGGGAGGGGTGATGGAAAGCGAGAGAATGGGGCGGGGTGATTGAAGGAGGGAGAATGGGGAGGGGTGATGGAAAGCGGGGGAATGGGGCGACATGATGGGAAGCGGAAGAATGGGGCGGGGTGATGGAAAGCGGGAGAATGGGGCGGGGTGATGGAAAGCGGGAGAATGTGGCGGGGAGATGGAAAGCGGGAGAAAGGGGAGGGGTCATGGAAAGCGGGAGAATGGGGCGGGCTGATGGAAAGCGGGAGAATGGGGCGGGGTGATGGAAGGAGAGAGAATGGGGCGGGGTGATCGAAGGAGAGAGAAGGGGGCGGGGTGATGGAAAGTGGGAGAATGTGGCGGGGTGATGGAAAGCGGGAGAATGGGGTGGGGTTATGGGAAGCGGGAGAATGAGGCGGGGTGATGGAAAGCAAGAGAATGGGGCGGGGTGATGGAAGGAGGGAGAATGGGGCGGGGTGATGGAAGGAGGGATAATGGGGTGGGGTGATGGAAATCAGGAGAATAGGGCGGGTTGATGGAAAGAGGGAGAATGGAGAGGGGTGATGAAAAGAGGGAGAATTGGGCGGGGTGATGGAAAGCGGGAGAATGGAGCGGGGTCATGGAAAGCGGGAGAATGGGGCGGGGTGATGGAAAGCGGGAGAATGGGGCGGGGTGATAGAAAGCCGGAGAATGGGGCGGGGTGATGGAAAGCAGGAGAATGGGGCGGGGTGATGGAAAGCAAGAAAATGGGGCGGGGTGATGGAAAGCGGGAGAATGGGACAGGGTGATGGAAAGCGGGAGAATGGGGCGGGGTGATGGATAGAGGGAGAATGGGGCGGGGTGATGGAAAGAGGGAGAATGGGGCGGGGTGATGCAAAGCGGGAGAACGGGGCGGGGTGATGGAAAGCGGGAGAACGGGGCGAGGTGATGGAAAGCGGGAGAATGGGGCGGGGTGATGGAAAGCGGGAGAACGGGGCGGGATGATGGAAAGCGTGAAAATGGGGCGGGGTGAAAGAAAGCGGGAAAACGGGGCAGGGTGATGGAAAGCGGGAGAATGGGGCGGGGTGATGGAAAGCGTGAGAATGAGGCGGGGTGATGGAAACAGGGAGAATGGGGCGGGGTGATGGAAACAGGGAGAATGGGGGGGGGTGATGGAAAGAGGGGTAATGGGGCGGGGTCATGGAAAGAGGGAGAATGGGGAGGGGTGATGGAAAGAGGGTGAATGGTGTGGGGTGATGGAAAGAGGGAGAATGGGGAGGGGTGATGGTGGGCGGGGTGATGGAAAGCGGGAGAATGGAGCGGGGTGATGGAAACCGGAGAATGGGGCGGGGTGATGGAAAACAAGAGAATGGGGCGGGGTGATGGAAAGAGGGTGAATGGGGCGGGGTGATGGAAAGCGGGAGAATGGGGCGGGGTGATGGAAAGCGGGAGAATGGGGCGGGGTGATGGAAAGAGGGAGAATGGGGCGGGGTGATGGAAAGCGGAAGAATGGGGCGGGGTAATGGAAAAAGGGAGAATGGGGCAAGGTGATGGAAAGCGGGAGAATGGGGCCGGGTGATGGAAAGAGGGAGAATGGAGAGGGGTGATGGAAAGAGGGAGAATTGGGCGGGGTGATGGAAAGCGGGAGAACGGAGCGGGGTGATGGACAGTGGGAGAATGGGGCGAGGTGATGGAAAGCGGGAGAATGGGGCGGGTTGATGGAAGAGGGAGAATGGGGCGGGGTGATGGAAAGAGGGAGAATGGGGAGGGGTGATGGAAAACGGGAGAACGGGGCGGGGTGATGGAAAGAGGGAGAATGGGGCGGGGTGATGGAAAGAGGGTGAAAGGGGCGGGGTGATGGAAAGAGGGAGAATGGGGAGGGGTGATGGAAAGAGGGAGAATTGGGCGGGGTGATGGAAAGCAAGAGAATGGAGCGAGGTGATGGAAAGCAGGAGAATGGGGCGGGGTGATGGAAAGCGGGAGAATGGGGCAAGGTGATGGAAAGAGGGAGAATGGGGCGGGGTGATGGAAAGTGGGAGAATGGGGCGGGGTGATGGAAGGAGGCAGAATGGGGCGGGGTGATGGAAGGAGGGAGAATGGGGCAGGGTGATAGAAAGCAGGAGTTTGGGGCGGGGTGATGGAAAGTAGGAGAATGGGGCGGGGTGATGGAAAGCGGGAGAATGGGGCGGGGTGATGGAAAGCGGGAGATTGGGGCGGGGTGATAGAAAGCGGGAGAATGGGGCGGGGTGATGGAAAGCGAGAGAATGGGGCGGGGTGATGGAAGGAGGGAGAATGGGGACGGGTGATAGAAAGCGGGAGAATGGGGCGGGGTGATGGAAATCGGGAGAATGGGACGGGGTGATGGAAAGCGGGAGAATGGGGCGGGGTGATGGAAAGCGGGTGAATGGGGCAGGGTGATGGAAAGCGGGAGAATGGGGCGGGGTGATGGAAAGCGGGTGAATGGGGCGGGGTGATGGAAATCGGGAGAATGGGGCGGGGTGATGGAAAGCGGGAGAATGGGGCGGGGTGATGGAAGGAGGGAGAATGGGGCAGGGTGATGGAAAGCAAGAGAATGGGGCGGGGTGATGGAAAGCGGGAGAATGGGGCGGGGTGATGGAAAGCGGGAGAATGGGGCGGGGTGATGGAAAGCGGGAGATTGGGGCGGGGTGATGGAAAGCGGGAGAACGGGGCGGGGTGTTGGAAAGCGGGAGAATGGGGCGGGGTGATGAAAAGCGGGAGGATGGGGCGGGGTGATGGAAAGCGGGAGAACGGGGCGGGGTGATGGAAAGCGGGAGAATGGGGCGGGTTATGGAATGCGGGTGAATTGGGCGGGGTGATTGAAAGCGGGAGAATGGGGCGGGGTGATGGAAAGCAGAAGAATGGGGCGAGGTGATGGAAAGCGGGAGAATGGGGCGAGGTGATGGAAAGCGGGAGAATGGGGCGGGTGATGGAAAGCGGGAGAATGGGGCGGGGTGATGGAAGGAGGGAGAATGGGGCGGGGTGATGGAAAGCGGGAGAATGGGGCGAGGTGATGGAAAGCGGGAGAATGGGGCGGGGTGTTGGAAAGCGGGAGAATGGGGCGGGGTGATGAAAAGCGGGAGAATGGGGCGGGGTGATGGAAAGCGGGAGAATGGGGCGGGGTGATGGAAAGCGGGAGAATGGGGCGGGTGATGGAAAGCGGGTGAATGGGGCGGGGTGATGGAAAGCGGGAGAATGGGGCGGGGTGATGGAAAGCAGAAGAATGGGGCGGGGTGATGGAAAGCGGGAGAATGGGGCGAGGTGATGGAAAGCAGGAGAATGGGGCGGGGTGATGGAAGGAGGTAGAATGAGGCGGGGTGATGGAAGGAGGGAGAATGGGGCAGGGTGATGGAAAGCGGGAGAATGGGGCGTGGTGATGGAAAGCGGGAGAATGGGGTGGGCTGATGGAAAGCGGGAGAATGGGGCAGGGTGATGGAAAGCGGGAGAATGGGGCGGGGTGATGGAAAGCGGGAGAATGGGGCGGGGTGATGGAAAGTGGGAGAATGGGGCGGGTTGATGGAAAGCCGGAGAAAGGGGCGGGGTGATGGAAGGAGGGAGAATGGGGCGGGGTGATGGAAGGAGGGAGAATGGGGCGGGGTGATGGAAGGAGGGAGAATGGGGCGGGGTGATGGAAGGAGGGAGAATGGGGCGGGGTGATGGAAAGCGGGAGAATGGGGCGGGGTGATGGAAAGCGGGAGAATGGGGCGGGGTGATGGAAAGCGGGAGAATAGGGCGGGTTGATGGAAAGCGGGAGAATGGGGCGGGGTGATGGAAAGCGGGAGAATGGGGCGGGGTGATGGAAAGCAGGAGAATGGGGTGGGGTGATTGAAAGCAAGAGATTGGGGCAGGGTGATGGAAAGCGGGAGAATTGGGGGGGGGGTGATGGAAAGCGGGAGAATGGGGCGGGGTGATGAAAAGCGGGAGAATAGGGCGGGGTAATGGAAGGAGAGAGAATATGGCGGGGTGATGGAAAGAGGGAGAATAGGGAGGGATGATGGAAAGAGGGAGAATGGGGCAGGGTGATGAAAAGCGGGAGAATGGGGCGGGGTGATGGAAAGAGGGAGAATGGGGCGGGGTGATGGAAAGCGGGAGAATGGGGTGGGGTGACAGAAAGCGGGAGAATGGGGCGGGGTGATGGAAAGCGGGAGAATGGGGCGGGGTGATGGAAGGAGGGAGAATGGGGCGGGATGGAAGGAGGGAGAATGGGGGGGGGGTGATGGAAAGCGGGAGAATAGGGCGGGGTGATGGAAAGGGGGAAAAGGGGCGGGGTGATGGAAAGCGGGAGAATCAGGCGGGGTGATGGAAAGCGAGAGAATGGGGCGGGGTGATGGACAGCAGGAGAATGGGGCAGGGTGATGTAAAGCGGGAGAATGGGGCAGGGTGATCGAAAGCAAGAGAATGGGGCGGAGAGATGGAAGGAGAGAGAATAGGGCGAGGTGATGGACGGAGGGAGAATGGGGCGGGGTGATAGAAGGAGGGAGAACGGGGCGGGGTGATGGAAAGCGGGAGAATGGGGCGGGTTGATGGAATGCGGGAGAATGGGATGGAAAGCGGGAGAATGGAGCGGGGTGATGGAAAGCAGGAGAATGGGGCGGGGTGATGGAAAGCGGGAGAATGGGGCGGGGTGATGGAAGAGGGAGAATGGGGCGGGCTGATGGAAAGCGGGAGAATAGGGCGGGGTGATGGAAAGCGGGAGAATGGGGCGGGGTGATGGAAAGCAGGAGAATAGGGCGGGGTGATGGAAGGAGGGAGAATTGGGCGGGGTGATGGAAAGCGGGAGAATGGGGCGGGGTGATGGAAAGAGGGAGAAAGGGGCGGGGTGATGGAAAGCGGGTGAATGGGGCTGGGTGATGGAAAGCGGGAGAATGGGGCGGGGTGATGGAAAGCGGGAGAATGGGGCGTGGTGATGGAAAGCGGGAGAATGGGGCGGGGTGATGAAAAGCGGGAGAATGGGGCGGGGTGTTTGAAAGCGGGAGAATGGGGCGTGGTGATGGAAGGAGGGATGATGGGGCGGGGTGATGGAAGGAGGGATGATGGGGCGGAATGATGGAAAGCGGGAGAATGGGGAAGGGTGATGGAAAGCAGGAGAATGGGGTGGGGTGATGGAAAGCGGGAGAATGGGGCGGGTTGATGGAAATCGGGAGAAAGGGCCGGGTTGATGGAAGGAGGGAGAATGGGGCGGGGTGATGGTAGGAGGGAGAATGGGGCAGGGTGATGGAAAGCGGGAGAATGGGGCGGGGTGATGGAAGGAGGGAGAATGGGGCGGGGTGATGGAAAGCGGGAGAATGGGGCGGGGTGATGGAAAGCGGGAGAATGGGGCGGGGTGATGGAAATCGGGAGAACGGGGTGGGGTGATGGAAGGCGAGAGAATGGGCCGTGGTGATGGAAAGCCGGAGAATGGGGCGGAGTGATGGAAAGCGGGAGAATGGGGCGGGGTGATGGAAAGCGGGAGAATGGGGCGGGGTGATGGAAAGCGGGAGAATGGGGCGGGGTGATGGAAAGCGGGAGAATTGGGTAGGGTGATGGAATGGGGTGGGGTGATGGAAAGCGGGAGAATGGGGCGGGGTGATGGAAAGCGGGAGAATGGGGCGGGGTGATGGAAGGAGGGAGAATGGGGCGGGGTGATGGAAAGCGGGAGAATGGGGCGGTGTGATGGAAAGCGGGAGAATTGGTGGGGTGATGGAAAGCGGGAGAACGGGGTGGGGAGATGAGAAGCGGGAGAATGGGGCGGTGTGATGGAAGGAGTGATGATGGGGCGGGGTGATGGAAGGAGGGATGATGGGGCGGGGTGATGGAAGGAGGGATGATAGGGCGGGGTGATGGAAAGCGGGAGAAAAGGGAAGGGTGATGGAAAGCGCGAGAATGGGGTGGGGAGTGGGAAGGAGGGAGAATGGGGCGGGGTGATGGAAGGAGGGAGAATGGGGTTGGGTGATGGAAAGCGGGAGAATGGGGCGGGGTGTTGGAAAGCGGGAGAATGGGTTGGGGCGATGGAAAGCGGGAGAATGGGGCGGGGTGATGGAAAGCGGGAGAATGGGGCGGGGTGATGGAAAGCGGGAGAATGGGGCGGGGTGTTGGAAAGCGGGAGAATGGGTTGGGGTGATGGAATGCGGGAGAATGGGGCGAAGTGATAGAAGGAGGGAGAATTGGAGAATGGGGCGGGGTAATGGAAAGCGGGAGAGGGGGGGGGGGGTGGAAAGCGGGAGAATGGGGCGAGTTGATGGAAAGCGGGAGAAAGGGGCGGGTTGATGGAAGGAGGGAGAATGGGGCGGCGTGATGGAAATCGGGAGAATGGGGCGGGCTGATTGAAAGCAGGTGAATGGGGCGGGGTGATGGAAAGCGGGAGAATGGGGCGGGTTGATGGAAAGCGGGAGAATGGGGTGGGGTGATGGAAAGCGGGAGAATGGGGCGGGGTGATTGAAAACAGGAGATTGGGGCAAGGTGATGGAAAATGGGAGAATGGGGCGGGGTGATGGAAAGCGGGAGAATGGGGGCGGGGTGATGAAAAGCGGGAGAATAGGGCGGGGTGATGGAAGGAGGGAGAATGGGGCGGGGTGATGGAAAGCGGGAGAATCGGGCGGGGTGATGGAAAGCGGGAGAATAGGGCGGGGTGATGGAAAGAGGGAGAATAGGGAGGGATGATGGAAAGAGGGAGAATGGGGCAGGGTGATGGAAAGTAGGAGAATGGGGTGGGGTGATGGAAAGAGGCAGAATGGTACGAGGTGATGGAAAGCGGGAGAATGAGGTGGGGTGATGGAAAGCGGGAGAATGGGGCGGGGTGATGGAAAGCGGGAGAATGGGGCGGGGTGATGGATGGAGGGAGAATGGGGCGGGGTGATGGAAAGCGGGAGAATGGGGCGGGGTGATGGAAAGCGGGAGAATGGGGCGGGGTGATGGAAAGCAGGAGAATGGGGCAAGGTGATGTAAAGCGGGAGAATGGGGCAGGGTGATCGAAAGCAAGATAATGGGGCGGAGAGATGGAAGGAGAGAGAAAAGGGCGGGGTGATGGACGGAGGGAGAATGGGGCGGGATGATAGACGGAGGGAGAATGGGGCGGGGTGATGGAAAGCGGGAGAATGGGGCGGGGTGATGGAATGCAGGAGAATGGGGCGGGGTGATGGAAAGCGGGAGACTGGGGCGGGGTGATGGAAGGAGGGAGAATGGGGCGAGGTGATGGAAAGCGGGAGAATGGGGCGGGGTGATGGAAAGCGGGAGAATGGGGCGGGGTGATGGAAAGCGGGAGAATGGGGCGAGGTGATGGAAAGCGGGAGAATGGGGCGGGGTGATGGAAAGCGGGAGAATGCGGCGGGGTGATGGAAAGCGGGAGAATGGGGCGGTGTGATGGAATGCGGGAGACAAGGATGGAAAGCGGTAGAATGGGGCGGGGTGATGCAAAAGCAGGAGAATGGGGCGGGGTGATGGAAAGCGGGAGACTGGGGCGAGATGATGGAAGGAGGAAGAATGGGGCGGGGTGATGGAAAGTGGGAGAATGGGGCGGGGTGATGGAAAGCGGGAGAATGGGGCGGGGTGACGGAAAGCGGGAGAATGGGGCGGGGTGATGGAAAGCGTGAGAATGAGGCGGGGTGATGGAAAGCGGGAGAATGGGGCGGGGTGATGGAAAGCGGGAGAATGGGGCGGGGTGATGGAAAGAGGGAGAATGGGGCGGGTTAATGGAAAGTGGGAGAATGGGGTGGGGTGACGGAAAGCGGGAGAATGGGGAGGGGTGATGGAAAGCGGGAGAATGGGGTGGGGTGATGGAAGGAGGGAGAATGGGGCGGGATGGAAGGAGGGAGAATGGGGGAGGGCTGATGGAAAGCGGGAGAATAGGGCGGGGTGATGGAAAGGTGGAGAATGGGGCGGGCTGATGGAAAGCGGGAGAATCCGGAGGGGTGATGGAAAGCGGGAGAATGGGGCGGGGTGATGGAAAGCAGGAGAATGGGGCAGGGTGATGTAATGCGGGAGAATGGGGCGGGGTGATCGAAAGTAAGAGAATGGGGCGGAGAGATGGAAGGAGAGAGAATAGGGCGGTGTGATGGACGGAAGGAGAATGGGGCGGGGGTGATAGAAGGAGGGAGAATGGGGCGGGATGATGGAAAGCGGGAGAATGGGGCGGGTTGATGGAAAGCGGGAGAATGGGGCGGGGTGATGGAAAGCGGGAGAATGGGGCGGGGTGATGGAAAGCGGGAGAATGGGGCGGGGTGATGGAAAGCGGGAGCATGTGGCGGGGTGATTGAAAGCGGGAGAATGGGGCGGGGTGATGGAAATAGGGCGAATGGGGCGGGGTGGTGGAAGGAGGGAGAATGGGGCGGGGTGATGGAAAGCGGGATAACGGGGCGGGGTGATGGAAAGCGGGAGAATGGGGCGGGGTGTTTGAAAGTGGGAGAATGGGGCGGGGTGATGGAAGGAGGGATGATGGGGCGGGGTGATGGAAGGAGGGATGATGGGGCAGGGTGATGGAAAGCGGGAGAATGGGGAAGGGTGATGGAAAGCGCGAGAATGGGGCGGGGAGTGGGAAGGAGGGAGAATGGGCCGGGATGATGGAAGGAGGGAGAATGGGGCGGGGTGATGGAAAGCTGGAGAATGGGGCGGGGTGATGCAAAGCGGGAGAACGGGGCGGGGTGATGGAAAGGGGGATAATGGGTCGGGGTGATGGAATGCGGGAGAATGGGGCGGGGTGATAGAGGGAGGGAGAATGGGGCGGGGCACTGGATGGTGGGAGAATGAGGCGGGGTGATGGAAAGCGGGAGAATGGGGCGGGATGATGGAAAGCGGGAGAATGGGGCGGGGTGATGGAAAGCGGGAGAATGGGGCGGGGTGATAGAAGGAGGGAAAATGGGGCGGGGCACTGGATGGCGGGAGAATGGGGCAGGGTGATGGAAAGCGGGAGAACGGGGCGGGATGATGGAAAGCGGGAGAATGGGGCGGGGTGATGGAAAGGGGGAGAATGGGGCGGGGTGATATAAATCAGGAGAATCGGGCGGGGTGATGGAAAGCGGGAGAATGGGGCAGGGTGATGGAAAGTAGGAGAATGGGTGGGGTGATGGAAAGCGGAAGAGGGTGATGGAAAGCGGGAGAATGGGGCGGGCTGATGGAAAGCGAGAGATTGGGACGGGGTGATGGAAAGCGGGAGAATGGGGTGGGCTGATGGAAAGCGAGAGACTGGGACGGGGTGATGGAAAGCGGGAGAATGGGGCGGGGTGATAGAAGGAGGGAGAATGGGGCGGGGCACTGGATGGCGGGAGAATGGGGCGGGGTGATTGAAAGCGGGAGAATGGGGCGGGGTGATGGAAAGCGAGAGAATGGGGCAGGGTGATGGAAAGCGGTTGAATGGGGCGGGGTGATGGAAGGAGGGAGAACGGGGTGAGGTGATGGAAGGAGTGAGAATGGGGTGGGGCGATGGAAAGCGGGAGAATGGGGCGGGGTGATGGAAAGCGGGAGAATGGGGCGGGGTGGTGGAACGCAGGAGAATGGGGCAGGGTGATGGAAGGAGGGAGAATGGGGCGGGTTGATGGAAGGAGGGAGAATGGGGCGGGGTGATGGAAGGAGGGAGAATGGGGCGGGGTGATGGAAAGCAAGAGAATGGGGCTGGATGATGGAAAGCGGGAGAATGGGGCGGGGTGATGGAAAGCGGGAGAATGGGGCGGGGTGATGGAAAGCTGGAGAATGGGGCGGGGTGATGGAAAGCGGGAGAATGGGGTTGATGGAAAGTGGGAGAATGGGGCTAGATGATGGAAAGTGGGAGAATGGAGCTAGGTGATGGAAAGCGGGAGAATGGGGCGGGGTGATGGAAAGCGGGAGAATGGGGCGGGGTGATGGAAAGCGGGAGAATGGGGCGGGGTGATGGAAAGCGGGAGAATGGGGCGGGGTGATGGAAAGCGGGAGAATGGGGCGGGGTGATGGAAAGAGGGAGAATGGGGCGGGTTAATGGAAAGTGGGAGAATGGGGTGGGGTGACGGAAAGCGGGAGAATGGGGAGGGGTGATGGAAAGCGGGAGAATGGGGTGGGGTGATGGAAGGAGGGAGAATGGGGCGGGATGGAAGGAGGGAGAATGGGGGAGGGCTGATGGAGAGCGGGAGAATAGGGCAGGGTGATGGAAAGGTGGAGAATGGGGCGGGCTGATGGAAAGCGGGAGAATCCGGAGGGGTGATGGAAAGCGGGAGAATGGGGCGGGGTGATGGAAAGCAGGAGAATGGGGCAGGGTGATGTAATGCGGGAGAATGGGGCGGGGTGATCGAAAGTAAGAGAATGGGGCGGAGAGATGGAAGGAGAGAGAATAGGGCGGTGTGATGGACGGAAGGAGAATGGGGCGGGGGTGATAGAAGGAGGGAGAATGGGGCGGGATGATGGAAAGCGGGAGAATGGGGCGGGTTGATGGAAAGCGGGAGAATGGGGCGGGGTGATGGAAAGCGGGAGAATGGGGCGGGGTGATGGAAAGCGGGAGAATGGGGCGGGGTGATGGAAAGCGGGAGAATGTGGCGGGGTGATTGAAAGCGGGAGAATGGGCCGGGGTGATGGAAATAGGGCGAATGGGGCGGGGTGATGGAAGGAGGGAGAATGGGGCGGGGTGATGGAAAGCGGGATAACGGGGCGGGGTGATGGAAAGCGGGAGAATGGGGCGGGGTGTTTGAAAGTGGGAGAATGGGGCGGGGTGATGGAAGGAGGGATGATGGGGCGGGGTGATGGAAGGAGGGATGATGGGGCGGGGTGATGGAAAGCGGGAGAATGGGGAAGGGTGATGGAAAGCGCGAGAATGGGGCGGGGAGTGGGAAGGAGGGAGAATGGGCCGGGATGATGGAAGGAGGGAGAATGGGGCGGGGTGATGGAAAGCTGGAGAATGGGGCGGGGTGATGCAAAGCGGGAGAACGGGGCGGGGTGATGGAAAGGGGGATAATGGGTCGGGGTGATGGAATGCGGGAGAATGGGGCGGGGTGATAGAGGGAGGGAGAATGGGGCGGGGCACTGGATGGTGGGAGAATGAGGCGGGGTGATGGAAGCGGGAGAATGGGGCGGGATGATGGAAAGCGAGAGAATGGGGCGGGGTGATGGAAAGCGGGAGAATGGGGCGGGGTGATAGAAGGAGGGAAAATGGGGCGGGGCACTGGATGGCGGGAGAATGGGGCAGGGTGATGGAAAGCGGGAGAATGGGGCGGGATGATGGAAAGCGGGAGAATGGGGCGGGGTGATGGAAAGGGGGAGAATGGGGCGGGGTGATATAAATCAGGAGAATCGGGCGGGGTGATGGAAAGCGGGAGAATGGGGCAGGGTGATGGAAAGTAGGAGAATGGGTGGGGTGATGGAAAGCGGAAGAGGGTGATGGAAAGCGGGAGAATGGGGCGGGCTGATGGAAAGCGAGAGATTGGGACGGGGTGATGGAAAGCGGGAGAATGGGGTGGGCTGATGGAAAGCGAGAGACTGGGACGGGGTGATGGAAAGCGGGAGAATGGGGCGGGGTGATAGAAGGAGGGAGAATGGGGCGGGGCACTGGATGGCGGAAGAATGGGGCGGGGTGATTGAAAGCGGGAGAATGGGGCGGGGTGATGGAAAGCGAGAGAATGGGGCAGGGTGATGGAAAGCGGTTGAATGGGGCGGGGTGGTGGAACGCAGGAGAATGGGGCAGGGTGATGGAAGGAGGGAGAATGGGGCGGGTTGATGGAAGGAGGGAGAATGGGGCGGGGTGATGGAAGGAGGGAGAATGGGGCGGGGTGATGGAAAGCAAGAGAATGGGGCTGGATGATGGAAAGCGGGAGAATGGGGCGGGGTGATGGAAAGCACGAGAATGGGGCGGGGTGATGAAAAGCGGGAAAAAAGGGCGGGGTGATGGAAGGAGGGAGAATGGGGCGGGGTGATGGAAAGCGGGAGAATCGGGTGGGCTAATGGAAAGCGGGAGAATAGGGCGGGGTGATGGAAATAGGGAGAATAGGGAGGGATGATGGAAAGAGGGAGAATGGGGCGGGGTGATGGAAAGCGGAAGAATGGGGCGGGGTGATGGAAAGAGGAAGAATGGGGCGGGGTGATGGAAAGCAGGAGAATGGGGCGGGGTGATGGAAAGCGGGAGAATGGGGCGGGGTGATGGAAAGCGGGAGAATGGGGCGGGTTGATGGAAAGCGGGAGAATGGGGCGGTGTGATGGAAAGAGGGAGAATGGGGCAGGGTGATGGAAAGCGGGAGAATGGGGCGGGGTGATGGAAAGCGGGAGAATGGGGCGGGGTGATGGAAAGCGGGAGAATGGGGCGGGGTGATGGAAAGAGGGAGAATGGGGCGGGGTGATGGAAAGCGGGAGAATGGGGCGGGGTGATGGAAAGCGGGAGAATGGGGCGGGGTTATGGAATGCGGGAGACAAGGATGGAAAGCAGGAGAATGGGGCGGGGTGATGGAAAGCGGGAGAATGGGGCGGGGTGATGGAAGGAGGGAGAATGGGGCGGGGTGATGGAAAGCGAGAGAATGGGGCGGGGTGATGGAATGCGGGAGAATGGGGCGGGGTGTTTGAAAGCGGGAGAATGGGGCCGGTTGATGGAAGGAGGGATGATGGGGCGGGGTGATGGAAGGAGGGATGATGGGGCGGGGTGATGGAAAGCGGGAGAAAGGGGAAGGGTGATGGAAAGCGCGAGAATGGGGCGGGGTGTGGGAAGGAGGGAGAATGGGCCGGGGTGATGGAAAGCTGGAGAATGGGGCAGGGTGATGGAAAGCGGGAGAATGGGGCGGGGTGACGGAAAGCGGGAGAATGGGTCGGGATGATGGAATGCGGGAGAATGGGGCGGGGTGATAGAAGGAGGGAGAATTGGAGAATGGGGCAGGGTGATGGAAAGCGGGAGAATGGGGCGGGGTGATGGAAGGGGGGAGAATGGGGCGGGGTGATGGAAAGTGGGAGAATGGGGCGGGTTGATGGAAAGCCGGAGAAAGGGGCGGGGTGATGGAAGGAGGGAGAATGGGGCGGGGTGATGGAAGGAGGGAGAATGGGGCGGGGTGATGGAAGGAGGGAGAATGGGGCGGGGTGATGGAAGGAGGGAGAATGGGGCGAGGTGATGGAAAGCGGGAGAATGGGGCGGGGTGATGGAAAGCGGGAGAATGGGGCGGGGTGATGGAAAGCGGGAGAGTAGGGCGGGTTGATGGAAAGCGGGAGAATGGGGCGGGGTGATGGAAAGCGGGAGAATGGGGCGGGGTGATGGAAAGCAGGAGAATGGGGTGGGGTGATTGAAAGCAAGAGATTGGGGCAGGGTGATGGAAAGCGGGAGAATTGGGGTGGGGGTGATGGAAAGCGGGAGAATGGGGCGGGGTGATGAAAAGCGGGAGAATAGGGCGGGGTAATGGAAGGAGAGAGAATATGGCGGGGTGATGGAAAGAGGGAGAATAGGGAGGGATGATGGAAAGAGGGAGAATGGGGCAGGGTGATGAAAAGCGGGAGAATGGGGCGGGGTGATGGAAAGAGGGAGAATGGGGCGGGGTGATGGAAAGCGGGAGAATGGGGTGGGGTGACAGAAAGCGGGAGAATGGGGCGGGGTGATGGAAAGCGGGAGAATGGGGCGGGGTGATGGAAGGAGGGAGAATGGGGCGGGATGGAAGGAGGGAGAATGGGGGGGGGGTGATGGAAAGCGGGAGAATAGGGCGGGGTGATGGAAAGGGGGAAAAGGGGCGGGGTGATGGAAAGCGGGAGAATCAGGCGGGGTGATGGAAAGCGAGAGAATGGGGCGGGGTGATGGACAGCAGGAGAATGGGGCAGGGTGATGTAAAGCGGGAGAATGGGGCAGGGTGATCGAAAGCAAGAGAATGGGGCGGAGAGATGGAAGGAGAGAGAATAGGGTGAGGTGATGGACGGAGGGAGAATGGGGCGGGGTGATAGAAGGAGGGAGAACGGGGCGGGGTGATGGAAAGCGGGAGAATGGGGCGGGTTGATGGAATGCGGGAGAATGGGATGGAAAGCGGGAGAATGGAGCGGGGTGATGGAAAGCAGGAGAATGGGGCGGGGTGATGGAAAGCGGGAGAATGGGGCGGGGTGATGGAAAGAGGGAGAATGGGGCGGGGTGATGGAAAGCGGGAGAATGGGGCGGGGTGATGGAAAGCGGGAGAATGGGGCGGGGTGATGGAAAGCAGGAGAATAGGGCGGGGTGATGGAAGGAGGGAGAATTGGGCGGGGTGATGGAAAGCGGGAGAATGGGGCGGGGTGATGGAAAGAGGGAGAAAGGGGCGGGGTGATGGAAAGCGGGTGAATGGGGCTGGGTGATGGAAAGCGGGAGAATGGGGCGGGGTGATGGAAAGCGGGAGAATGGGGCGGGGTGATGGAAAGCGGGAGAATGGGGCGGGGTGATGAAAAGCGGGAGAATGGGGCGGGGTGTTTGAAAGCGGGAGAATGGGGCGTGGTGATGGAAGGAGGGATGATGGGGCGGGGTGATGGAAGGAGGGATGATGGGGCGGAATGATGGAAAGCGGGAGAATGGGGAAGGGTGATGGAAAGCAGGAGAATGGGGTGGGGTGATGGAAAGCGGGAGAATGGGGCGGGTTGATGGAAATCGGGAGAAAGGGCCGGGTTGATGGAAGGAGGGAGAATGGGGCGGGGTGATGGTAGGAGGGAGAATGGGGCAGGGTGATGGAAAGCGGGAGAATGGGGCGGGGTGATGGAAGGAGGGAGAATGGGGCGGGGTGATGGAAAGCGGGAGAATGGGGCGGGGTGATGGAAAGCGGGAGAATGGGGCGGGGTGATGGAAATCGGGAGAACGGGGTGGGGTGATGGAAGGCGAGAGAATGGGCCGTGGTGATGGAAAGCCGGAGAATGGGGCGGAGTGATGGAAAGCGGTAGAATGGGGCGGGGTGATGGAAAGCGGGAGAATGGGGCGGGGTGATGGAAAGCGGGAGAATGGGGCGGGGTGATGGAAAGCGGGAGAATTGGGTAGGGTGATGGAATGGGGTGGGGTGATGGAAAGCGGGAGAATGGGGCGGGGTGATGGAAAGCGGGAGAATGGGGCGGGGTGATGGAAGGAGGGAGAATGGGGCGGGGTGATGGAAAGCGGGAGAATGGGGCGGTGTGATGGAAAGCGGGAGAATTGGTGGGGTGATGGAAAGCGGGAGAACGGGGCGGGGTGATGAGAAGCGGGAGAATGGGGCGGTGTGATGGAAGGAGTGATGATGGGGCGGGGTGATGGAAGGAGGGATGATGGGGCGGGGTGATGGAAGGAGGGATGATAGGGCGGGGTGATGGAAAGCGGGAGAAAGGGGAAGGGTGATGGAAAGCGCGAGAATGGGGTGGGGAGTGGGAAGGAGGGAGAATGGGGCGGGGTGATGGAAGGAGGGAGAATGGGGTTGGGTGATGGAAAGCGGGAGAATGGGGCGGGGTGTTGGAAAGCGGGAGAATGGGTTGGGGCGATAGAAAGCGGGAGAATGGGGCGGGGTGATGGAAAGCGGGAGAATGGGGCGGGGTGATGGAAAGCGGGAGAATGGGGCGGGGTGTTGGAAAGCGGGAGAATGGGTTGGGGTGATGGAATGCGGGAGAATGGGGCGGAGTGATAGAAGGAGGGAGAATTGGAGAATGGGGCGGGGTAATGGAAAGCGGGAGAATGGGGCGGGGTGATGGAAAGCGGGAGAATGGGGCGAGTTGATGGAAAGCGGGAGAAAGGGGCGGGTTGATGGAAGGAGGGAGAATGGGGCGGCGTGATGGAAATCGGGAGAATGGGGCGGGCTGATTGAAAGCAGGTGAATGGGGCGGGGTGATGGAAAGCGGGAGAATGGGGCGGGTTGATGGAAAGCGGGAGAATGGGGTGGGGTGATGGAAAGGGGAGAATGGGGCGGGGTGATTGAAAACAGGAGATTGTGGCAAGGTGATGGAAAATGGGAGAATGGGGCGGGGTGATGGAAAGCGGGAGAATGGGGGCGGGGTGATGAAAAGCGGGAGAATAGGGCGGGGTGATGGAAGGAGGGAGAATGGGGCGGGGTGATGGAAAGCGGGAGAATCGGGCGGGGTGATGGAAAGCGGGAGAATATGGCGGGGTGATGGAAAGAGGGAGAATAGGGAGGGATGATGGAAAGAGGGAGAATGGGGCAGGGTGATGGAAAGTAGGAGAATGGGGTGGGGTGATGGAAAGAGGCAGAATGATACGAGGTGATGGAAAGCGGGAGAATGGGGTGGGGTGATGGAAAGCGGGAGAATGGGGCGGGGTGATGGAAAGCGGGAGAATGGGGCGGGGTGATGGATGGAGGGAGAATGGGGCGGGGTGATGGAAAGCGGGAGAATGGGGCGGGGTGATGGAAAGCGGGAGAATGGGGCGGGGTGATGGAAAGCAGGAGAATGGGGCAAGGTGATGTAAAGCGGAAGAATGGGGCAGGGTGATCGAAAGCAAGATAATGGGGCGGAGAGATGGAAGGAGAGAGAAAAGGGCGGGGTGATGGACGGAGGGAGAATGGGGCGGGATGATAGACGGAGGGAGAATGGGGCGGGGTGATGGAAAGCGGGAGAATGGGGCGGGGTGATGGAATGCAGGAGAATGGGGCGGGGTGATGGAAAGCGGGAGACTGGGGCGGGGTGATGGAAGGAGGGAGAATGGGGCGAGGTGATGGAATGCGGGAGAATGGGGCGGGGTGATGGAAAGCGGGAGAATGGGGCGGGGTGATGGAAAGCGGGAGAATGGGGCAAGGTGATGGAAAGCGGGAGAATGGGGCGGGGTGATGGAAAGCGGGAGAATGCGGCGGGGTGATGGAAAGCGGGAGAATGGGGCGGTGTGATGGAATGCGGGAGACAAGGATGGAAAGCGGTAGAATGGGGCGGGGTGATGCAAAAGCAGGAGAATGGGGCGGGGTGATGGAAAGCGGGAGACTGGGGCGAGATGATGGAAGGAGGAAGAATGGGGCGGGGTGATGGAAAGTGGGAGAATGGGGCGGGGTGATGGAAAGCGGGAGAATGGGGCGGGGTGACAGAAAGCGGGAGAATGGGGCGGGGTGATGGAAAGCGTGAGAATGGGGCGGGGTGATGGAAAGCGGGAGAATGGGGCGGGGTGATGGAAAGCGGGAGAATGGGGCGGGGTGATGGAAAGAGGGAGAATGGGGCGGGTTAATGGAAAGTGGGAGAATGGGGTGGGGTGACGGAAAGCGGGAGAATGGGGAGGGGTGATGGAAAGCGGGAGAATGGGGTGGGGTGATGGAAGGAGGGAGAATGGGGCGGGATGGAAGGAGGGAGAATGGGGGAGGGCTGATGGAAAGCGGGAGAATAGGGCGGGGTGATGGAAAGGTGGAGAATGGGGCGGGCTGATGGAAAGCGGGAGAATCCGGAGGGGTGATGGAAAGCGGGAGAATGGGGCGGGGTGATGGAAAGCAGGAGAATGGGGCAGGGTGATGTAATGCGGGAGAATGGGGCGGGGTGATCGAAAGTAAGAGAATGGGGCGGAGAGATGGAAGGAGAGAGAATAGGGCGGTGTGATGGACGGAAGGAGAATGGGGCGGGGGTGATAGAAGGAGGGAGAATGGGGCGGGATGATGGAAAGCGGGAGAATGGGGCGGGTTGATGGAAAGCGGGAGAATGGGGCGGGGTGATGGAAAGCGGGAGAATGGGGCGGGGTGATGGAAAGCGGGAGAATGGGGCGGTGTGATGGAAAGCGGGAGCATGTGGCGGGGTGATTGAAAGCGGGAGAATGGGGCGGGGTGATGGAAATAGGGCGAATGGGGCGGGGTGATGGAAGGAGGGAGAATGGGGCGGGGTGATGGAAAGCGGGATAACGGGGCGGGGTGATGGAAAGCGGGAGAATGGGGCGGGGTGTTTGAAAGTGGGAGAATGGGGCGGGGTGATGGAAGGAGGGATGATGGGGCGGGGTGATGGAAGGAGGGATGATGGGGCGGGGTGATGGAAAGCGGGAGAATGGGGAAGGGTGATGGAAAGCGCGAGAATGGGGCGGGGAGTGGGAAGGAGGGAGAATGGGCCGGGATGATGGAAGGAGGGAGAATGGGGCGGGGTGATGGAAAGCTGGAGAATGGGGCGGGGTGATGCAAAGCGGGAGAACGGGGCGGGGTGATGGAAAGGGGGATAATGGGTCGGGGTGATGGAATGCGGGAGAATGGGGTGGGGTGATAGAGGGAGGGAGAATGGGGCGGGGCACTGGATGGTGGGAGAATGAGGCGGGGTGATGGAAAGCGGGAGAATGGGGCGGGATGATGGAAAGCGAGAGAATGGGGCGGGGTGATGGAAAGCGGGAGAATGGGGCGGGGTGATAGAAGGAGGGAAAATGGGGCGGGGCACTGGATGGCGGGAGAATGGGGCAGGGTGATGGAAAGCGGGAGAATGGGGCGGGATGATGGAAAGCGGGAGAATGGGGCGGGGTGATGGAAAGGGGGAGAATGGGGCGGGGTGATATAAATCAGGAGAATCGGGCGGGGTGATGGAAAGCGGGAGAATGGGGCAGGGTGATGGAAAGTAGGAGAATGGGTGGGGTGATGGAAAGCGGAAGAGGGTGATGGAAAGCGGGAGAATGGGGCGGGCTGATGGAAAGCGAGAGATTGGGACGGGGTGATGGAAAGCGGGAGAATGGGGTGGGCTGATGGAAAGCGAGAGACTGGGACGGGGTGATGGAAAGCGGGAGAATGGGGCGGGGTGATAGAAGGAGGGAGAATGGGGCGGGGCACTGGATGGCGGGAGAATGGGGCGGGGTGATTGAAAGCGGGAGAATGGGGCGGGGTGATGGAAAGCGAGAGAATGGGGCAGGGTGATGGAAAGCGGTTGAATGGGGCGGGGTGATGGAAGGAGGGAGAACGGGGTGAGGTGATGGAAGGAGTGAGAATGGGGTGGGGCGATGGAAAGCGGGAGAATGGGGCGGGGTGATGGAAAGCGGGAGAATGGGGCGGGGTGGTGGAACGCAGGAGAATGGGGCAGGGTGATGGAAGGAGGGAGAATGGGGCGGGTTGATGGAAGGAGGGAGAATGGGGCGGGGTGATGGAAGGAGGGAGAATGGGGCGGGGTGATGGAAAGCAAGAGAATGGGGCTGGATGATGGAAAGCGGGAGAATGGGGCGGGGTGATGGAAAGCGGGAGAATGGGGCGGGGTGATGGAAAGCGGGAGAATGGGGCGGGGTGATGGAAAGCGGGAGAATGGGGTTGATGGAAAGCGGGAGAATGGGGCTAGATGATGGAAAGTGGGAGAATGGAGCTAGGTGATGGAAAGCGGGAGAATGGGGCGGGGTGATGGAAAGCGGGAGAATGGGGCGGGGTGATGGAAAGCGGGAGAATGGGGCGAGGTGATGGAAAGCGGGAGAATGGGGGTGATGGAAAGCGGGAGAATGGGGCAGAGGGATAGAAAGCGGCAGAATGGGGCGGGGTGATGGAAAGCGGCAGAATGGGGCGAGGAGATGGAAGGAGAAAGAATGGGGCGGAGTGTTGGAAAGCGGGAGAACGGGAGAGGGCGATGGAATGCGGGAGAATGGGGCGGGGTGATGGAAGGAGAGAGAATAGGGCGGGGTGATGGAAAGCGGGAGAATGGGGCGGAGTGATGGAAAGCGGGAGAATGGGGCCGGGTGATGGAAAGCGGGAGAATGGGGCTGGATGATGGAAAGCAGGAGAATGGGGCGGGCTGTTGGAAAGCGGGAGAATGGGGCGGGGTGATGGAAAGTGGGAGAATGGGGCGGGGTGATTGAAAGCGGGAGAATAGGGCGGGGTGATGGAAAGCGGGAGAATGGGGCGGGGTGATGGAAGGAGAGAGAATGGGGCGGGGTGATGGAAAGCGGGAGAATGGGGCAGGGTGGTGGAAGGCAGGAGAATGGGGCGGTGTGTGCGGAGATTAACTCTACAACGGTAGTGAGCTAGAGTACAGGGGTTGGCACGAACTACTAGAGGTCATCTTAGCTTTGCTTGGTTCCTTAGTGTTTGCACATTCACGGAAGAATTTGGCAAGAGTTTCCACTAGCAAAGTTGGAATTCCAGAATGATTGCACAAGCAAAATTACAACAATGACTACATCAGGCACCTAGCAACCCTGCTGCTAGCCTGGTCGACCGCCAGCACAGCTCGGTCGAACGCCTGCCAGCGTTGCGTAGAGGAGCTGCGCCAGCACTGGGGAAAGACGATCGGCCAACAGAGCAGGTCGACGGCGTGCCAACATTGCAGCAGAGCGGCTGTCCAGCGTTGCCCCGTAGAACACAGCTGTGCGCACGATCGCAGATGCGCGCAGACGATTGGCCCGACTTGCCTCGTTGGGCATCCGTCGACTGTTGTCTGCGCCTGACGAGCCTTATCGACTTTGGGATACCAGCCCGAAGTCGTCTGCACCATCGCGATCTCGACGACGTTCGCGTGCCTCCGCAGAACTCGTCGAGCAGGTTACCCGGTCGACCTAGTCGACCCTTGGTGCTCTCGTCGACTCCCAGGTGCCTCGCGTCGACCACTGGGTCCCTCTGGTCGACCACTGGGCGCTCCTGGTCGACCACCCCTCCCGTCGAGCTACCCCTTGGTCGACGGACCCCTTCCGTCGACCAGAACTGCTCCGTCGACCTCCCAGTCGAACTGCAGTTCGACGGGATGCTCCATATACCTCCCCGTCGAACTGTAGGTCGACGGACTGCTTCGTCGACCTCCCGGACGGCTCACCCGTCGCCCGGGCCAGTCAGGTGCAGCTGTCGAGCATCCTGGTCGACAGCAACACCACAGCGGTCCGCTGCAGCTCGACGTAACCTGTCGAGCATCTATCCCACTATGAGCGGTCGGCTGCTACTCCCGTACATCCGACCAAGTTGTCGGCGTTGCCCAAGCGAGGGCGGGGCCAACACTCCATTCCCGTTAACACTTCCCTGCCGCGCTCACGCTTGGGCCTCCAGCCCTCACGGCAGTACTCCACGGATAGAACTCGTCCTCGGCGTGCACCCCACACACAGCACGTCGTCACCGCACCAGCCGTGCAGAAGGGCACGGCACCTAGTGCTGCACCTCGTCATCGCTGTCGCCGACGTCGACCAGACGAACTTGGCCAATGGCGACAGAGCACCGGTTGAAAGCCGGAAAATGCAGCGCCTTCGTCAGGAAGTCCGCCGGCTGCTCGGTGGTCGGGATGTAGTTCAGCACAAATTCCCCGCGCCTCACCATGTGCTGGAGCCAAGCATAGCGTCGCTCCATGTGCTTGAGGTTACCCGTCAGCCCCAAGCCCTGAGCGACAGTGATTGCCGACTTGTTGTCGATGCGGAGGATGGTCGGCTTCCCAGCGTCGAGCAGCTTGAATTCCACAAGGAGGAAGCGAAGTCGGCGCCCCTCCTTGCCGGCATCCGTGGCCGCCACGTACTCCGACTCGGTCGATGATGATGTCGCGCACTTGATGCGCGAGCTCGACCAGGAGACGGCGGCCCCTCCGTAGACGAACACGTAGCCTCCCGTGCTCGTCCGGTTTTGCTTGTCGCCCGCGTCGTTGGCATCGATGTAGCCGATCAGCTCCAACGATTTTGGTCCACCGCCGAACTCCAGGGCGGTGTCGCGGGTGTCGGCGAGGAAGGCGAGGCAACGGTCGACCTCACACCAATGCTGGTCGCTCCTCACCGTGAGGCCGCTCCCCAGCTTGCTGCGGGCAAACGCAATGTCTGGCCTCGTTGTCGTCACCGCGAACTGCAGCGAGCCGACCTTTTGCCGGTACTCCTCCTCTTCGCGCTCCTGAGCCTCCTCGTCGTCGAACGTCAGCTGAGCGTAGGCGTCGACTGAGACCGGCGTCTTCGGGACTCGATCGCCCTCTTCCTCGTGGATGAAGCGCCTGCGAAGCTTGTCAGCGTAGCCCTGCTGGTGCAGCCATAACTTCCTGGCCGGCCTGTCGCGCACGATCTCCAGCCCAAGGTACTTCACCACCGGCGAGATCTCACGTAGCTCGAAGGTGGCCTCCAGCAGCTCCTTCAGCATCGTGGTGCTGCTGCTGGCGGCGAGCAGGTCGTCGACGTAGACCAGCACCCAGCAGGTCACTCCCTCATCGCTGGCCTTGAAGTAGAGCGCCTCGTCGACCTGGCTCTTCTTCCAGCCAGCGCCCAGCAGCACACCGTCGAGAGCCCTGTACCACAGCAGCGGCGACTGCTTCAGCCCATAGAGGCTCTTCAGCAGCTTACACACCCGGCCGGTCCCGTCGTTGAAGTAGTCCGGCTGGTACATGTAGAGCACCCTGTCGAGCTTGCTCTGCAGGAAAGCGTTCTTCATCTCGAGCTGCATCAGGTTGAGATCGAGGACGGCGACGATGCTGAGGAAGATCCTCAGCGTGACGTAGCTGCTCACCGGTGAGTACGTCTTGTCGTAGTCGGCGCCGTACACCTGCGTGAATCCCTTCACGACTAGCCTCGCCTTCTCGCGCTCGACGGTGTCGTCGATGCGGTACTTGGTCGTCAGCACCCACCGGTTTTTCATGATGTTCACCCCGCGTAGGCGTTCGACCAGTTCCCAAGTCCCCATACCGATGAGGCTGCGGATCTCTTCTTCCATGGCAGCCTTCACCGCTTTGCCCTTCCAGCTCGACAGCGCCTCCTTCACCGTCATCGTGGCGATGTCCCAGCGGTGTTCAGGGTCGGCATGCACGTCGGGGTCGAGCTCCGGAAGGTCTACATCCTCCTTGGCATCGTCGTACAGAAGGTCGTCGTCGACCTCGTCGTACACTGTGGTGAAGGCAGCTGGCGGTAGGCAGGCGTAGAAGCTCAACCGCTCTGGCGGCCGTCGAGCTCGACCTGAGCGTCGCAGCTCAGGCTTCGTGATCGGCACTTCCATCACGTCACTGTCGGTGGACTCCTCACCCGCCAACGGCTTCACTTTCTCGTCGACGGGAACGTCGTCGACCAGCTGCTTTGACCCTTCGGCCGGCTGTTTGTCTGCTGCTGCCTTCGACAGCTCTCCTGTCGACCGCTCCGGCTGCTGCTCCCCTGTCGAGTGTACCCCTGCTTTTGCATCCTGTTCGATCGGCTCCCCTGTCTGGTGCTCCCCTGTCGTCGACGGCTTCCCATCCTGGTCGACGAGCTTGGCGCCGTGTCGACCGCCGGCGATGCCACGGGCCGGCGCCACAGGCGACGCCTCAAGGCTCCCCTTATCGTCGGTGGTCGACACAGGCCAAGTTGCGACGGGGAATGGAGGAGCAGGAGCAGGGGAAGGGGGAAGAACCTCCAAAACTTCCTCAACAGCAGGCTCGTCGATGTCAACGAGCAACGGAACCGTCGCCGTCGAGGTGTCCGTTGGCGGGTGCGCTTGCGTCCGCCCTGACGCCAGCCCATACTTCGCCTTCCACACCTCCAGTGACAGCGTCTCGTAGAAGATCACCTCGACCGACGTGACCACCCGGTTGTCGGTCAGGTCGAGCACTTCCCAGCCCTTGCTCTCCGACGACACACCCAGGTGAAGTCCCCAGCGAGCCTTCGGTGCCAGTTTCCCACCACGTTGCTGCTCGGGAACCATGAACTGCACCATGCAGCCCCACACCCGCGCCAACGTAAGGTCGGGCTTCTGCCCGGTCAGCATCTGGTACGGAGTCGTCCCCGGCGGTGTCGTCGACCGCTCCAAGCAGTTGCGCACCCAGACAGCTTGTCGTAGAGCAAGATGCCACCAGTGGTGCTATACGCCCATGTGCAACAGCATTGTCCGTACGGACTCGACGACCGTGCGCATCTCCCGCTCAGCCATGTCATTCTGTTGCGGAGTGTAGGGGCACGTCAGGTCGTGGACGATGCCCTTCCCGTCGATGAAGTCGGTGAACGCCTTCCCGAGGAACTCCCCTCCTCGATCGGAGCGAAGCGACAGCACCGACTTCTTCGTCTGCCGTTCCACCAGCACCAGCCACCGCTGGAACTCCCGCAGCACATCGCTCTTCTTAGCGACCGGCATTGCCCATACAAATCGAGTATGGCGATCCTTCAACAGCAGGAAGTACAAGCTGCCATCCTTGGCAGCCACTCGAAATGGCCCGCACAAGTCAATGTGCACGACAGCCAGCGCCTCCGCTGCGTCCGAGCCCTTGGCAGGGAAGGTGTGCCGCGCTAGCTTTCCTCCGACGCACGAGACACACGGCGGGTCTGCTCCGGTCGACGGCGTGATGTCGAGCCCAACAGCAACTTCATGCTTCGCCGAGCTCTTGATCGTATCGACGCCGACGTGCACGAGCCTCGCATGCAGCCGATCAGGGGTCGCCTTTGTCGCCGAGACGATCGTCCGCAGAGCCACCACCTCAGTCGATGGCGACTGCGTCGAGCAGGGGCGAAGGTCGGTGCAGAGGACTCGTCTGGTGTAGCGTGCTCGACCAAGCACCTCCCCGGTCGTAGCAACGAGCAGTATCTCGTCGCCGTCGCCCTGCAGCTGCACTCCGCTCTCCTTCAGTTGGCCGGCTGACAGCAGGTTCGCCTGAACACCCGGAACGTAGAGCACGTCGGGGATGAGCACCCGCTTCCCAGCCTCCCCTTGCAGAGCGACAGTTCCACGACCCTCGATATATTGTAATGCCCCGTTGAACCCACGCACGTGCTTCACTCCGTCGCTCGGCCCCATGTCGACGAAGACCGACTTCGTCCCCATCAGGTGGTGGGAGCACCCGCTGTCGAGCAGCACCGCCATCGGGTTGGCCTGCACAGCTGCTGCCACCGCCTGGAAGTCCTCGCCAGCCTCCGGTGCTAGCGAGACCGTCGGCTCCACCACGCCGACCATCGAGCACGACGCCTCCCCGTCGCCTTGGCTCTTGGCGCTGGAGCTGTCGATGTCCTTCGTCGAGGACGTCTTCTTCGATGCTTGCTTCTCCTTGTGCAGCTTCTCAACTCGACCGGGGCGACGACTGGCCGATCGACCGCGACCTTCCTTGTAGTCGTCCTCGTTGCTGTCATCGCGGTCGGGGCACTCGAAGGAGAGATGGTCGGGGTCGCCGAAGATCCAGCACTACCGCCGTCAACCACCACCTCGTCGTCCCTTGTCCCACGTCGACCTCTTCCCGTCGACGTCCTTTGTCGACCGCCCACCTCCGCTACCACCTCCGCCTGGCTTCCCGCGCTGCTCCTGCTGACTATTCGGCTTCGTCGGTGCAACGTAACTCGCCTGCGGAAGGAACTCCGTGGGCTGCTCTGCCTCCTGCATCGCCTCATCCTGGAGGATGTAGCTGGTAAGGGAGTCCTCGTCGAGGGACTCACGTGTGTCGGGCACCATCGTAAACCTCTTCATGAGGTTGTAGCTGCGCGGCAGGCCCTTGAGGACGTGGGTGATGTAGGACGTCGTCGAGTATTCGGCGCCCGCCATCCTTATCTCAGCTAGGATCCGTCGAGCTCGGTTGCAGTAGTCCGTCGCCGAATCCTGCTCGCCCATCCGAATGTGAGTCATCTTCTCCTCTAGCTGTCCAATGTACAGGTCGTCCCTGGCCTGGTACGTCGACATGATGAAGTGCCATGCCTGGTGACTAGCATCCAGTCGCTCTCGATAGCTCCTGAGCACTAGCTGCGCCACTGGCGAGCAGCACCTCGAGATGACCATGAAGGTGAGCAGATGAGCAGAACGAAACTCCCCGCGTAGCTCAACATCCTCCTCGAGCGGAAAGGGCACGGTGCCATCGGCAAAGCCCTAAAGCCCGGCGACCTCTAGCTGAGGTTCAATCGACTCCCTCCAAGTGATGAGGTCCCGTCGACCTTGCAGCGGTGCGACGGCGATCCGGTCCGGCGAGAACTTGAAGTAGCCATACGCCGGTGCAATTCCGCCCGCCGTCACGTGTGTCGTCACCGAGAGCCCTCCACCGCTTCGTAGGGGAGAGCGACGTCGAACATCGACGTTGGCATGCGAGCTGCCTGCAGGCGCCGTCGACCGCTGCACTCGCGCCTGGATTCCGTCGACACCACCGTCGACTTTGATCACTCCTCTCTGCCTCGTGCCTTCGCTGCCGCTGACTCGTGCACCACCATCGACCTCGTCGTCGACGCCACCTTCGTTGCGCACCGTTCGAGGAGAAGTAGGACGGGAAGGGTGTTCCGTCGCCCACTACAACCGGATGCCCAACTCCGCCATCACCAAGGGGATCGTCCCGTACTCGCCATCCGCGTGGCGTCTCCTCGTGTTAGCCAAACGTGCCTCCAAGGTGTCCGCTACACCCGCATCAACTACCGGGTCGACCATGGCGACTATCGCTGCTGCCGGCCTACGAACGACTTAGTAGGTGCAAAAGTCGGTTCCTATCTGAAGGTCGCGTGTTCGTTCCACGCTCACCGCACCATGCGGAGATTAACTCTACAACGGTAGTGAGCTAGACTACAGGGGTTGGCACGAACTACTAGAGGTGATCTTAGCTTTGCTTGGTTCCTTAGTGTTTGCACATTCACGGAAGAATTTGGCAAGAGTTACCACTAGCAAAGTTGGAATTCCAGAATGATTGCACAAGCAAAATTACAACAATGACTACATCAGGCACCTAGCAACCCTGCTGCTAGCCTGGTCGACCGCCAGCACAGCTCGGTCGACCGTCTGCCAGCGTTGCGTAGAGGAGCTGCGCCAGCACTGCGGAAAGACGACCTGCCAACAGAGCAGGTCGTCGGCGTGCCAACATTGCAGCAGAGCGGTTGTCCAGCGTTGCCCCGTAGAACACAGCTGTGCGCACGATCGCAGATGCGCGCAGACGATTGGCCCGACTTGCCTCGTTGGGCATCCGTCGGCTGTTGTCTGCGCCTGACGAGCCACATCGACTTCGGGATACCAGCCCGAAGTCGCATGCACCATCGCGATCTCGACGACGTTCGCGTGCCTCCGCAGAACTCGTCGAGCAGGTTACCCGGTCGACCTGGTCGACCCCTGGTGCTCTGGTCGACTCCCAGGTGCCTCCCGTCGACCACTGGGTCCCTCTAGTCGACCACTGGGCGCTCCTGGTCGACCACCCCTCCCGTCGAGCTACCCCTTGGTCGACGGACCCCTTCCGTCGACCAGAAATGCACCGTCGACCTCCCGGTCGAACTGCAGTTCGACGGGATGCTCCATAGACCTCCCTGTCAAACCGTAGGTCGACGGACTGCTTCGTCGACCTCCCGGACGGCTCACCCGCCGCCCAGGCCAGTCAGGTGCAGCTGTCGAGCATCCTGGTCGACAGCAACACCACAACGCTCCGCTGCAGCTCTACGTAACCTGTCAAGCAGCTATCCCACTGTGAGCGGTCGGCTGCTACTCCCGTACATCCGACCAAGTTGTCGGCGTTGCCCAAGCAAGGGCGGGGCCAACACTCCATTCCCGTTAATAGGATGATGGAAGGAGGAAAAATGGGGCGGGGTGATGGAAGGAGGGAGAATGGGGCGGGGTGATGGAAGGAGGGAGAATGGGGCGGGGCGATGGAAAGCAGGAGAATGGGGCTGGATGATGGAAAGCGGGAGAATGGAGCTGGGTGATGGAAAGCAGGAGAATGGGGCGGGGTGATAGAAAGCGGGAGAATCGGGCGGGGTGATGGACAGCGGGAGAATGGGGGTGATGGAAGCGGGAGAATTGGGCGGGATGATGGAGGGAGGGAGAATGGGGCGGGGTGATCGAAAGCGGGAGAATGGGGCGGGGTGATGGAAAGCGGCAGAATGGGGCGGGGTGATGGAAAGCGGCAGAATGGGGCGAGGAGATGGAAGGAGGAAGAATGGGGCGGAGTGTTGGAAAGCGGGAGAATGGGACGGGGCGATGGAAAGCGGGAGAATGGGGTGGGGTGATGGAAGGAGGGAGAATAGGGCGGGGTGATGGAAAGCGGGAGAATTGGGCGGGGTGATGGAAAGCGAGAGAATGGGGCCGGGTCATGGAAAGCGACAGATGGGGCGGGGTGATGGAAGGAGGGAGAATGGAGCGGGGTGATGGAAAGCGGGAGAATGGGGCTGGGTGATGGAAGGCGGGAGAATGGGGCGGGGTGATGGAAGGAGGTAGAATGGGGCGAGGTGATGGAAAGCGGGAGAATGGGGCTGCATGATGGAAAGCGGGAGAATGGGGCGGGGTGATGGAAAGCGGGAGAAAGGGGCGGGGTGATGGAAGGAAGGAGAATGGGGCGGGGTGATGGAAGGAGGTAGAATGGGGCGAGGTGATGGAAAGCGGGAGAATGGGGCTGCATGATGGAAAGCGGGAGAATGGGGCGGGGTGATGGAAAGCGGGAGAAAGGGGCGGGGTGATGGAAGGAGGGAGAATAGGGCGGGGTGATGGAAAGCGGGAGAATGGGGCCGGGTCATGGAAAGCGGCAGATGGGGCGGGGTGATGGAAGGAGGGAGAATGGAGCGGGGTGATGGAAAGCGGGAGAATGGGGCTGGGTGATGGAAGGAGGGAGAATGGGGCGGGGTGATGGAAGGAGGGAGAATGGGGCCGGGTGATGGAAAGCGGGAGAATGGGGGTGATGGAAGCGGGAGAATAGGGCGGGATGATGGAAGGAGGGAGAATGGGGCGGGGTGATCGAAAGCGGGAGAATGGGGCGGGGTGATGGAAAGCGGGAGAATGGGGGTGATGGAAGCGGGAGAATGGGGGTGATGGAAGCGGGAGAATAGGGCAGGATGATGGAAGGAGGGAGAATGGGGCGGGGTGATCGAAAGCGGGAGAATGGGGCGGGGTGATGGAAAGCGGCAGAATGGGGCGGGGTGATGTAAAGCGGCAGAATGGGGCGGGGAGATGGAAGGAGGAAGAATGGGGCGGAGTGTTGGAAAGCGGGAAAATGGGACGGGGCGATGGAAAGCGGGAGAATGGGGCGGGGTGATGGAAGGAGGGAGAATAGGGCGGGGTGATGGAAAGCGGGAGAATGGGGCTGGATGATGGAAAGCGGGAGAATGGAGTTAGGTGATGGAAAGCAGGAGAATGGGGTGGGGTGATGGAAAGGGGGAGAACGGGGCGGGGTGATGGAAGGAGGGAGAACGGGGCGGGGTGATGGAAGGAGGGAGAATGGGACGGGGTGATGGAAAGCAAGAGAATGGGGCTGGATGATGGAAAGCGGGAGACTGGGGCTGGATGATGAAAAGCGGGAGAATGGAGCTGGGTGATGGAAAGCGGGAGAATCGGGCGGGGTGATGGAAAGCGGGAGAATGGGGCGGGGTGATGTAAAGCGGAAGAATGGGGCGGGGTGATGGAAGGAGGGAGAATAGGGCGGGGTGATGGAAAGCGGGAGAATTGGGCGGGGTGATGGAAAGCGGGAGAATGGGGCCGGGTCATGGAAAGCGGCAGATGGGGCGGGGTGATGGAAGGAGGGAGAATGGAGCGGGGTGATGGAAAGCGGGAGAATGGGGCTGGGTGATGGAAGGCGGGAGAATGGGGCGGGGTGATGGAAGGAGGTAGAATGGGGCGAGGTGATGGAAAGCGGGAGAATGGGGCGGGGTGATGGAAAGCGGGAGAAAGGGGCGTGGTGATGGAAGGAGGGAGAATGGGGCGGGGTGATGGAAGGAGGTAGAATGGGGCGAGGTGATGGAAAGCGGGAGAATGGGGCTGCATGATGGAAAGCGGGAGAATGGGGCGGGGTGATGGAAAGCGGGAGAAAGGGGCGGGGTGATGGAAGGAGGGAGAATAGGGCGGGGTGATGGAAAGCGGGAGAATGGGGCTGGGTCATGGAAAGCGGCAGATGGGGCGGGGTGATGGAAGGAGGGAGAATGGAGCGGGGTGATGGAAAGCGGGAGAATGGGGCTGGGTGATGGAAGGAGGGAGAATGGGGCGGGGTGATGGAAGGAGGGAGAATGGGGCCGGGTGATGGAAAGCGGGAGAATGGGGGTGATGGAAGCGGGAGAATAGGGCGGGATGATGGAAGGAGGGAGAATGGGGCGGGGTGATCGAAAGCGGGAGAATGGGGCGGGGTGATGGAAAGCGGGAAAATGGGGGTGATGGAAGCGGGAGAATGGGGGTGATGGAAGCGGGAGAATAGGGCGGGATGATGGAAGGAGGGAGAATGGGGCGGGGTGATCGAAAGCGGGAGAATGGGGCGGGGTGATGGAAAGCGGCAGAATGGGGCGGGGTGATGTAAAGCGGCAGAATGGGGCGGGGAGATGGAAGGAGGAAGAATGGGGCGGAGTGTTGGAAAGCGGGAGAATGGGACGGGGCGATGGAAAGCGGGAGAATGGGGCGGGGTGATGGAAAGCGGGAGAAGGGGGCGGGGTGATGGAAAGCGGGAGAATGGGGCGGGGTGATGGAAAGCGGGAGAATGGGGCGGGGTGATGGAAAGCGGGAGAATGGGGCGGGGTGATGGAAAGCGGGAGAATGGGGCGGGGTGATGGAAAGCGGGAGAATGGGGCGGGGTGATGGAAAGCGGGAGAATGGGGCGGGGTGATGGAAAGCGGGAGAATGGGGCGGGGTGATGGAAAGCGGGAGAATGGGGCGGGGTGATGGAAAGCGGGAGAATGGGGCGGGGTGATGGAAAGCGGGAGAGTGGGGCGGGGTGATGGAAAGCAGGAGAATAAGGCGGGGTGATGGAAAGCGGGAGAATGGGGCTAGATGATGGAAAGTGGGAGAATGGAGCCTGGTGATGGAAAGCGGGAGAATGGGGCGGGGTGATGGAAAGCGGGAGAATGGGGCGGGGTGATGGGAGGAGGGAGAATGGGGCGGGGTGATTGAAATCGGGAGAATGGGGCGGGGTGATGGAAAGCGGGAGAATGGGGCGGGGTAATGGAAAGCGGGAGAATGGGGCAGGGTGATTGAAATCGGGAGAATGGGGCGGGGTGATGGAAAGCGGGAGAATGGGGCAGGGTGGTGGAAGGCAGGAGAATGGGGCGGGGTGATGGAAGGAGGGAGAATGGGGCGGGGTGATGGAAGGAGGGAGAATGGGGCGGGGTGATGGAAGGAGGGAGAATGGGGCGGGGTGATGGAAAGCAAGAGAATGGGGCTGGATGATGGAAAGCGAGAGAACGGAGCTGGGTGATGGAAAGCGGGAACATGGGGCGTGGTGATGGAAAGCGGGAGAATGGGGCCGGGTGATGGAAAGCGGGAGAATCGGGCGGGGTGATGGAAAGCAGGAGAATGGGGGTGATGGAAGCTGGAGAATAGGGCGGGATCATGGAAGGAGGGAGAATGGGGCGGGGTGATCGAAAGCGGGAGAATGGGGCGGGGTGATGTAAAGCGGCAGAATAGGGCGGGGTGATGGAAAGCGGCAGAATGGGGCGGGGAGATGGAAGGAGGAAGAATGGGGCGGAGTGTTGGAAAGCGGGAGAATGGGACGGGGCGATGGAAAGCGGGAGAATGGGGCGGGGTGATAGAAAGCGGGAGAATGGGGCGGGGTGATGGAAGGCGGGAGAATAGGGAGGGGTGATGGAAGGCGGGAGAATGGGGAGGGGTGATGGAAGGAAGGAGAATGGGGCGGGGTGATGGAAGGAGGGAGAATGGGGCGGATTGATGGAAGGAGGTAGAATGGGGCGAGGTGATGGAAAGCGGGAGAATGGGGCTGCATGATGGAAAGCGGATGAATGGAGCTGGGTGATGGAAAGCGGGAGAAAGGGGTGGGGTGATGGAAGGCAGGAGAATGGGGCGGGGTGATGGAAGGAGGGAGAATGGTGCAGGGTGATGGAAGGAGGGAGAATGGGGCGGGGTGATGGAAGGAGGGAGAATGGGGCGGGGTGATGGAAAGCGGGAGAATGGGGCTGGATGATGGAAAGCGGGAGAATGGAGCTGGGTCATAGAAAGCGGGAGAATGGGGCGGGTTGATGGAAAGCGGGAGAATGGGGCGGGGTGATTGAAAGCGGGAGAATGGGGCGGGGTGATGGAAGGAGGGAGAATGGGGCGGGCTGATGGAAAGATGGAGAATGGGGAGGGGTGATTGAAATCGGAAGAATGGGGCGGGGTGATGGAAAGCGGGAGAATGGGGCGGGGTGATGGAAGGAGGGAGAATGGGGCGGGGTGATGGAAAACGGGAGAATGGGGCGGGGTGGTGGAAGGCAGGACAATGGGACGGGTTGATGGAAGGAGGGAGAATGGGGCGGGGTGATGGAAGGAGGGAGAATGGGGCAGGGTGATGGAAGGAGGGAGAATGGGGCGGGGTGATGAAAAGCGGGAGAATGGGGCTGGATGATGGAAAGCGGGAGAATGGGGCGGGGTGATGGAAAGCGGGAGAACGGGGTGGGGTGATGGAAAGATGGAGAATGGGGCGGGGTGATGGAAAGCAGGAGAATGGGGCGGGGTGATTGAAAGTGGGAGAATGGGGCCGGGTGATGGAAAGCGGGAGAATGGGGCGGGGTGATGGAAGGAGGGAGAATGGGGCGGGGTGATGGAAGGAGGAAGAATGTGTCAGAGGTCCACTGGTGATCCCCGATTGATCCTGGCGAAGGGTTACAGGCTCGTTGTCGTGGGGGGGTTATGGGCGCACTGACCCGCTACTTAACAAGCCCTTTTATCCCAATGGTCTAGTGGTTGGGATTCTGACATGGTATCAGAGCGAAAGTCTCGGGTTCGAATCCCAGTGTGTGCACTTCGGGCATCCCATTGCGGGGGGGTGCCAGAGGTCCACTGGTGATCCCCGATTGAACCTAGGGAAGGGTTTCAGACTCGTTGTCTTCGGTGGGTTATGGGCGCACTGACCCGCTACCTAACAAGCCCTTTTATCCCAATGGTCTAGTGGTTGGGATTTTGACAGAATGGGGCGGGGTGATGGAAAGGGGGAGAATGGGGATGGATGATGGAAAGCGGGAGAATGGAGTTAGGTGATGGAAAGTGGGAGAATGGGGCGGGGTGAGGGAAAGCGGGAGAATGGGGCGAGGTGATGGAAAGTGAGAGAATGGGGCGGGGTGATGGAAAGCGGGGGAATGGTGCGGGGTGATGGAAATCCATCACCCCGCCCCATTCTCTCACTTTCCATCACCCCGCCCTGTTCTCCCACTTTCTATCACCCCGCCCCATTCTCCCGCTTTCCATCACCCCGCCCCATTCTCCAACCCTTCCATCACCCCGCCCCATTCTCCCTCCTTCCATCACCCCGCCCCATTCTCCCGCTTTCCATCACCCTGCCCCATTCTCCCGCTTTCCATCACCCCGCCCTATTCTCCCGCTTTCCATCACCCCGCCCCATTCTCCCGCTTTCCATCACCCCGCCCCATTCTCCCACTTTCCATCACCCCGCCCCATTCTCCCGCTTTCCATCACCCCGCCCTATTCTCCCGCTTTCTATCACCCCGCCCCATTCTCCCGCTTTCTATCACCCCGCCCCATTCTCCAACCCTTCCATCACCCCGCCCCATTCTCCCTCCTTCCATCACCCCGCTCCATTCTCCCGCTTTCCATCACCCCGCCCCATTCTCCCGCTTTCCATCACCCTGCCCCATTCTCCCACTTTCCATCACCCCGCCCCATTCTCCCGCTTTCCATCACCGCGCCCAATTCTCCCGCTTTCCATCACCCCGCCCTATTCTCCCGCTTTCCATCACCCCGCCCCATTCTCCCTCCTTCCATCACCCCTTCCCATTCTCCCGCTTTCCATCACCCCGCCCCACTCTCCCACTTTCAATCACCAAACCCCATTCTCCCGCTTTCCATCACCCCGCCCCATTCTCCCGCTTTCCATCACCCCGCTCCATGCTCCCTCCTTCCATCACCCCGCCCCATTCTCCCTCCTTCCGTCACATCGCCCCATTCTCCCGCTTTCCATCACCCCGCCCCATTCTCCCACTTTCCATCACCCCGCCCCACTTCTCCCACTTTCAATCACCACACCCCATTCTCCAGCTTTCCATCACCCCGCTCCATGCTCCCTCCTTCCATCACCCCGCCCCATTCTCCCTCCTTCCGTCACATCGCCCCATTCTCCCGCTTTCCATCACCCCGCCCCATTCTCCCGCTTTCTATCACCCCGCCCCATTCTCCATCCTTCCATCACCCAGCCCCATTCTCCCGCTTTCCATCACCCCACCCCATTCTCCCTCCTTCCATCACTCCATCCTATTCTCCCTCCTTCCATCACACCGCCCCATTCTCCCTCCTTCCATCACCCCGCCCCATTCTCCCTCCTTCCATCACCCCGCCCCACTCTCCCGCACTCTCCCGCTTTCCATCACCCCGCCCCAGTCTCCCGCTTTCCATCACCCCGCCCCATTCTCCCGCTTTCCACCACCCGGCCCCATTCTCCCGCTTTCCATCACCCCGCCCCATTCTCCCTCCTTCCATCACCCCGCCCCATTCTCCAACCCTTCCATCACCCCGCCCCATTCTCCCTCCTTCCATTACCCCGCCCCATTTTCTTGTTTTCCATCACCCCGCCCCATTCTCCCGCTTTCCATCACCCCGCCCCATTCTCCCGCTTTCCATCACCCCGCCACATTCTCCCGCTTTCCATCACCCCACCCGATTCTCCCACTGTCCATCACCCTGCCCTATTCTCCCGCTTTCCATCACCCCTCCTTATTCTCACACTTTCCATCACCCCGCCCCATTCTCCCGCTTTCCATCACCCCGCCCCATTCTCCTTCCTGCCATCACCCCGCCCCATTCTCCCGCTTTCCATCACCCCGCCCCACTCTCCCACTTTCCATCACCCCACCCCACTCTCCTGCTTTTCATCACCCCGCCCCATTCTCCACCTTTCTATCACCCCGCTTCATGCTCCCTCCTTCCATCACCCCGCCCCATTCTCCCTCCTTCCGTCACCCCGCCCCATTCTCCCGCTTTCCATCACCCTGCCCCATTCTCCCGCTTTCTATCACCCCGCCCCATTCTCCATCCTTCCGTCACCCCTCCCCATTCTCCCTCCTTCCATCACTCCACCCTATTCTCCCTCCTTCCATCACCCCGCCCCATTCTCCCGCTTTCCATCACCCCGCCCCACTCTCCCGCACTCTCGCGCTTTCCATCACCCCGCCCCATTCTCCCTCTTTCCATCACCGCGCCCCATTCTCCCGCTTTCCACCACCCGGCCCCATTCTCCCGCTTTCCATCAGCCCGCCCCATTCTCCCTCCTTCCATCACCCCGCCCTATTCTCCAACCCTTCCATCACCCCGCCCCATTCTCCCGCTTTCCATCACCACGCCCCATTCTCCCGCTTTCCATCACCTCGCCCCATTCTCCCGCTTTCCATCACCCCGCCCTATTCTCCCGCTTTCCATCACCCCGCCCCATTCTCCCTCCTTCCATCACCCAGCCCCATTCTCCCTCCTTCCATCACCCCGCCCCGTTCTCCCACTTTCCATCACCCCGCCCCACTCTCCCGCTTTCCATCACTCTGCCCCATTCTCCCGCTTTCCATGACCCCGCCCCATTCTCCCGCTTTCCATCACCCCGCCCCATTCTCCCGCTTTCCATCACCCCGCCCCATTCTCCCTCCTTCCATCACCCAGCCCCATTCTCCCTTCTTCCATCACCCCGCCCCGTTCTCCCACTTTCCATCACCCCGCCCCACTCTCCCGCTTTCCATCACTCTGCCCCAGTCTCCCGCTTTCCATCACCCCGCCCCATTCTCCCGCTTTCCATCACCTCGCCCCATTCTCCTGCTTTCCATCACCCCGCCCCATTCTCCCGCTTTCCATCACCCCGCTCCATTCTCCCTCCTTCCATCACCCCGCCCCATTCTTCCTCCTTCCATCACCCCGCCCCATTCTCCCGCTTTCCATCACCCCGCCCCAGTCTCCCGCTTTCGATCACCCCGCCCCATTCTCCCGCTTTCCATCACCCTGCCCGATTCTCCCTCTTTCTATCACCCCGCCCTATTCTCCCGCTTTCCATCACCCTGCCCCATTCTCCATCCTTCTGTCACCCCGCCCCATTCTCCCTCCTTCCATCACCCCTCCCCATTCTCCCGCTTTCCATCACCGCGCCCCATTCTCCCTCCTTCCGTCATCCCTCCCCATTCTCCCTCTTTCCATCACCCCGCCCCATTCTCCCGCTTTCCATCACCCCGCCATTGGGAAGGGGAGCACTATGGAGGAGCATCAGAAGGCGCGCAAGGGAGGGGATGCGAGGGGAAGAGTGGGTGGGTGTTGCTGTGCCAGTCGTCTCTTGCCATGTCGACAGCAGAATCGACTTGTGGCTTGGCCCATATCCAGCCACTTTGTGGCTCAATGTCCCTTGTAATGCAGTCTACCTCACATACCTGGAGTAACCTGGCGTCACGATCCCCCTCTCTCGTCCACCTCTGCTTCTTCTCCCTCTCCCATTCCAGGGCCCCAGCTCGCCCACCCTTTTTTCCCAATCCCTAGCTGCAGGTGGCAGCAGTGTTGCCGTTGCTGCCATCACCACGCGCCTTCCCTGTACGCAGTTTTCTCTGCATCGTTGTTGATGCTGTTTGTGTCGCCCGCCTTCCCTTGCCCCATCACCTCCCCGTGCCGCCACCTCTCCCCCTTTACTAACCCGCCTCCACCCATGTTGATGTCCCTTCCAAAGTGTTCCACTTTCAAGTTGTTTTTTTGCTTTCCCAAACCTCTCCCTTTCCCCCCCTTCTCCCTGTAGGCACCTTGACATGAACTTCGTTAGTGCTTCACTCCCCGTGCTTGCTCTTCTATGTGTTCACTGCCTCGCGTGAAATCATTGCCACGTGAACCCTATCTGCCTCCTCCTTCTCTTCTCAACTCATGCATCAGTTCTCTCTCATTCATCTTAAACCATGGTTTGAGTCGTTGGCAGACTTAGGCATAGTGTGGTGGCTCAGTGGGGCACGTCATTTCCCGTCTTGCAAGCATTCCTCCTTTGTCTTATGCTACATACCTCTTATTCTCCACCAGTGTCTCTCTTCCTTCACACCAGTATGTCTCATATTGCCCTTAATACCTCTTTCCCTGCAGCTAGCAACCAAAAACTTAACCCCATCTGCAGCAGTAACCAAAAAGGCCTACCCTACTTGCAGCAGCAGGAGCAGCAGCAGCTAGAAAGTCTTCCTGCTCCTCGCACACCATCACACTGCATTGCAACCGCACCTTCCCTCTCCAGCTGCCCTTTTGCAATGCGGCTCTCAGTGCGGCTGTTCCCATACCACAGCGGCCATGGAGGTTGGTTCTGGCAGCAACGCATTTCCGGGCAATCGTGGCCATGTGGCAATCTTGACACTTGCTGGTGGAAGGAGGGGGTTTGAATATACGGTGACTTCGCCTAAGCTGATTCTTATGTACTTACACTGAGTTGCAACGCGGAATTCTCATGGCAGCGTCGAGACATGTGCTTGTCTCTGTGACGGAACTGTCAGAATATGTTGTTTGTGTAGCTTGTAGTGGGGTACTCAATAGTGAGTACAGTCCCTTAGGGTTTGCTATTTGTATCGTGCTGCTTGCTAGTCCAATCATTCCTTCCTCATTTCTGTTCGTGCACACAACTCTCGCTCGTACTTGGCGCCTCGTTCTAGTCTTCCTGTGGCCTAGGCTACTAAGCCTAGGCCCGAATACTTAGTATGTTTGATATGGTATCAGAGCGCGGCATGTCTGCCGCCTTCCTGTATATGGGCCCACCACCTGCTTCCGCTGCCGTACTGTCCGCCGCGCGCCCCGTGGTGCGCGGCGTCGAAATTAGGGTTTCTGCACGCCGCGCGCTCGGGGCGCATGGCTGCTTACCCCTCCGTGGCGCCCGTCGTGGTGCCCTCGGGGGTCCACGCGGCCTCCCCTCCCGTCGTCCGTCGTGGCGATCACGGGGGCCCGCGCGGCCTCCCCTCCCGTCGTTCGTCGTGGCGATCACGGGGGCCCGCGCGGCCTCCCCTCCCGTCGTCCGTCGTGGCGACCACGGGGGCCCGCGTGGCCTCCCCTCTCGTCGTCCGTCGTGGCGACCACGGGGACCCGCGCGGCCCCCCCCCCCTCCCGTCGTCCGTCGTGGCGACCAAGGGGGCCCACGCGCGGTCCCCTCCTGTCACCCGTCGTGGCGACCACGGGGGCCGCGCGGCCTCCCCTTCCCGTCGCCCGTCGTGGCGCTCCGGGGGGGCTGCGCGGCGCCCTTCCCGACGCCCGTCGCGGCGGCTCTGGGGGCCCGCGCGGCGCCCTTCCCGTCGCCCGTCGCGGCGGCCCTGGGGGGTCGTGCGGCTCCCTTTCTCGTCGCCCGTCGGGGCGCCCTGGGGGCCGCGCTCTTTCCCCCCCCCCTTCCTCCTACCTTTCACCTTCAGCGGCCGCCCCTGGAGCCGCCCTTGGAGCAGCCCGCACCTGCAGCAGCCGCCCCTGGAGCAGCCCGTGCCTGCAGCAGCCGCCCCAGGACCAGCCCGCACCTGCAGCAGCCGCCTCTGGAGCAGCACGTGCCTGCAGCAGCCGCCCCAGGACCCGCGCCAGCTGCCCCTGCAGCAGCCCGCGGCCCGTCCCTGCAGCCCGTCCCGTCCCCTCCCCCCCCCCGTGCTGCCCATTGCTCCCATTCCGCCGTGCGTTCCACGGTGGTGGGGGTGTGGGGTGGCGAGCATGGGGGTGCGAGGTGTGGGTGCTCCCCTTCCCTTTCCCCTCCTTTTTTCGTCTCCCACTGCTGCACCTGCTGCTGAGGGGGGGTGGAGGTGTGGGAGCCGCGGGGAGTAGAGCTAGGGGGGTGATGTGGGAGTGGAGCTAGGAGTGCAGCAGGGGGTGTGTGGGGGGGGTGTGGGACAGTTGGAGGAGGTTGAGTGGAGGCTGTCGTCATGTCGTCCGCAGCGCTTGTAGACCGGGGTTCTAGTGGCCGCCGGTAGCTCAGAGAGCTTGCTGCACCTGTCGCCCATGGGTCCGTTGCTCCTGCCGCTCGTCGCAGCCGCAGCGCAGAGCATGTTACTCCTGTAATCCGGGGCACTAGTCACCGGTAGCCACTGAGTGCGCAATCATGTTGCCCGTGTGTCTGCAGCTTCAGTCGTCGCCTCCCATCTTCTCTCCTCTCGCAGTCCCTCCTCCTCCTCACTTGCCCTCTGTAACTGCCTCTAGCTCTGCTTGTTAATAGTGAACTATTGCTATGACTGCTCATTGTGCTGATTACACCCCACTTTGGCTATGGGGGTGTGTCAGAATATGTTGTTTGTGTAGCTTGCAGTGGGGTACTCAATAGTGAGTACAACCCCTTAGGGTTTGCTATTTGTACCGGTATCCTGCTGCTTGCTAGTCCAATCATTCCTTCCTCATTTCTGTTCGTGCACACAACTCTCGCTCGTACTTGGCGCCTCGTTCTAGTCTTCTTGTGGCCTAGGCTACTAAGCCTAGGCCCGACTACTTACGGTAGTATGTTTGATAGGAACGCCAGTCTGACTAGCGACCGGGTGAGTGAGAGCTGCATGTTGAGCTGTCGGGCAATTGCTCGCACAAAACCCACCCCCTTCCCACTTCCCCCACTCCACTTCCCCCTCCCCACTTTCCCCTCGCACCCCCGACAGAAGCTATCGCTCTACCAGAAAATCTGTGCCTGACCCTGTTTCGCTCTTGTCCCTGCCGCTCTTCCCCTCCAACCCCCGGTCACTTCCGTTGCCTGGCCACCAGCGACAAACTGCCATCCGGCAGACCAGGCTGCCATCTGAACAGTTCAGGGCCAGTGCAGCTACGTGTGTGATGTGCCTGTGTGCCTCTATAGCAGACTGGTGGAGTTGCTTAGTGCTATGCGAGAAATGTTAGGCATGTGTGCATAGGTAGTTTTCCAGGGTCTCTTTGCGAACAACGGGATTTTTAAAATGTCGTTGTTGAGGGAAATACATTATTGACATGATGAAAGATTCCAGGAATAAAAACAAACTACAACATCACATGTGATGAGGCGGCTTGCACAAGCGTCCTTCATGCATCATACGTACATACCCATGCCAATCTGCTTGGGTTCCCTCTCAATCATCCAACCGGGCCTGCACAGAACAAACACACGGTCGGTCAGTCAGTGAGCAGGTGCAAGCAGCACTCATCCAACACATGCACCACTCAAGAGTGTGAGAGTTGAGAGCTTGAGAGCATGGGGACGTCACAACCCAGAGTGCACTCACTTGTTGATGGCAAAGAACCGTGCGCCCAGAGTGGCGCGTTGCAATAGCTTCTCTCGCTGCACCACTGGGATGGCCTCAACCTGTTTGCTCCTCCGGGCAAAATGCACAGAGGCACACGATGGAACCAGGAGCACGTGGGGAACGAGACTCAGATATGCAGTGGGTGGATTAGAGGAGGCTTGTGCAATGGAGGAAGGCAGCGCATTGGAGGAGGGTTGTGCATGAACGGCATACCTGTTCGGGGTAGTGCACGCCTGGCAGGGACGTGCCTTCCAGCAGGGCGACAGCAAACGCTGCTGTGGCCACGCCCACACTCCTGGGGGGCACTCAGGGGGGTGGGGAGGGACGGTTGAGGTGCAGGGGGGAGTTAGTGTGAGGGGAGCAGCAGAAAGGTCCATGACATGTTGATGTTTAGTTTCCTTGACATGATATTGATGTTGATGTGACGCTGTTGGGTGGACCCCCTGCCCTCACACTAGTAGCAACCAAACTGATAAGCACTCACTCTGATAAGAGTTTACACTGCCAAAAATCCACACGGATAAACACTTCCAGTGATGAGAGCTTACACTGATAAACGGCGGTGAGAGAACAGAGCCGTTGTGGAGCGACCATTCTCGGTCTCCAAATCGACCTTGACACATGTGGCACACAGAAGAGGGGACGAGGGGGAGTAGTGGCGCGAGGAGGAAGGAGGGAGGGGGACCGAGTGGGGGAAGGTAGGGGGGTGTCAAGGGGAGAAATAGAGAGTAGATAGACAGGGGGAAGGGAGGGAAAAGGAGGAAGCATGGATTCTGGGGTCGCTCATGGAATGCACCGCCGCTAAGTCACATTCCCCCCAACCCCCCCTCCTCACCCGCATGGCGACCCTCTCTCCCGCGCTGCCATCAGCAGCGCGCACCAGCGGCTCCAACGCGCCCACGATGCGCTGCACTGCGCTGCGGTCCTGCAACATTGACTGGCAGGTATGTGCGGCCACAGGCGGGGGGGGGGGGGGGGGGAAGGAGGGTGAGTGATGGATGGGGATGGTGTGAGCATGCAGCGCGCACCAGCGGCTCCAACGCGCCCACCATGCGCTGCACTGCCCTGCGGTCATGCAGCACGGCCTGGTGAGTATGTGGCCCGAGGGAGGAGGAGAAAGGGGCGGGGGACGGGAAGAGGGTGAGTGATGGGTAGGGGTGGTGTGAGCATACAGTGCAGCGTCCAGTCTCCCACCTTCCCAACAGGGAGGGCAGCAGGGAGCAGAGCATGCACCTGAGGCACCAGGGCGTGCAGCAGCTGCATGCCCCAGTTCCACATGTGTGGCGCCGTGCCAAAGCGCGCCGACACCGTGGGCACCCCCAGCACCTCGTGCGCTGACACCACCTCCGGTAGATTGCTGAATGGGGAGGTGGAGGCAGGAGGGGGAGGAGCGGGAGAGGAGCGAGGGAAGAGCGCAGAGAGACGAGGCAGAGGCCTAAGGAGCAATGGTGACAGCTGCTGTAGGCATATGTTCATCACAGTCATGACAAGGCAACGGGTATGGAAATTCAAGGCAACGCAAGGCAAGGCACGCCCTCACTCACAGCAGGTACGTGCTTCTCTCCCCCACACCCTCACTCACAGCAGGTACGTGCTTCTCTCCCCCACACCCTCACTCACAGCAGGTACGTGCTTCTCTCCCCCACGCCCTCACTCACAGCAGGTACGTGCTTCTCTCCCCCACGCCCTCACTCACAGCAGGTACGTGCTTCTCTCCCCCACGCCCTCACTCACAGCAGGTACGTGCTTCTCTCCCCCACGCCCTCACTCACAGCAGGTACGTGCTTCTCTCCCCCACGCCCTCACTCACAGCAGGTACGTGCTTCTCTCCCCCACGCCCGGCCCAAAGTCCACCAGACGCTGCCGGCTGTACGCTGGCAGCTGCAGGCGCTGCCCTGGCGGGGAGAGGGGGGAGGGGAGGGAAGGGCAAGACGAGGAGGGCACGGGGTGAGTGAGGCACCTCAGGCACAGGAGCGAGCAGGGGGAAGCAGCAGGGGGGGCCGGGAGAATAATACAAGGTGAGCAACCCTTTGATGCCCTCCTTCCATCCCACTCTCTCCCCTCCACACTTCACTCCCCACATCCGCTCCACCCATTCCTCCTCCTTCTCCAATGCATTTTAAAGCACTGCCCTCATCCCCCATTCACTTCCTCCTACACCCCCATCTTTTCCCCCATAAACCCCATTCCCCCCACCTCACCGTCCTTGAAGGCCGTGGCAGGCTCCCCCAGCAGCAGCAGGCTGGTGGTCAGGATGGTGGAACCCGCCCCCCCCGTGCCCGCCGTGAAATACGACAAGCTGGGGAGAGGGGGAGGGACGTTTTTGGTGGGGCAGATGAGAAGAGAAGAGAAGCGGAGGGCATGGGGGAGGGGAGTGGGTGGAGAGAATGCGACGGTGCAGGAGAGGAGACAGGTGCAGAGAAACGACACGACATGATAAAGATGGAACTTGGTGGGTGCAGTGCAGGTGAGGTGAGTGAGTGTGTGAGCGAGTGAGCGTGTGAGTGAGACGGTGAGTGAGCCTGTGAGTGAGTGAGAGAGAGAGAGTGGTGGCACCGCAGGCTCTTTGGTCGAAGGCCGAGGGCGGCCTGCTGCTGGCCTTGTTGCTCCTCCATGCGCGCCCCCTCCTCCCCCGCTAGCCGCACCAGCTCCGCTGCCATCACTGCAGAGAGGAGACACAGGAGAGCAGGGAATGGCACGGTGGCCTTGGGATGGATGGACCACGCACGTAGCGTGGCAACAAAGCAGTGGTTTGGACGTCGGAATTGCACGTCGGATGGAGCATGAGACAGACGAACCGTGGTCCCCCCCACCCCACAACGCCTCACGGCAGCTTTCCCCTCCTTCCCCTCGCCAAACCCATGTATCCCCCGACATCCCACTTGCTGCACATCTCACTCCCGCCCGCCTCCTTGACCCCACGCACAGTTGCTGATGCCCGGGTAGATGCCGGCGGTGGTGATGGCCGGCACACCCGCCGCCACTGCAGCCCCGTGCAGCGAGCGCGCGTTGGCAGCGAACGCCACGTCGTCACACACGTCCACGTAGGGCGTCTGGGAGGAGGGGTGGGTTAATTGGGAGAGTAAGGAGAGGGCGTTAAGGGAGGCACGTCGAATCTTCTCCCCCGCGTATTCCCAGCGAACGCCACGTCGTCACACACGTCCACGTATAGCGTCTGGGGGAGGGGAATGTTGGGAGAGGGGAGAGGGGGTGAATGGCGATATTTGAGTCGACTGGAAAAACGTCACGCCGTCTCACACGTCCACGTACGGCGTCTGGGGGGGACGGGGGGGTGAGGGGAGGGGAAAGAGGGGTTAAATGGAGGAGATTGGCAGAGAAGAACTATTGCGCTATGACAGCACGGGGCAGGTGATGGGCACCGCAAGCGAGCGGTGTGGTAGGGTGTGTGGAGGGGAGAGAGGAGGAAGAGGCCTGAGAGGCAGGCAGCCCACCTTGGTGCGGATGGCTGCTTCTAGAACGGTGCAGTTCGGTTCTTGCTGGAAGGGCCCCGCACAGTGCACCACGAGGTCGGCTCCTGCGAACAGGCAGAGGACGGGGCGGGGCGGGGGAGCAAAGGGGGAGGGAGGTGATGGAGAGAGTAGGAGGTGATGCAGACCGGTTGGGGGGGTGAGGGTTAAAGAATGGGGAGAGGCACGGGAAAATGGGGAAGGATAGGGAGAGGGCGAGGCAGCAGCAGCGGCAGAGGCAGAGGATGGGAGAGAATGGCATGGGCAGGCACGGCGTGGTCCATGGGAGAGAGATGTGAGAGTCGGAGCTGTGAGAGTCGGAGCTGTGAGAGTCAGAGCTGTGAGAGTCGGAGCTGTGAGAGTCGGAGCTGTGAGAGTCGGAGCTGTGAGAGTCGGAGCTGTGAGAGTCGGAGCTGTGAGGGCGACCTGAGAGGGCGACCTGAGAGGGCGACCTGAGAGGGCGACCTGAGAGGAGGGGGTTGAGTGCACGGCGCGGCATGGTCAATGGGAGACGTGACACCCGGGGCACCTGAGAGGAGGCTGTCAAGTGCAGAGGCGTCGGTGATGTCGCACTCTATGAACGTCGCACTCCCTGCCGCCCCCGCTGCCGCCCTCACCTCCTCACACACCGCCTCGCCCCTCCCCCTGCCTCGCCTCCGTTGCGACACAGATGCGCCCGCGTGAGCAAGCGCGCATAAAAGGGTGGTGGGCGGGTGGGTTGGGGGCGGATGGGGGGTGGGGAATGACGAGAGCGGACGGAAGAAGGAGTGAGTGGCGAGTGGAGGAGAGGCGCACATGGCGGCAGGCAGCGAGGCAAGGGGCACATGCAGTCATGCGCGCATGTACACACGCAGCCATGCGCGCATGTACACACGCAGTCATGCGCGCATGTACACACGCAGTCATGCGCGCATGTACACACGCAGTCATGCGCGCATGTACACACGCAGTCATGCGCGCATGTACACACGCAGTCATGCGCGCATGTACACACGCAGTCATGCGCGCATGTACACATGCAGCCATGCGCGCATGTACACACGCAGCCATGCGCGCATGTACACACGCAGCCATGCGCGCATGTACACACGCAGTCATGCGCGCATGTACACACGCAGTCATGCGCGCATGTACACACGCAGTCATGCGCGCATGTACACACGCAGTCATGCGCGCATGTACACACGCAGTCATGCGCGCATGTACACATGCAGCCATGCGCGCATGTACACACGCAGCCATGCGCGCATGTACACACGCAGCGAGAAGCAGCACGGACAGAGCTCCGCAAGAGAGCGCCACGCGCAGAGTGCGCCATTCCGGGCGCGCGCGCACCTGTTGCGCCCGCTGATTATCAGCTCCAGTTGGAATTCCGCGCGCGTCGCCTCATCGTCGGACGCCGTCAGCGCCGCCAGCGCCACGGCCGTCGACCAGCCCCACGCGTCCGCTCCCGCCCAGCACCACCACGCGTTTCACGCCCCCGCTGCTTCGCTCGCCCCCGCCCCCGCCCCTCGACTCCTTCCCCTCATCCGCGCCTGCCGCCGCCTGCGCTCTCAGCGCGATGGCGCACCGCCTGGCCGCCCCGCGGAGAGGGGAAAGCGGAGTGCGGCGACGGCAGAGCGGACTCGCGCTGATGGCGGAGAGCGGCGGTAGCGGGGCGGAGCGGAGATATGGGGGAGAAGAAAGGCATGGCGGAATGAGAGGCGCGCAAAGCTGGTGCGCGCGGGCGAGGGGAAGCGCGGACATAGCGGTCGGAATGCAAGCGACAAACGCGGCGAGGGGGAGGTGGAGTGATGGTGGAGTTGTCTAGCAAGTATTGAATGCTCTCATGTGCCGGGAATCCGTTATTGATGACTTCGCTACTCGCTCCACGCTGTTGTGGGGTTCGAAAATACACACTTGATCCTTCTTGTAGCGTGAGAAAATAGTGTAAGGCAGTGTGAAAATTCGACCCCATACCGCACTTGAACGTACTGTAGCTTTATTTGACCCAACCAAACCTCCACCGTAAAGGTGCGACCCTGAAGATCAACCTTTCGCGAGCCTCACGTCGCACAACACAGTGGCGAACTGTGCACGTCAACACCTTTCCTCACCAAACACGCCTCCCCCAAATTTTGAAGGCCGCATTGACTGGCACTCGTGCTCTTGTGCTGCACCTACACACCGTACCACGACGCTCGTTGATCGTTGACGTGACCACGGTGCTGCCAGGCACATAACCGCCTCGCATCGCAACACTGAAATTAGTCCACGCTCACGATCTATATTGCCCAATTCCGCTACTCCCCGCGATTCGCGCTATTGCACCGCACCACGCCTCGGGCGCACGTGCTCTCTGCCGTCCACTCTCACGTTCATCTTTCCGTCAATCGCCTGAATTCGAAGACGTATCGTCCGTCAGCTTCGCCGTCACCGTCGTAGTTCCGTCAGCCTCCGTCGCTCGTCGGCCGTCAACGCGCGCCCATGCATAGAGTGGTCAGCGCCCTGCCACCCTCTCCTCCCCTCCCTTCCCCTATCCCTCCGCTTTGTCAACACCTCTCTCCTCTTACCGAACCGCCTCTTTCGTCTCCCTCCGCTGCCCCATCGTTTGCTCCTTACCGTTTTCCTCCTTCGTTCCTCTTTCCCCCTGCCCCCCCTTCCTCCCTCTCCGACTCGCACGTCACCAAACGCTCTCTGTTCTCCGCCTCTTCCCACCATGGCGAACCCTGCCGTACCCTCCCTTTGTCCCTCCACCGTCCCCCACCGTAGGGCGCACGAGCTGCGCAAGAGCGCGCCAAGCAGGTTGGGCGAGGGGCGGCTTCTGCGCTTGGGGGAAGAGCAGCTGCGCGGAGTGCGTGCGGGGCAGGGGGATGCGCGGGGGGTGAGGGCGTGCGGGCGGGGGTCAGCTGGCAGCCATGCAGCAGCGCGCGCGGTGACGCGGACCCGCCGCTTCTCCGCCTCGCACTGCGCCACTTTACCTCCGCGCGCCCCGCCGCAGCCTACCCCAGCGCCTTCGGCGGAAGCAGCGCCAGCACGGGCGGCTGGGGGCGGGTGGCAGCGGCGCGGAGGGCGGGGGCGGGGGAGCGGGAGCAGGTGGCGTGGCTGGCGGAGATGGCGCGGCACAACCCTGAGGAGGCGATCCGCGCGTTTGAGGCGAGCGCACAGCTGCAGGCCGTGCCAGGCGCGCTGGCGGAGTACGTGCGCGCGCTGGTGGCTGTTGACCGCCTTGATGGCAGCGCGCTGCTCGCCACGCTGCAACGAGGTACCGCGCGCCCCTCCTCCACATGCCCCTCGGCTGTCACTCCGCGTGCTGCCCCACCACACGCCATGGCCCGTGGCGCATGCCTCATGCCTTCTTCCTCCGCCCTGCTCCTCCTGATCTCAATCCGTTCTCTCCACGCCCTCACCTCTTTCTCTTCCCCATCCCCTCCCGAACCCTCTCCGATCGCCGCCTGCAGGCGCTGCGCGCTCCGCCTCCCCCTTCCCCGCCTCTTCCGCGCCGCTGTCGTCCATGCGCGCGCCTCTCCCGGGGGCGGTGGGCGCGGTGGCGGTGGAGGGCGCGCTGGGGACGGCGAGCGCGCCGCTGCACATGGTGGCGAGCGAGGGCGCGCGCGGACACGCGTGGCGCGCGCTCAGGTCGCTGGGCACCGCCGCCCTCGTGCTCGGCGCTCTCTGGGCCATCGCCCGCGAGCGCGATGTGGGACGCGGTCAGTTGGGGGAGGGGGGGAGGGAGGGATTGAGATGAAGGGAACATTGAGTTTGGAGGGGTGATGGGATGGGTGGATGTGGTTTGCCTTGGCACACTCTGGGCCATCTATGAGAGCGCGACGTGGGGCGTGGTCAGTGGGGGGTTGGGGAAGGAGGAACGAGGGGGTGGGGTGGGGGACGTGAATCTGGAGGGGTGATGGGGTGAGTGGATGTGAGTGTGATTGGCACGCTGCATGTCCTCTTTGCGATGAGCACGAGTTGATTGGTTAGCACCTGCCTCGACATGCCTCTCCTTCATCCCCCCTCCCCCCCTCCTTCCATCCCTCCGTCTCACATCCGCACTGGCCCCCTCCTCCTTCCAAATCCCACCCCCCTCCCCCCCGTCTCTCTCCCCCGTGGACGGCAGGGTTGGGGTTGAACGAGGAGGTGCAGCCGGCAGCGGAGAGTGACACGCGGTTCAGCGATGTGAAGGGCGTGGATGAGGCCAAGGCGGAACTAGAGGAGATCGTGCACTACCTGCGCGACCCCAAGGTGCTGCACTCCCTCTCACTCTCCCCTCCCCTCCTCTGTGCTCCTTGCTAGTCGTTACTGCTCGCTCATCATGCCTCGCATACCCCACGATGAGGCCAAGGCGGAGCTGGGGAAGATGGTGCACTACTCGCTCTTATGTTGGCACTCCTCCTCTGTGCTTCAACCCAATCCAGCTGCACTCTCCCATACTCGCCAGTCTCTTCCTACTTTGCCGAGTCAATCCGTGCAATTTCGTTCCTCCTCCTCCACTGTCCCACATCCTTATCCTTTCCCACCTCACATGCCCCCTGCCCTGCCTCCCCTCCCGCAGCGGTTCACTCGGCTGGGCGGCAAGCTACCCAAGGGAGTGCTACTGGTGGGCCCACCAGGAACAGGCAAAACAATGCTAGCGCGCGCCATAGCGGGCGAGGCGGGCGTGCCCTTCTTCTATGCGTCGGGCTCCGAGTTCGAGGAGATGTTTGTCGGCGTCGGGGCGCGCCGCGTGCGCGAGCTCTTCGCCGCGGCAAAAAAAGCCGCGCCGTGCATCGTGTTTCTTGACGAAATCGACGCCATCGGCGGCAGCCGCAACCCCAAGGACCAGCAGTACATGAAGATGACTCTGAATCAGCTGCTCGTGGAGCTCGATGGCTTTAAGCAGAACCAGGGTGTGATTGTGGTGGCGGCTACCAACTTCCCGGAGAGCCTGGATAAGGCGCTCGTGCGCCCGGGGCGGTTTGACCGCCATGTGGTCGTGCCGAATCCGGATGTGGAGGGGCGGCGGCAGATTCTCGAGCATCATTTGCGCAAGGTGCGGTGCGGTGGGGTTGGGTGCTGTGTGCATCGGTGCAGGGAAGTGTGATGAGGCACATCCAGCTGTCTATGCACACCTTCATTTCCTCCCCCCTCTCCTCCCTCTCACTCTCCTCCTCAAACCCCCAACCCCGTCACGCCCCCCTTCCCCTCTCTCCTCATTTCCCCCCCCCCAGATCCCCCGAGCAGATGATGTGGACGTGTCAGTCATCGCACGCGGCACGCCGGGCTTCAGCGGGGCAGACCTGGCCAACCTGGTGAACGTGGCGGCGCTGCGGGCAGCCATGGAGGGGCAGAGGGCCGTAGCGCTAGCCCACCTGGAGCACGCCAAGGACCGCATCCTCATGGGCGCCGAGCGCAAGTCCGCCGTCATCTCCCCGCAGACGCGGCGCCTGACGGCGTACCACGAGGGCGGGCACGCGCTGGTGGCCGTGCACACCGCCGGCGCGCACCCCGTGCACAAGGCCACCATCGTGCCGCGGGGTGTGGCACTGGGCATGGTGGCGCAGCTGCCGGAGACAGACGAGGTGAGCGTGTCTCGCACCCAGATGCTGGCCCGGCTGGACGTGTGCATGGGGGGGCGCGTGGCTGAGGAGCTCGTGTTCGGCCCGGGGGAGGTGACTTCCGGTGCGTCGAGTGATATCGTGCAGGCGACGCGGCTGGCGAGGGAGATGGTGACAAAGTATGGGATGAGTGAGGCGGTGGGCGTGGTGGCGCATGACTACGAGGACGACGGGCGGTCTATGAGCACGGAGACGCGGCTGACCATTGAGCGGGAGGTGCGAGCGCTGCTGCAGCGCGCGCATGACAACGCGCGAGCCATCCTGGTGAATCACGAGGCGGAGTTACATGCGCTAGCGGGGGCTCTGTTAGAGAGGGAGACGCTCACTGGCGCTCAGGTGAAGGCTGTGTTGGAAGCTGCTAGGAACAAGGCCGGTGCTGCTGCTGCTGCTACGGCTGGTGCTGCCGCTGTTGCGGTGGCGGGTGATGGTGCTGCGGGTTCCTCTGTGCCGAAAACAGCCACTGCCGCTGCTGCTGCTGCTGCGGCGGCGGCTGCAGCTGAGGCTGCTGCTAGTGCGGCAGGTGCACCCACGCAACCTGCGGGGGCCTAATTCTCTGCTTGGGCCTGCCTGTTGTGCTCTGCTTCTCCACATGGCAGATTTTCCATCAGTGCTGCCCGTGGGCACATGTTCGAAAGGGAATATTTTTATTTAGTTTTTAAGCAAAGTCAAGGGGTTGTGGCGTTTTAAGTGGAGGTCCTACGGTCAATGCGTGCGTCCATTCCTCAGCTCAGTGTTGACCTACTAGAACATGTTATGTTGTAGTATAATGTACAGCTATCAAACGCTGCAAGTGAACTGTTGGGCGTATCAAGTCAAAAAAACTCTGCAGCTTCGATATTGTTTACTGCTTCGTCCCCTTTCCACCTCGTGTCGCCTGACACCTCTTTAGCAGTCGCACCAGGTCGCAACAAGCCTATTCAGAGCGACACTGTCAACACGATAACAAGAGTGACGACCGGACGGCGTTTACCCACACGCGCCGCACACTTCGGCGGCTCTAGCGCATTCCACTGCCCTTCCCGCCGTTCTCGTCGCCAAACAGTCGTCGCGCGCTGTCGCTCGTCGCGCGCATCTTTATCCGACCTCGCCGCAAAATACTCTGGTTCTGGCTCGGCGCATGCCGCCACGGCGGTGTCGCCGCCATGTGCCTCGCGACTGGCAGCACGGTGCGGGGAGTCGCGATAGAGTAGGTTGGGGAAAGTTTGGTAGATAATTACCACGACGCGGTGCGGTGCGGTGCGGTGCGTGGTGATCGGTAGACCCGTGCCGCGTTAGTCCGTTAGCCACCTTCTGTTCGCCCATCCTTCCTCCAAGGACATTCCTCCTCCCCGCATCGCGCGCAGCCCCTTTCTTTCCGCGTCTCCTTCCCCGCATTGCTCTCTCCGCCATGCGATGACCCGTCCCCACTCCGCCAACGCCTCCAATCACTCCGCTCCCCCGTCCGCCCGCCGCTCCGCCTACCGCCTCGCCTCGCGCATCCTCTCCCTCCCCGCGCGACTCGCTCGCGCCGTCACGCGACCAGGTGACGACGCCAGCAATCTATCCGGAAACCGCAACCGGCATCGCAACCGGTCGGCATCGTCGTTCCTCTCCTCCGCCTTCCCCATCTCCTTCCCCCGCGCCCGGCGCCCCACCAGCGGCTATGCCTCCGCGGACTCGTCGTGGCGCGGGGACGGCTGGCCGGCGGCGGACGGCACGGCGCGCAGCGACCACGTGGGGACGATCACGGGGAAGCGGTACAGTGCGGTGCGGCTGGAGCAGCTGTACGAGCTGGGCGGGTTTATTGGGCGCGGGCAGAGCGGCGTGATCAGCGCGTGCTCGCACCGCCACACGGGCGAGCGGCTGGCCGTTAAGAGCATTCTTAAAAAGACCATCCACTCGGAAGGCACTGCAAGAGACGTGCAGCGCGAGGTACGCGCACGCAAAGGGAAGGGGGGGGGGTAAGAGAGGGGAGGGGGGAGGGATAAATAGGTGGGCTTCCTTGCTGGACTCGACTTTCCCATGTCACCCACGCCCTCTCCCTCCCCCCGTTTCCTCTGCGCTCTCCCCGGCCAACCTTGCTCCCTGCCCGTTTCCCCCATTTCTCCCCCTCTCCCTCTCTTTCCCCCCACCTCCAGGTGCAGGTGCTGGGCATGTTGCGCGGGCATGCTCACGTGGTGCGAATGGAGGGCGTGTTTGAGGACCAGACGGCCGTGCACATCGTCATGGAGCTCTGTCAAGGGGGCTCCCTCACCCACCACATCGCCCAGCAGGTGCGTGCCCATGCTCTCCTGCCATAGCTGTCATTCCCCTTCCTTACCTGCCCGCATCCACATCTCAAGCTGTGCCTACCACATGCTCCACCCGCTTGCTGTGAACCTGCATCCTCTCTTTGTCTCCCCCTCTCCCCTCACGCCTGCCCTCTCCTCTTCCTCCCATCCTCTTACCCCCTTCCTCGCATCCCACTTCCCAGGGCGAGTACAGCGAGCGGGCAGCAGCAGCGATAATGAGGGTGGTGCTGGAGGTGGTGAGGGCATGCCATGCGCTGGGCATAGTGCACCGGGACGTGAAGCTCGGCAACTTCCTGCTCTCCGACCAGTCAGACCACGCCACACTCAAGGCCATTGACTTCGGCTCCGCTGCCTTCTGCCAACCAGGTCACACCTGCCCCGCCCGCCCCGACACCCCTCTCCTTTCCCCTCTGCCCCGGAGACCTGCCTCATTCCGAGCCCGAGCCTGCGCCCCCTCGGCTTCCCTCTTCTTCCCTTTCTGCCCCGAATGCCCCAGCCCGCCTCTCTCCATTCCTCTCTCCACTTCTCCGCCTCTCACTGCCCAAGCCCCCTGCTCCTCCTCTCACTGCCCAAGCCCCCTGCTCCTCCTCACCCGTCCCTCCTTCTCCTCCGCTTTCACGGGCGGCACAGCAGGTGAGGAGCTCGAGGCGATGGCGGGCAGTCCCATGTACATGGCGCCGGAGGTGCTGGGGGAGCGATACTCGCACGCGTGTGACGTGTGGAGCGCTGGCATCATGCTGCACACGCTGCTCGCTGGCACACCGCCCTTCCAAGGAGGTGCTGCTCTCTCATCCCCTGCCATGCTGCCCCCCTCCCCTGCCACTCTGGTCTTTTTCTTTCCCCCCGTCAATTTGTCTCTCTCTTGCGCTCTTCTGTACCTCCTCTTCCTCACTTGTCTTGTCAACCATTCGTACCGAACCTCGTCTCACCGCTTCTCCTACCACACCCACCACCGTCGAACAAATTTCCCCCCAGTCCCTCATGCCCCCTCCTTCTCGTCAACACCCCCGCTACATTCGTCCTGGCCCCCTCCGCTCTTCCCCACACCCTTGCCCCCCATCAGACTCAGTGCTGGCGATATTTGAGGCGATCCGCACAGCACCGTTGGACCTGTCGGTGCATCCGTGGCCGCTCATCTCCCCGGACGCCAAGGCGCTGCTCTCCCGCATGCTCCATCGCGACCCCTCCAGACGCCCCACTGCACAGCAGCTGCTGGGTGCGGCCATGGGGCCATGGACCGTGGGCAGTGGGCAGTGGGCAGTGGGCAGTGGGCAGTGGGCAGTGGGCCATGGACCGTGGGCAGTGGGCAGTGGGCAGTGGGCAGTGGGCAGTGGGCAGTGGGCAGTGGGCAGTGGGCAGTGGGCAGTGGGCAGTGGGCAGTGGGCAGTGGGCAGTGGGCAGTGGGCAGTGGGCAGTGGGCAGTGGGCAGTGGGCAGTGGGCAGTGGGCAGTGGGCAGTGGGCAGTGGGCAGTGGGTGGTGGCACACCTTGCAGCTGTGCTGACCTTGTCTGTGCTGTGATCTTTGTGTCACCCACTTTGTCGCACTGCTCACTCACTGCTCTCCCTCCCTGCACTCCCTGCCTTGATGCCTCCGTGTGTCATCCCATCCCATCCCACCGCATCCCACCCCACCCCATGCCACGCCACCCCATGTCACGCCACACCGTGCCCCATGAGCAGGCGACCCATGGATATGCGGGCAGGAGGTGGTGGAGCGGCCACTGGAGAGCATCATGCTGCCACGCATGAAGCGACTCAGCGCCATGTCCAAACTGCGCCACCTCGCCCTCCTCGTCAGTCACGCCCCCCGCCCATTGCCTCATGCCACATGCCCCACACTTCCACCCTCCTCCACTGCACTTCCCACTGTGCACGCACCTGTGCGCTCCCCTCTTGCCCATCCCCATCCCCGCCCTCACCTCTCCTCTCGTCTCTGCCACACCCATCCATCCATCCTTCGGCACCTCATGCGCCCATCCTATCCACCCCCACTCCCTCTCCCCCACCTCCCCCCAGGTGACGACGCGGCACATGCCAGAGGAGCAGGAGAGGGAGCTGAGGGCGGTGTTCAGTGCGGTGGGGGCGGACCAGGGGGGCGCGCTGAGCCTGGAGGATCTCACAGCCGCCCTGCGCAGCGTGGGGGCGGCTCTCAGCGACGATGACATCCGCCGCATCTTTGCCTTCGTGCGTGCTGCTCCACACACTATCTTGAACATGCACAGTCACATAACCATGTGTACATGAACTTGCCCTCGCTCCTCTCCACATGCCACTCTCCCCATGATTATTCTGGTGCCCTCTACTCTTTACACATGGGAAAAGTGGCTCTGTGCGTGCGGGCATGCACCCATGAAGGTGGACATGGACGGCAGTGGCAGCATAGAGTACGCGGAGTTTGTCGCAGCCACCACCGTGCCATCACACTTGCCCTCGCACCTCTCCACATGCCACTCTCCCCATGATCGTTCTGGTGGTCTCTAACTCCTTACACATGGCAAATGCACACCCTTCCCCTGGCCCACCAGGTGGACATGGACGGCAGTGGCAGCATAGAGTACGCGGAGTTTGTCGCAGCCACCACTGTGCTGCACCGCGACCGCCATGCCGCCGCCATCCAAGAGGCCTTCCAGGAGATGGATGCGGATGGGTCGGGAGCGGTGAGCGTGGAGGAGTTTGCGGCGGTGTGCTGCCGGCTGGGCATGGGGTCGCTGGATGAGATGCGCGACATCATTGCAACTGCCACCGCCGCTGAATATGTGAGCTACTCCCCATGCCATTCGTGCTGCTGCGCGCTGTATTTCTACCACCATTCGTTTTGACAATATCACTCTGCGACCCTCTTCCTTGCCTCTCATCGCTGCCCCTTCCACACGCATGCATGCGCTGCCTCTCCACTGCACTCCTTACTTTTCCACCTGACTCGCAACCTGAGCCCAACTCTGTGCTTTCCCCCCTCCATGCATCCAGGGCAATGGGACAGGATCGCTTCAAGCAGAGGGTGCAGTGGAGGCAGAGGGCGCTGATGGCGCAGATGGCACAGCAGCAGGCAGCGGGGTTTTGGCATCGAAGCAGATAGAGTACAAGGACTTCTTAGCGCTCGTCACGGGGTCGGACCAGGAGGACCACCGCGTTGAGTCCTGGCTCGCTGCCGCCCTGCTCTGATGCTGCTCCTACGCCTCTCGCCTCCTCGCCTCCTCCTCAGTCACTTGCCTCCCACCCACCTCCCACCTATTCACCTCCACACCTCCCGTCTCCGTCAATGGACCACCCTCACACCCACTCTCACAACCCCTCCACCTGCATGCTAGCATCTCCCTTCGCCTTTCCACGGGTGTCTCTCCTCCATCGCCCTACGTGGTGCCACTGCCACGCACCACTACCCCACGCATCTCCCTCACCCCACTACACCACACTGCACCCAGCACCAGGGGCCAAGGCAGCGCGTTGCTGTGCGCCTGCTGCCACCTGTCTGCGCATGCCTTGCGCTGCACAGCTCCTTGTTGCACCGCCGTTACCACTCCTCTGCGGCTGCCCTCCTCCTACCCATACACTCCACGGTTGCAACCAAACAGAGTGTTGTGTTGTGCAATACCGTAGCTAGATTATCTTAGCCAGTCTATAACACGGATTCGGCCTGTCCTAGTCTCTAGGTTCCCTGTGTTGACGACTGCTTGCTCATAGGCCCTGGCTTGCTCATAGGCCCTGGCTTGCTCATAGGCCCTGGCTTGCTCATAGGCCCTGGCTTGCTCATAGGCCCTGGCCTGGCTGTGAATACGGTACGTGGGTTTGAATGGATGTGCGAGCGGGCAAGGGACCGAGGAGGGAGGACAGAGAAGCCCTCCCGCCACCCATTCTCACGCCACAAGCACCACCAGCTATGTGATTTGGTTTCCTGCCATGCAAAATCTACTTCTTGTTGATTACGGAAGTTCCTTACAATGCTCTCCCACTGCCATTGCCAGTGATACACATAGTACACTGCTCTTGAATACATCAACACCCACAACGTTTCTTTCACATGCGCCCTACACAGCATGTACCATGCAGCACCAGTGTCCCTCCCCATGCACACATGCATGCATGCAGGACACGAATCACGATTCACGAGTCATACGGTAATCCAGGCGCGAGGGTGAGGTGAGGGCATCAGCGGGGGTGGCGGGGCAGGTGGCACATGCGACACACAGTGCTGCCAGCGCTGGTGGGGTTGCCATACGTGCAGTGCATGCACGACCAGTACTCCCCCTCCCCTGCTGCGCCTCCCCCACCCACCACCTGCCCCTGCCCCTGCCCCTGCCCTTGCCCTTGCCCTTGCACCACCACGCCTTGTGCCACACCAAGGCTCACCCCTCCCGCCATCCCCCCATCCACGCGCATCCTCGCCTCCCCGCGCCCATCCCCCACCACCCCCCCATCAGCGAAATGCACATGGTTCACTCCACTGCCACTCCGCCGCCTCTTCCTCCCCTCCTCGCCCTCCCCGCCCTCTGCTCCTCCCCCACCCTTGCTCGACCCCACCCCTGCATCCCCCTCCCCTTTCGGCACGTCCTCGGGAATCTCCGAGAGCCCGGATTCAAGCGCGGTGACCAGGTTATGGAAGAAGGTGCGGGTGACGGCGGTGAGGCGCGTGAGGTGGGAGCGGAAGGCGAGGAACTCAGAGAGGCGGTGCTGCGGGGAGAGCGCGGCGGGGGAGGGCGCGGCGTGGGCATCGAAGGAGCCCTTGAAGTGGGACGGCACAAACGCCTCCACGTCCTTCTCCGCTGCCTTGTGCAGCCACCCCAACGCCGCATCCGCCTGGCCCTGCTCGACCAATCGCAATGCCCATGGGGTGAGGGGGGGGGGGGGGGGGAGGGGAGAAAGAGGTTGGGTAAAAGAGCGGGTGAGAGTTACGAGGGGAGGGCGCACTGGATGGTTGGTGGGGATGACATGAGGCCGCTGCTCCGCCACAGGACACTGCTAGCAGGGCTGCCCAGCTTCGAGCATGCGGCTGGGAGACACCTAAAGTCACCTGACGGATCACCTGAAATCACCTGAGGTTTCACCTGAAGATGACTGGGTTTAACTTTCAAGCGCACGGTGTTTCACCTGGAGGCATGGCATCTGGGACTGGCCTGGAGACAAAGCACCTGTTCGCTACTGACAGCAAAGGCACCTGGGACCGACAGACCTGGAGGTACTCGAAGAGGTTGCGGCGGGCGGGCTGGTGGTCGGAGAGGTAGAAGCCATAGGCGTAGGTCCACTTGAGCATGCGGCGACACGCTATGATCTGCTGCCACGCCTCCGATAGAAACTTCATCTGCGCCGCTGGCAGCCCCATCAGCCCTCTCAGCTGCTCCGCCTGATGCTGCTCCACCTGCGAGAGGAGAGGAAGGAGCAACAACACACAGCACAGGTGAGGGGCAAGGGTGAGTGGGTTAGGTGGCAAAGTGGGATAGTTGAAGGCACGCAGTGGTGGGATGTCAACGGGGCTCCATGGATACCTGTCTGATTCTTCCTCCCACACCTCTTCAATCAAACCTCCTGTCGCTTCCCCTCACCTCCAACCTCTCCCCCCTCCTCTCTCCCTCCATCCTCACCTCTTTGAGGCTCTCCTGGGCGCGGCGCCACGACTGTTCATTGCTGGCCCAGCGTTCAAAGTAGTGCAGATACCGCTCCAGTGACTGCCGCGCTCGCTGCCGCCGCTCCTCCTCCACGTTGTACTCGCCCTGCGGGGGTGGGAAATGGGGACAGGGGAAGGGGGAAGAGAGGATGGAAGAAGAAAATGCTTTTCGAGGCTTTTCAAGCTCCTCCGCATGCCCTACTTTCTCCCACCCCATCCCCCTCCCCGTCGGCCTTCAACCACCACCACTACCCCTCACCACCCTCCTCCCCTCCCTCCCTCTGCCAGACACTACCATCCCCCTGCTGCTCCCCCTTCCACCCCCTCCACCTTCTTCTTGCTGGTCTCGTAGCGGTTGCAGGCGTAGAAGCCCCCGGTGCCCTCACCGTGCTCCTTCCAGTCGCCCAGGCACAGCCAACAGAACTCGTGGCGGCACGGCGCCGAGCACGTCATGTGCATGCACCCATGGTTCTTCTCGATGGGCCGCTGGCACCGCGGACACGCCTTGCTGTTCGCCAGAATCCACTTCATGTTCTCCGACTCCGCACTGCAAGCCCGCACACCACGTTGGGAAAAGGGAATGGGAACGATGGGATGAAAACGATGTGCATGTGACGGAAAGTGAAGCGCCCTCTCAGCCCCGTGCCCAGCTGCTTACCCCCTCCCTCACCACCCCTACCCAGTGCCCCCAGCAGCACCAGTGGCAGGATGGGTCACGGACCTGTTTTTGACGACCCATTTGCGCACGAGTTCACAGTCCACAGGGCGGTGGGGCTCCTGCAGGCAGTGCCAGCACCACTCGTGCCCACACGCACACCGCACGTCCCGGCTCCTGCTCCCGCCCCACACCGCCCCGCCCCCCCCGCCCCCCTCCTCCTCCTCCTCCGCCATCACCCCCTTCAGCTTCCCCCCGCGCGCGCCCGCGCCTGGCAGGTTGCGGGGGGTGGGCGCGCCCCCTTCGGAGTGGATGGCGAAGTCACAGCCGGGCGAGGGGCACCACTTGACGCTCTCACTCGCCTCCACGAACGACCGCAGCTGGTACCGCCGGTACCGCTGCGCCGCTGCTGCCGCCACCCCCGCCCCGCACGGAAAAGCTGCTCCGCTGCCCTCATCTCCCGCTCCCCCTGCTGCTGCTGCTCCGCCTATTGCTGCTGCCGTTGCCCCCCCTGCTGCTGCTGAGTGCACTGCTGCGTCCGCCGCCGCTGCTGCTGCTGTGCCATGTGCGCCCGAGGCACAGCCCACAGCCTCCCTGCCTCCGGGCTCACCTGCGGCAGGCAGGGGCGCAGCGGGCGCGCCCTTGACCCTCCGCGCCTTGCCCCCGCGCCCGACACTCTGGGACGAACCAGCAGCGCCACACGCACCACCAGCTGCAGGGGCTGCAGCCTCACGTGAACTGACTTCTGCCCCTGCTGCTCCTCCTTCTCCTGCTGCTGTTGCTGCTGCTCCTGCTGTATCGCCTCCCCTGTCATTCTCCACTTCCTTCCCTTTCCCCTTCTCCTGGGCGCACATGTCCCCTTCCGCCCCCGCTTCCCCCCGCCCCTCCCCCAGCGCGTCCCCTTGGGCGGGCGCAGCAGCGTCCGCGAGGAGCGCGAGGATGCGCGCATCCTCCACTGCTGCGCCGCACTTGGGCGCAGGGCAGCGCAGCGACAGGCACCCCGCCCCGTCAGCAATGGCGGATGCCACGTAGGTCTGCCAGCAGGGCACGCAGTAGCGGTGCTGGCCGCACAGCGCCATCACGACCGTCGATTCGAGGGGATGGTCGTCGAAGCAGATACCGCAGCGCACTGTAGCGGGGACAGCCGCGGAGGATGACGCTTCCCGCGGGGAGGCGGGCGCAAAGATCCCCAGGCGCTTGCGCACCCCCTCCTCGTCCGAAAACCACGCGTCGCTGGTGGAAGGAACGGGGGAAGCGGGGGGGAGCGGGGGGGGCGGGAAGAACAAGGTGGAGACATTCAGGGGAGAGATAGGAGAAGGGTTGAGAGGGGACGCGGAAAAAGCGGTGAGGAAGACCAGGGGAGGCACGGTGCATGGTGGCACCGCGCGCGGAGGCACGGTGCGCGGAGGCGCAGAGAGATGACGCGAAATGGATGGCGAAGCGCGCGGTGATAGCGGGGGTGGCGGATGGGAGCGGCAGCGAGAGAGAGCGCGGCTCACGCGACGCGGTTGACTCACGTGACGCGGTTGACTCACGTGACGTGGTTGACTCACGTGACGCGGTTGACGCTCCACTTGAAGGAGCGCAGCAGCAGCGCGGCGGCGGACTCGGAGACGTTGAGGAAGCTCACGATCTCGCGCACCAGCCGCGCCTGCTTCCGCACTATGTCCGCCTCGGACAGCACCTGCAACGGTCGGGATCGGTTGGGGCCGGTGGCGGCATTCGCGCGCCCGTTGGTGGTGTCAGCGTTATGGCAGGGGTAGGGAGAGAGCAGAGGCAGCAAAGGGGAAAGAGGTGTCAGAAGGAACAGCAGGCAGCGAGAGCGAGTAGCGAAATCACGCGCGTGTGACGCGGCGCGGAGTTACGGGAGGCAGCGACGCGCCTTGTACTGGCTGTCGCGACCTCGCGGGGTATCCGCCTCTTGTACCTCCTCCTCCTCCTCAACCCCCCCTTGCGTGTCCTCCTCCACCTCCTCCTCCTCCGCCTCGTCCTCCTCCTCATCCACGTCATCATCCACGTCATCGTCGCCGTAGTCCTCGTAATCGCTTGCGCCGTCCCTCACCTCGCCCTGCTCATCGCCCTCCGCTCCGCGCACCTCCACCACCTCGTCGTCCGCCATGCCTCCCCGCGTCCCAACCCAATCCGCGCACCACCGTCGCTCGCTCCGCCGGCGCGCCGCTGCACGCTGCCCGTGCCTCACGCGAAGGGAAAGAGCAGAGCCAGACGCGAGTAGAGCGCAAATATAATCTCTGCGTTAACAAAAAATAAAATAACAGGGCTGACGAACGGACTAAGGACTAGGACTAAGCAGTGGAAGAGAGTAGTATCGAGCCAATCCTAATGTCGAAGGAAGTGATGAAGCGTTTTTAGGGTTGCCGAGGGATGGCGAACATGGCGTGAGGTGGGTGCAGAGAATGTGCACAAGAAGTTTGAGGTGTGTTCTATCGAGGATGCATTAGCGGGTTATTGCGTGATGATTTCAAGAGTGATACAAGATCTAGATTCACATACCGGTACCTAAACTGGAGGCATCTTTTCTCAACCCCTGTTGGGCTGAAAAAATGAGTTTTAGTTTCAATATTAAACTACTAACTAGCCTCAGGCCGCCATTTCTTCCACTCTAAAACCTGGCCCAGATCCCACTCGGTTGTGATAAGTCAGTGGAAGGCATCCCAATCGGCACTGGTCATCCTTCCCATCCCATCCACTTGCAAGAATACGGTACTCGAAAATGGCTGTCACTAGCATGGTGCGACAACACCAAAGTTCAATTATATACAGACGCCATGCAGGTACAGAGTACCAGTACCCTGTTTCAGCACACAGTGCTGTCCTGCTCCACATGTACCGTACGTTACAGATGACTTACCGATGACTTTTCCGTACCAGGCCCTATCGACAGCCGTCACTGTCACCATCCGCACTGCTATCCACACCGCCATCTGTGCTCTCATCTGCTTGCTCGTCATTAGTGGCACCACCGGAGCCGGCGTGTTGCCACTTGGCAGCGGCACGACTGAATGCCTGCTCCAACGACAGGGCAGCAGGCGCACTAGTGCCTGCTTCCTCCTCTCGTTGCTGCTCCTGCTGCTGCTGCTGCCATTTTTCCTGCAACTGTGTTATTGCCATGGCTGCTGCTTCTGCCACCTCCGGATCGGCATCTTTTGTTAGCGTCTGAGATAGGAAAAGGAAGACACACATTGCAAGAGTGACAGCATACATCGTCAGTACCACACACACCGCAACGCAACATACAATACTACATCATATTCATCTATACAGCCACATCTGCAACACTACTCCTGTCGCATGCAAAGCACCAACAGAAACTCATAACGTCCCCCACCTACCTCTCTCCCCTCACCCTCACCTGCCTCTCTCCCCTCACCCTCACCTGCAGCACTCCCCTCACCCTCACCTGCAGCACTGGCCACGCCACTGACCTGCAGCACAGCGCAGCCGGCATTCCCGAGGGCGGAGAGGGAGGGGGTGCTGGAGAGGGCGTCAACAGCCGTGAGGCGCAGCGCCGCGTGGGGGGAGGCGCAGCAGCGGTGCAGCAGAGCCAAGCCGTAGCTGCTGCTCACCTCGCCCATGTCAACCAGCGCTGCCAACAGGAAGCCCAGCTGGGGGCAGGAAAGGGGGAGGAGAGGAGAGCAGGAGGGCGGGAGAGAGAAGGAGCAGGAGAGAGCAAGAGGGCGTGGGTTGCTGCTCACCTCCCCCATGTCCACCAGCGCTGCCAGCAGGAACCCTAGCTACAGATGGAGGGGGAGCGGGAAAGGAAGAGAATGCAAAGGAGGGGTGGAAGAGGGAAAGGGAGGAGCAGCATATTGCGAGAGGGCACGGGATCTGCTCTGCAGGGGGCAAGGGAGGACGGAGAGGCGAGGGGCCAGCAGCACAGCGAGATGGATGCTGCAAAGTATGGGCAGCGCGGTGGGTGTGCTGACCTCCTCTGTGGTGCTGTCGTCGCCCCCCACTCCCAGCACTCCCCACTCCTCCTCCTCCCCGTCCTCCTCCCCCTCCACTGGTGCGAGGGAGTGCGGGCCAATCTCTCGGTACAGCTCCTGCCATGCACGCACGCCCCGAGAGGATTCAGTACACATATGCCATGTGATGTGAGTGTGTGCACCATGGCATGATGCCATGGCATGAGGCAGTGGTGACATGCGATGGACAAGAGGCCAGAGGATGGAAGAAGAGCATGAGAGAGAGGGCAAGGAGGACGAAGTGCAAGGCATTGCCATCAAAGGACCAGGAAAACACAGATGCTAGATGGCTCAAGGCAAGGCTCATACGTCAAGTGCAGCAAGCGTCTTGAACGACAGTGTGGATAGTGGATGCTGCCGGTGACGTGGCGTAAGGGGATTCGTGCTCACAGACCTCCTCTGCTCCCCATCCTCCTCCACTCTACTCCCTTCTGCACCTTCACTTTGAGAGTCCATTACAGGAAGCGGTTGTGAGGAGGACGGTGGCATGGAGGCTTGACTGGTGGATGGGGTGGATGCAGCTGAACTGTCTTGAAGGGGTGCCGATGGGTGCAGAGGAGTGCTACTTCTTCTTGTGGTGTTAGCAGGAGTGTTGGAGGGTGTGGAAGCAGGCGTGGAAGGGGCAGTAGAGGTGAGGACGTCGGGGCGAAGCAGTGTGACTATAGCGGAGTGAAGGCTCTTCACCACCTGCGTGTGGCCATAGGGGATACGGCCAACCAGGCAGCAGCATGGGAGGGGGCGAAGGGGCATGAGGGGGAAGGTGTGGACGATGCTGTGACGGATGCATTCGCATGCATGTGGCACTTAGCATGCATGCGCATGGATGGAGTGGACGCGAGTACCTGCAGAGCCAGGAAGACGTCTTCTAGCCCTCGCCGCCTCATGCGCATGTCAGCAAGACGCAGATCCGCCTGCCATGCCATGCCGAAGAAGGGGTAGTGGAATAATAGGCATGGGGGTTCAGGGTGGTGTGTCGTCCGTTGTAGGTAAGGGTGGTGTGGCGTGGGGAAGAAGGGAGGCAATGAACATGTCGGGAAGCAGCACATTGTCTCTCCATCAACGATACCAACTGCCAAGCAACCAGCACGAAACACGAACGACGAGTCTGAAGCATGGCTCACTGCTCACCGCGAGGGCGCCATCTCGCCAGTGCTGCGCGGCCTGCCGACTCAGCTCCTCGCGCGCACTCTCCTCCAACCCCTGCACCCACACGCACAGCCCCACACCCACACGCACCACGCCCACACGCTCGTTAGCCCATGCACTGAAAGCCTGACCCCCATGTCCGCACAGCCCTTAGCCCACGCATAGGCCTGGCTTGGAAGTTGCACAGATTGGGTGGCCGAGGCTGAATTGCTACAGATCCCGGTGCTCACTGAACCTGATGCACCTCGTCCCCCGCACCTGTTCCCTCCATTTGTCGTACCAGCGCCAGGTGTCGCAGGCGCCTGACTCGCAGCCGTGCGCGCGCATCCAGCACCCCCGCGTCCTCGCGCGCCCGAGCTGCTCACATGGCGGGCACGGACCGGCGGACAGTGGGAGGGGATGGGAGCAAGGGACGAGGGGAGGATGGCGAGCAAGAAATTGCAGGACGCGAACCGCGGGGAGGAACGCGATTCGGCGGGCGAGCATGAGGAAGAAAGACTGGGATACGGGACGTGCCGTCGAACGTGACGAGCTTACCGTCAAGCTGACCAACTTACCGGCGAGCGTGAGGAACTTACAGGCGAGGGAAACCTACCGTCGAGCGTGAGGAACTTACAGGCGAGGGAAACCTACCGTCGAGCGTGAGGAACTTACAGGCGAGGGAAACCTACCGTCGAGCGTGAGGAACTTACAGGCGAGGGAAACCTACCGTCGAGCGTGAGGAACTTACAGGCGAGGGAAACCTACCGTCGAGCGTGAGGAACTTACAGGCGAGGGAAACCTACCGTCGAGCGTGAGGAACTTACAGGCGAGGGAAACCTACCGTCGAGCGTGAGGAACTTGGATCCCAGCAGCGCCACGTCCTCGCGCGCCCTCGAGTCCATCGACCAGAACCCCCTGTTGGGGCACCAGTGCACACGGACACAGCAGCGGATTGGACGTGATTTTGCGGCGAAAGTGAGAGGGGACGGAGAGAGACGGAGCCCAGCAAGTGTGATTGTAGACTCGTTCTCAAGCCGTCTACCCTTGCCGAACTAAACCAAGAATAATAGCTCAGCTGAACCGAGGTCGCACAGCAATCTTTCTAAAGGCCAATGGTGTTCAATGCAACCGATAGCGCTTGGTGGCGTCAACGACGAAGACAACGCAGCAATGGAATGAAAGAGGCACCTGGCAAGCAGCGTGGCGTCCTTGCGCGCGAATTGAGCGGCGGTGGTGAGGCCAATCAGGCACGGCGGGGACTCGACATCGCTCGAGCGCCCTCCTGCACCCGCGGATGCGCATATCGGACAGTCGGATTCGCAGCCTGACTGCAGGAAGTCGCACCCTCCCACGCCCATTCCCGCGCTCACGTCGGCGTCAGGTGAAGCGGAACTGGCAAGAATTTCTCGGATCTGACGTCTGTTGTCCGATACGCTAGCGACGGTGCCGTCAATGTCGCTCGCTCCCTCCTTGCCAAACGCCCTAACGCAAACTCCCGACTCACGGGTCGACGCGTGTTGGAAGAATCGCTCTCTCGATCCTACGCATCCTGATTTCGCGTGTACACCTCCAATCGCCTCGCCCCAAAAGGGTGAAATTCGCACGAGACTCGAGACAGGATTGCTAATGGCGGAAGCGGGTCGAACATCGTAGTGAAACGCGAGCCGCGCGCCCGCAAGCGCAGACGTCACCTGGCACGGAATGCCTGCCATTGCTAGCGAAGAAGCTGGGAGCTTGAGGGAGGCTGCGAGCGTTGACAAGAGGGAAAGCCTCAAGTCAAACGGGCACAAAGCCAATTCTTGAGTCGTGAAAGATGTCAGCGTGTATCTGATGCAGCGTATGTGATATAGCTCTGCTTTTGTCAAGTGCAGGCAGCCGAGGTGGTGTGGTTGAGGAGGGCAGATGCAGTGGAGGGGAAGGAGGGAGATACAAATCGGGAATCCCAAAGCGGGAGGGCAGAATCAAGGGCTACGTGGCAGCTCCTTGATACCTGCGGAAGATATGATTGGACGAATACGTTTGCTTGGGGAACCAATAGGCTTTGTGGTATGCAAAAGTATAGATGGAGAAGAATTTGGGTCTAATGAAGCGCGTGAATAAGGTTACAGTGCAATTTCATGTTTAGGCAACTCATCCAAGCAAATTATTTTATTCCATCCACGAACAGCTGGTCCGAATCTGAACACGTGTTTTGGGGTAGTAATGATGTAAGCATTCGATTCGGCGAAAACCATAGCCACTAAGCGTAAGCCACACCACCATCGACATTGATGGAAGTTGTGGTTCAGATCACTAGATGTTTGAGTTCCTCTACGAAAAATCTTGCACAGCCACCAAGTTTTGGGTGGAGTGCAGAAATGTCCTCGATACAACAATGAGATCCACTAGTCGTGAAGAGGTGTGGGTTGACGCATATAAGTTACATCAAGATCCTCAAACCATCATTTCGTCCCTGCACATGAAAGTAGGGTCAGATTTCTAGCCAGCCAAGAGACAATAAACCAGAAAACTCCAATTAAACTCACCAGGCGTCATCAGTATCAAGGACGAGGCATGTTATACTCTTTTGCCCCCTGCATTTACACATGCCACGCACACAAAACAAATGCAATTGGACGAGATGGAAGAGTCAAATGCACAGGCAGAGAAGTGTACTTGCACGGACCACATGTGTGTGCGTGCACATAGACATGACGTGAAAGTTGTAATCCACATATTCTGGTCCCCTTGTTAAAGCCCTGCTTCCAATAGTCTGACTCACGTTGGAACTGGCTTCATGCATGACCTCATCACCTCGCCGTCAAGCTCAACGATGCAAACATCACATTGCCCTGTGAGGCAGAAGCGGTTGTCAATCGTCAAGGCACCCGCGTCGACAGCAGCCTTTAGCAGACTGGAACCCTCCTGACATTATTGAACGGGTGAGCGTGAATAGGGTATTTGAAAGAAAAAGCTGTGTCTGAGAATATCGAGAGGGAGTAAGGAAACTGGTGGGGAGAAGACGTCCGGATTGTGCAGCATTCCAGATTCAAATAATCCTACTGCTACACATTTTGGGCAGATAATATCAGCTGAACGATGAATGATGACCTTCACTTTGTGAATGGACCAAAGTGAATCACTTTTATTTTCAACCAATGCTTTAGTTTCCAGAGCTTGAAGTCTTCCTACAAACTTCGACATTCTCGTCCCAATTCCCACTGTGGGAGCCACGCACCTACGAAACGAAAAATAGGTGGCGTTGTAAGCACTCACCGGCGCGCTGCAGGTGTCGCCGTACGGCTCCCACGTGATGTCCACCATGGGCCCGTCCACCACATTGTCGTTCAGAAACGCGCCCTCGGGCAGACTATGGGGATTCAAGAGAGCATCGTTGAGAGGACCGAGGAGACAGGGGTTAACACTACGTCAAAATGACAATGTGATGTAAGAAGAGGGAAGATAAAGAGATTCGAGCAAGAGTTTAAAAGGGCAAGGTATAAAAGGCTCACGTCTCAAAATTTTCCTGCTATTGCTTTCCTACTCTGCTTCGCCCATACAAATGCTTTTCATTCTGCGTTGCGATTCCTTCGACTCACCCTCTCTCCTTGCCAGTGGCGGCCGCCAAAAAGAACTCCTCTCGCAGCTCGGCGCCCGTCTTCTTCCGCTCGCCGTCCGCTGCCTCAGCTCTCACCGCCAACGACGCTGGCCGGCCATGCGATACCTAACAGAGGCATCGACGTGACAAGGTTAAAGCCGCGGGACCATCGGATGGCGCAGTGTTCAGAATGCGGCGGAAGTTCGCCTACCTGACAAGTCGGAACTGCAGTACTTCTAAGCCTCTGGCCTGCAAATGGAAAGGAAAGCTTCAGTTTAGACTGCTGCTCGCTTTTACGGTACAGCGGTAAATGAGGTGATCAGCGGTAATTGTGGTGATCAGCATCTCACCAATGAAGGCGTTGCTTTGCAGCTTCACAGACAGATTTCCGAACGAGGTTATGGCAGCCATGAGGATGGCTAGTGAGCGGAATTTGTGAAATGGCTGCTGAGGGAGCACGTTCCTAGTTTCTGCTTTGCTGTGGAGAAACTTTTCAGGAATACTGATGACGAAGTGATGTGACGGCAAATGAGCTTGTGGCTGTCATGCTCCAAGTTTTGCTTGGCTTGGCTTGAATTGATTCATGATCACTCCCTCAGTGCCGTGTCGCTCTTTCTCACATAGGCAGAGAAGGGAAGACAGGGTTGGCCACGTGTTGCTCTTACACTGGATGAAGAATCTGTTCTGGCTTTCCCCGACGTCCGAATTGCGGGTACGGGATTGCGCAGTTGACATGTCATCAGATCAGCATTTGCGAGTCCACATGGTCATTGGTTGGTGCTACTGCAATCACTGTTACACGCATTCGCCATACGCACACACATTTGTAAATAGTTGTTGTTATGAAGGTACATATCAGGTGCCACAATTCTCGCTCAGTCTGAAATCACCTAATACAAAAACGAAGCCCCACAATCGAGATGTTACCATACCAGCCTTCCCGGCTGTAATCCGTTTCGCGACTGGCTTTCGCAGCGACAGCAGGATCCATGGTGCCCACGCCAGATCCCCTTGCTGATAGTGGCACGCCCAGGCCGCCCGCGTCGCAGGTGCAATCACACAAATCTCGGGAGTGCTCTGTGTATATGGTTGACTGTAACTCACTGCAATCGACGGTCACGTGTTACTCTGCGAGGGACCCTGACGGCTTCGATTTGAAGATTGTTTCTTGTGCAGATCGCAGGTGTGATTAGGTCGTTGTCGCCAGAGAAAAGAAGACCCAGGGTGGGGGCTATCTGGTTGGCGCGCTTGGCGCATTGCTGTTAGCGCCCTCCCCCCACACCTACCTTCAGAAACGATCACGGGGTGGAGAAAGGGCGGGTGAATTGTCCGCCTCACCTGCGCTATTGGCACATGTTTTCCGCCCTTCTTCCACCCTGTCTGCACACCCTCCGCATCCTTCCTTGGTGCATCCTCCAACACAGAACACAAAATCGAGCACAGTATTGCCATCCCCTCCCATCGCAACTCATCCCATCCCATCCCACTCCATCCCCTTCTCCTTTGCTAACAAAGCCAGTTGATTTTGGTTGTTCCTTCAGTCTTATCACAAATGACACTGTTCTAACAAGAGACACTAGGTAACGGATCTTAGCTTGTATCTCCACACAACCACATCTCTTCCTTTCATTGTCCGCACACATGGCTTCAGCCTGTCACAATCGCGTAGTAGCACTCGTGGTTCTCATAGTGCTCACCAACTCGAGACTAGGTCTAGCAGCAGCGGAGCAGCGGCCAATAGCATCCTTCTTCGGCGATCCGCACTTCGAGGGCGCAGATGGCGTTCATTTCCGATTCACCGGCGTGCCGGGCGAGGCCTACTGCCTGCTCTCCGACCCCTCGCTGCACATCAACATGGAAATGGCCGGCGACTCGGGTAGTCTAGGCGACGATTCGATCAGTTCAGGCAGCGATGCTAACATTACTCCAGGCGTCACGCAGCGCACATGGGTTAAGGCGATAGGCGTGCTCGTGGCCGGCCACTCGCTGCAGCTTAGAGCGCGGCAGGGGGCAGACGCGTCGCTCGGCGACGGATTTTTGCAGTCGATAGTGTTAGACGATGTCGCCCAGCGACTGTCACCATCGCACATCCTAGAGAGCGACGACGGCACGCTGAGAGTGCACCACGTGGGGGTCACCGAATCAAACGGCGTGGAAACCGAGACTCTCAGAATTCAGTCCGGTGGCCGGCAAGGGGCGGACTTCCTTGTCCATATTAGGCCAGAGGCGGTCGACCGGCAATCACCAGTGGACGCGTTTGTGCATTTCTCGGTGGAGGTGTTATCTGGGGGAGGGTTGACCGACCCGCACGGCGTGATGGGGCAAACGTTCCGGAGTTCCCAGAAGGAGCGATCCTTCGCGGTAAGCCTGCAATGGAGCCGCGACGCGCAGGCTTGGGAGGTGGCAGGAGATAACGGCGACGGCTATCTTGACGGCTCCGTCGACAGCTACCGATCGTCCAGCCTCGTCGCCGCGGATTGCGCGTTCTCGCGGTTCAAGGCGGCGGAAGGAGTCGCCGGCGCGCGGAGAGAGGAGAGTGACGGGTCGTGGGCGGTGGCGGAGATGATGGGGGAGGGGGAGGAGGCGGAAGGGGCAGGGGATGTAGGTCCGGGGATCGCGAGTGCGGTGGGGCGCAGGCTGCTGGGCGAGAGAAGACTACGCGAGTGATGCGCGCGGCGGGCGGTTGCGCAGTTGTTGCTCAAGACTGCCGAGGCTGGAAGGCGCCGGGGATGCTGGCGGGGCACCGTTGACAGGCTTTAAGGACCGAGCTGGTCGCCAGTAGCCGCCATTGGTTACTGAGATACTGCATGGGGGTGTCTGCTATTACCTGCGACTCGGTTTGGCGTGGGACCTACGGCCGAGGAAAGACGCTCAGGGCGTCAAGTAGTAGCCCTTTAGGCCACTGATGGTGGTGATTGTGTGTGCCATAGGTAAATTATGTACAATGGATTTGTACCGTATGTACCATTATGACAAGTTGCTGTAAGGCTCCACTCCACAGTGATGCAATTACAGCACTCAGCCAACCTTACACATCCTTTTGAAATACGGTATGTGGAACTCGGTAGCTAGACCTGCTGGTGGGTTGCTCGGGTCTGTGCTGGTGGATTTTTTTGGTTCTGTGCGGCTTTGCTGGTGGATTTTTTTGGTTGGGGAAGCATGTGATGAGTGGGCTGGGGCAGCAGTTGATACCACCAGTAATAACTACCACCCATGCACGTGCACTGGGGCAAAGAGAAGCCAAGTCACAATAAGCCAACAAGGAATTGGACAAGCAATAGGGTGGGCAGCAGCAAGAGTGTACAGCTAGCTTGGCATGCTATCTTCTCACACCAAGCCTAAACCGACCGCCCTGCACCGCACCAAACTTAGCCACGGAAACCGCCTGCGCATGCCCACCCACCCCTCTCAACCCTGATTCTACATTCACTCCCCTTCCTCTACCCTCCTGACCTGCCGGCACCACCACCTTCCTGGGCTGCCCCCCTGCATTGATCACTCTCACCACTGTGCTGCTGGGCCCCCCTGCTTGCTGCCCCCCTGCACCCTGCACGCCAGCCGCCTGTGTGCGCCCAAACCTAGGAGCCAGGTCCGCATCAGCTGGTGTATACTCGTGTGTCCCTGCAACCCCAGGCGTTGGGGCGGCATCTGCTGGCGTGTACTGGTCTGTGGCTGTGCCACTGTGTTCCTCTCTGTCTCCTAAAGACAACCCTGCTGATGCCCCTGCTGAACCGACTGCCTCTACCACTGGCTCTTCTGCCGCTCCCTCTGCATCCCCCCTTCTCTCTGCTGCACCTGCTGCGGAGCAGGGAGGGCAAGCTTGAAGGGGGGCTGCTGTGACGGGGAGGGGAGAACCATGAGGGTTCACTGCGGCTGTACGTGTGCCTGTGGGCCCTGCAGCAGCAAGTGAGGTGGGAGGCAGGGATGGTCCTGGCGATGTGGGTGGTGAGAGTGAGAGTGATGATGAGGGTGATGGTGGTGGTCGTGTGGGCTGGCATGGCAGCAGGCCGCAAAAGGACAAGCCCAGCCATGAGGCCGCCCGTGAGTGTGTCTTTCTGCCCACCCCCATCCCCTCTGCTGCTGCTGCTGCTGCTGCTGCTGATGCTGATGTTTGTGCCCTTTCAGAATCTGGTGCCATTGCTGCTGCCTCTGGCCCTCCCTTCTCTAATGCCACTGCTGCTGCTGCCACCAGCCCTTCATGACCTGATGCCACTGTTTCAATTGGTGCAGCCTGTGCAGCACTGTCCAACCTCGATGCAAATGCAAGCACACTTGGATCCTCTTCTGCCTGCACTGACACCCCCACGCTCTCTGATGCTCCCACACTCGCTGACACCCCTGCTGATTCTCCCACCCTGCCTCCCCCCATTCCATCTGCTGCGCCAGCACCCTCCTCACCTACACATTCTGCTTCTCGTACAGCAGCACCATCCTCCACCGCACTGCACTCCCCATCACCACACCGCACTCCTCCCTCCCAATCCCCTGCACCACAACCGCCCTCCGCCACACGCACCTCCCCCGCATCACCACCACCCTCCCCTGCTTCCTTCCCCACATTTCCCCCAATCCGCATCCCATCAGCAGCCCCCCACACCCCCCTCAGCCTGAGGCGCCTGGCAGCCCTCACATGGCGAGGCTCGGGGGACGCCATGCCACGGTGCAGGGCAGAAGATGCATGGGATACAGGCATAGGGGCATGGGGAGTCATGGGGGTGATGGGGGGCATGGGCGTGTATGGGGACATGGAAGCTGATTTGCTGATGGGGCGACGCAGGGCAGGCGAGGAGGAGAGGGAGAGGGCGAAGGAGTCAAATGGCATGCGCATGCTCCCCCCGAGCCTTCTCAGCCTCACCCATGCCCCGCTCTCCCGCACTCCCACCCCACCCGCTTCCTCTCCTCCCTCGCCTCCTTCCTCACCCTCCTCCCCGCTTCCTCCTCCCTCCTCTACCCCTTCCACCCCATCACCACCCCTATGAGCACGAGGTGTGGTGGCGGCACTAGCTGCGCGCCTCTCCCTCCCCCCACCCTCCCGCTGCCTTCTCCGCTTGGGTCCAATGCCCTCTCCCCCACCACCACCGCCGCCACTCATGCTGCTCTCGGCGCCACCGCTGCTGCTGCCTGGCCGGCTCACACTCCTCCCCAGGGGCAACCGCAGCGACGCGGACACTGACGAGCCTGACCGCACTGGCCCGACTGAGCCTGGCCGCACAGGCACGGAGCCAGTGCGGGCGAGTGAGCGCGAGTGGCGGGCAAACTGCAGGTCGGCGACAGCTGCTGCTGCCTGCTCGTCCGTGCGCGCATACACCTTGCGCCCCGTGCGCGATGGCAGGGCAAGGCTGGAAGCGTGAGCGTGGGGGTGCACAGGGGGCGGGTTGCCGGGTGCAGTGCTGGTGGTGGTGGTGCGAGGAGAGAAGGGCGAGAGCGTTCGGGTCTTGCACCGAAACTCCTCTCCCTGTGATGTGCGGACGACAGAGCAGAGAGCGGTGCGGGTGGGTGGGAGACATGAGGGCAATGAGAATGCTTGATTCGTCATGGCACGGGGTAGCACGGCTAGTCACAGGAACAGAAGCGCCCGTGGGAGTGGGCATGGCAATGACAAGGGTGAGAGGCGCACATTGCACATGGAGATGACCTGATGTGATATCACTGCTCGCACCATGCTGCAGTGCCATGCAGAGATGAGACAAGGACTCACAGCGCGTGCCGTGCGGGGGTGCACTCACAGCGAGCGCCATGCTCGGGTGAACTCACAGCGCGTGCCATGCGGGGGTGCATGAGCGCCAGGAAGTGCTGCTGCTGCCCGATCACTGACCCCGGCCGCACCAGCCGCGTGTATGCTATGGCCTGGTGGGGCGTGGATGAGGTGGGGGGAGGAAGAGTTGGGGGCGGGAGGGTATGAGGATGCGAGGGTGTGAGAGTGTGAGGGGATGTCACGAGCAGGAGAGGCATGGCATGCTGTGATGACATCTGCCCTGCACTCTCCCCAATCACTGCTCTCTCACCAAAGCTCCCCTCATCAGCCTTGCCTGCCTGGCCATCATGCCGCGGTGGTTCAGAAGGTACCACCCCACCAGCACCCCACCAGAATCCCCTGCTCTCACCCGCTCTCACCTCCCCACCCCCCTCACCTTCCCCCACCAATCCTCACCATCCGCCAGGCTTACCTGTCTGGCCGTCATGCCGCAGTGCTTCATGAGGTACCACCCCACCAGCACCCCCAAATACCTCCCAGCACGGTGCACCCAACCTCACTCACCCACAAGTCCCACCGTCCTCACCTCCCCACTGCCCCTCACCTCTCTGGCCGTCATGCCGCAGTGCTTCATGAGGTAGCACCCCACCAGCACCCCCGTTCGCCCCAGCCCCGCCTGGGGGAGCAGCAGCAGCGCAATGGGGAAGGGGGGAGCAGCAGCAGCGCAATGGGGAAGGGGGGAGCAGCAGCAGCGCAATGGGGAAGGGGGGAGTAGCGATGAGGGAAGGAGAGCCAGTTTAGGGAGGTGGTTGGAGGCAAGGGAGAGAAGCAAAAGAGGGAGTAGTGAGAGGGAGCGCATGGGTGTTATGGGGTCCAGTGCAGTGCAGTGGTTAAGACTGGAACTTCGCACTATAAACGCGTGGCAGAAGGAGGGGTTGTTGCAATATAGCCAAGCAGCGTGAGTGCTGAAAGCAGCGATGCAAAGCGGAGTGGGGAAGGGGGCAACAGCACCTTGCAGTGGATGGCCACGGGCCCGTTGCTGCCCTCCACCACAGCAAAGAAGCGCTCCACTATGCCGTCCGAGGGGGCTCTGATGAGGTGAGGGAGGGGGGAGAGGAGGCAAGGGAACAGCAGCACCTTGCAGTGCCTGCGCTGCTTTGCTGCCCTCCACCATGGCGAAGAGCCGCACTATGCCGTCCGATGGGGCCCTGAAGGGGTATGGAGGGGGGGGTGGCAGGGAGAGGAGGGAAGGAGAGTGTAGAGGGAAAGATTGCAGCGAAAATGGGAGGTTTGAGGCATATCAAAGGCCTGTGTGCTGACCTGTCCTCCACGCACCGCAAAGACTCACCACCCATGAGTCGCACAGCCGATACACCACACCCCAGCACTCACCCGCTTAGCCAGTTCACCACTCACCACATCGTTACTCTGATCCCCAGCCTCGACTGACCCGCTATCAGGATGAGGGAAGCATAAGTCGTACAAGGCACAGCCATGGCGGGTGAACCGCCTCCCATGGCTCGCACAGACAATTTACCACACCAAGGCATCCACCCGCTTAGCCAGTCCACCACACACCACGTGGCTACACTGACTGACCACCAGCCTTGACTGACCCGCCATCGGGGAAGTAGAGGTCATAGAACGCAAAGCCATGGCGGGTGAATCGCCTCTTGTCGTACACCCTCCTGTTGAGCCGGATTATGGCCGCTATGCCCGCCTGCATGCATGCATACATTGTCGCACACATGCACACACACACACACATTGATGCGCACATGCACATGTCCACACATGGCTACAAGGCTATTAAAACCAGTGCAACGAGACTCCTCGTCGTCGGGCCAAGATGCAGTTGACTCTGATTTCTGAAGTGCCTTCTCAGCAGGGGAATACATACAAGCAAGCAAGCAACCCTTAGGTGAAACAAAGTGGCCTGGTTGCGCAACCCCCATGCACAGCTCACCTGTCGGAAGTACTGCACATAGTCCTCAGGCGTCAAGTAGCCTTCCTGACCAGGGTAGGCAGATGCAGGCGGTACCATGGAGTGGGGGAATGGAAGGAGTGGCAGTGCGAGGTAACGGCAGGTTAGCGGCATAGAGGGGATGTGCAGTGGAGCAGCAACAGCGAGCATCGGAGTTGGGAAGGCGTCTAGGGAGCACACAGCCATGACAGCATGCCACATGACAGCATGCCACATGACAGCATGCCACATGACCCATGCCACCCACCATCACACCATGCATGCAACTCACATGCCCCCATGCACTTTTGATGCCACCCACCATACCATCACGGCCACCAAAGCACCCACCATGACACTAGCGGGGTCGTCAGCGGGGGTGCTGAAGGCGAGCAGCCGCCCCGGCAGCATCCACGTGAGGTCGGCCTGTTCCAGCCGCTCGTACTCGCCCACCCTGAACCCTGCAATAAGGGCCCGCTCCTGTGCCCGCTCTAGTGCCTAGCATGGGGGAATGGGCCGATAGGGGGATGGGGAGATGAGGGGATGGGTGATGGACACACACACGTGGCCCCACACGCACACCCCACTCACACACACTCCGTGCACGCCACTCCTTGCCACATACACACCTGGCAGCAGTCGAGTGCAGAGATGTGGAACGTGCACACGCCGTTAGACGCATCCCTGAAGGGTGGCAGCGGCTCCAAGGGGCGCAGCACCGCATGGGCGGCATTGGCCGGCATGGCATGGCGCAGAATGAGATACGCTGCTAGCTGGGAGAGGGAGAGGGCGGGAGAAAGGCAGAGGTGGGAAGGAGAACGGGTGGCGGTAAGGGAAGGGTAGGTGGAAAAGGGGAGGAAAAGGAGGGAGGTAGGGGTGAGGTACGGGGCACTGGGGCAACGGCAGTGGCATGCGCGGCACAGCAGAGCAGAGGCACCCACGGGGAGCAGTGCGGTGCAGAGAAGGAGGGAGCAGTGCGGTGCAGAGAAGGAGGGAGCAGTGCGGAGCAGAGAAGGAGGGAGCAGTGCGGTGCGGAGCAGAGAGGGAGCGTAAGGAGGGGCTACTGACGAGCAAGGCGGCGTTGGCCTTCTTGTGGGGCGCGCTGCTGCACACATGCACCACCCTCCTTGATAGCCCCCGCCCCTCCTGCATGCCGCAGGTGAGCACACAGAGCCGAAGGGCACAAAATGGCATTGGATGGCAAGGGGTGGCACGGGGTGGCATGGGTTGACATGGGGTGGCATGGGGTGGCATGAGGTGGCAAGAGAAGGCGAGGCCTCTGATGACATGGCATGGCACGCAATGAGTGACACCACGTGCAGGGCACCACGTGCAGGCACCCAGCTATCATCGACAGCACGCAGCACAGCACAGCCCACCCACGTGGCTGGTGCAACGCAACCCCCTATCACCTGCAGCGCGCGGTCCATGGTGTCACAGTAGCGGTGGATGCACGCCAGGCTGAGCGGGCCAAAGTCCATGCAGTACGGCTCGTACACCTGGTGGTGGGGGGGGGGGGGGGGGGGTTGGAGTTGGGGGTTCGTGTATGGGGAAGAAATTCGGGAGGTGATAAGGTGAAAGGGGGGGGCGGCCGCGGGGGAGGGGAAGACCGTCCATTTCCGCGAGAATAGACTTTGGCAGTTGCCAGGAAACAGCGTAGTGCCCATACCTCTCAGCAGCATGGCCCTTCACTTCACCATCAGCACCGCTCACCTACCACCGTAGGTGAGTTACCTGCAGGTATCTCACCTACCAGCCACCCCCCACCACCCACCCCCCACCACCGACCCACCACGCCCCCCATGGCCCACGCCCCACGCCCCACAGCGCCACAGCGCCACATGGCACGCGCCACGAACCAGCTCCTCATTGATGTTCACGCACACGGCGCCCCGCCCCCTCTCACTCACTGCTCGGTTGCCGCTACCTCACCCACCAACGACCACCCTCCCATCACCACCCACCCACCACGCCCCACAGCGCCACGTGGCACACAGCTCACACCACACACCAGCTCATCATCGATGTTCACGCACACGGCGCCCCGCCCCCTCTCACTGCGCGCCAGCAGCTGCGGTCGCCTGCACGCCACCAGACAAACCTCCCCGGCCAGCGCCTCGCACCACTCGCCCTCCCTGCTCCCCCCTTTTCCGCCATCAATCCCCCCTTCCCCCGTCTTCCCCGATACCGCCCCCTTCTTCTGCACTTCACCTGGCCCCTTCCGCTCACCACTGCTCTGCTCCTCTTCCCCATCCTCCCCCTTCTGCGCCTCCTTTTCCGCCTCCTTCGCCATCTGTTCCTTCTTGGCTGTTCCGCCTTCCGCTTCCGCGCTTCCCCTCGACTTCTCGCGAGGCGGCGACGGCTCCGCAGCCTCATTTGTCTTATCCGATGACACGTGGTCACTGGAGGTTCTTTGAACACCTCGAAATGCGTCGGGAAGCGACCTGTCCGTGGGTGAGAGGTGACCTCGCTCATTGCGCGCCGAGCCGGGCTCGTCGGAGGGGAAATTGCCGGGAGAAGCGTGGGAGTAGCTCGTACCAAGAGAGGCTGGGGGGAGCGCAGGCGATGGGACGAAGCGACCCGGCATTGCTGCGACTGTCATGTGGAATAGTGAGCTGGCATCGTTACGATGCCAAGGAGGTGACGTGGCAGTGCTTCGCTACTAGGGTACGGCAAGGCTTGTTAGACGTTGGGACGACGCGAAGCGCGAATTTCATCCTAGACTGCCTCTAACGAATGGGTCGCACTAAGATAGTGCCTTGGTGTATGGCGGGTCAACGTGACTCACCTACCACTAAAACAAGGCACCCACAAATCGCGTTTTAGAGTCATATTCTACTTAGAATTGTTATGCTATTGTTTTGTGTTTATAATGTCACTGGTATCGGTGAAAATGAGAATGAAAAAGAGTCCACGATGAAAACGAATCTGAGTAGACTGTTGCAATTTCCTTTAATAAATATATACAAATTATCAAATGAAATATTTTCTGGGCTAGTAGTATACAAGGGTCCATCTTTCAGTGCCAAAGTTCCAGTTCTCTCATGTGTAAATTGTATTTCCTACTTGGATCGGAGGAGTCGAAAGCCTTGTTACATTCTTCAACCATTCCTTTGTAGCGAAATCTCGCATTGCATCGCTGAAACGGGAGTTTCCGCCGTACCGGTAACTACTCGCCACGTGCCTCAGGCCCCCCATGAAGTCCCTCCCTCGCCCTCGGAGTCGCGTAGTGTAGAGGCCGCATGGTGCCAGCGAAGTGACCACACTGATCGAATGGGGCGTTCGAGTGGAACCCACAGGCACGCGCGCGGCGACAGGAGCGCTTCCAAAATGTCCTCCAGCGAATGTTGAGCAGCGAGGCATTGCGAATGCGGCCCGCAGTTTCGAGTGTTGGTATGGCTGTTGCACTCGGAGCTCCCACATGTGACCCTTGCATCTCCTACTAGAAGCTCTGTTCCTATCCCTACCTTCCCACTAGGCTGCTCCCAACGCGCGCTCGCGGAGCTGCACGTTTCTTCGACACTTTTAGACCTCCGCCCCATTCATTTCTCATCACCCAAGGTGGCATCTGAGGTGATTAAGAACTCATAGTAGCTAACTTTCTTGATCAGGTTCCCTGGCTTCCGACTCATATACCACGACAGCTAGTATTTATTCTGACTCGAGTGGCAATAAAATGTCTAGTCAGCAGAGCAGGATGAATCTCAACGTGTTTTTCATTGCGACGGTCGTTCTCTTCGTGGTAGCGAATACCCTGCCTGCTGCGGGCATGCCTTCCAGCAGCGACTTCGAGGTGCCTCCCTCTGAGTTTGGTCGGGAAACGTAATCCTGCCACTCTCCTCCTTTCTTTCGCAGTATGCTAGCCCCGTTTGCCGCGGAATGTACGCATTCTCTAAGCACGACAATGGGTCAGATCAAGCCATCGGGTGCCATTCATCCTGGTTGAGTCGCACGGCTCTGACTGCCTGGGTCGTCGAGCACAACTTCAGCTCCCTTATTCTCCCTCATTCGAATATTTTAGCCTTGTTGCTCTCGTCTGAACTGAGAAATTACTCTTCTTGTCATGATGTGTGTCGGGTGGGTGCAGAAATACTCCGTTCGCTCTGGCCGGCTACGGCATGGTGGCAATGCGGGGAGCAGCAGCGGCGGGCATCGCGTCAAGTGGAGAAAGCTGCAAGTGCTCGTCACCTGCAGCTCCATGAACCTCACCGCTTGCGGATCGTAAGCGCTCATCATCACCTCCCTGTCAATGATCCACTTTATCTCGTGACGGATTCTTAACCTGCAACGCAGCCCCTCCTTTTGCACTCCCTTTGTTTTTTCCATGGCGACTTTTTCCATATCCCGTCGCTCTCGTTCCTAGACCTACCGTTTGCAATGTTTCATCCCATGATCTTCCTGGTGCAATGATTGTTTCTGAAAAATATTCTTGAATCCGCGGCATGGCAGCGTGTGCGTGGACACGAAGAACGATTTGAATAACTGCGGCGCGTGCGGGTCGTTCTGCGACATATCGACGTCGTGCTGCGACGGCAAGTGCACCAACCTGGACTCGAGCCTCGAGCACTGCGGCGGCTGCTACCAGCGCTGCCCAGGCACCTGCACCCTCGGCGTCTGCGATTACGGCGGCACCAGCGGCTACATTCCCGGTGTCACTCCCTCGCCGTAGGCATCAATTTTAGACCAGCGATTTGAGGCAGAGACATAGAGGTGACAACTGGCATCGGCTGACATCCATTCGCATCACGGCGACCTTCGTTGGTCATCTCACATTCCTACTATTTATCCTTCATTGTGGATGGTATGGTTTGATTGACTGCTGGGGAAAGCGACTTCACTGGAGGTGGGTTTTGAGGAGCAGACAAAGATGGACAGAGATCCTGTGGGGGCTCTGTCTTGGTGATACACAACCCCCTTCGTCCGTATTGGGCGAAAATAAGTGTTGTTCTTGTACCGTATCTTGCTAAGTATATGCAATGCAAATTATTGCTTTCGTTTATATGGACAACTACCAGCTAGTGACACGTCATAAAGCAAAGGCGCTGTATGTTATTTTTAGGTAATGAGTGGTTCTCACTTGTAGTCTGTCCACAGGGGGGCCAGTAGGGACTGAAGAGCCTGGTAGCTGATCAGAATAAACTCCTTTACCGCGCTTAGCCACTGTTCGGATATGCATAGCTCAAACCACTGTAGTTGCCACTGCTACAACACTACTACACATACCTACCATCTACCTTGCCCAGTAAACCAGTGAAGCATCTGCTGTTAGTTCGTTTGCCTCAAATCTTGCAGTACCGTACATACAATTATTGAATTATGATGATGTTAGTAGATGTTTCACCTTTACACGACAAATGGGGCAACTCAGACGGTACTCAAGCCATTTCTCCAAGCAATCCTGCGGGATGACATGAACGCATGAGAGCACAACGAGCATCAGCTTTGAGCCCATCAGCCATAAATGCAAATGCACTTGCCTTGACGCCAGGAAAGCAAGCCCGCAGTTACAAAATGCTGACATGTGCGTGTTTCTTAGTGCCAAGCATGAGCCATGGCTCCACTCGGTGGTCCAAATTGACACATCATTACCTATTCCCCATGTTCCACCACCACTCCCCTTCCCCCATGCTCACCTGGTGAAACAAGTGTCGGCAGCAGTGCATGCGGCGCAGCATGGAATCATCCTCAAACTCCACCAAACACACGGAGCACTCAGCTGCCGTCACAGGAATCACAGGAATCGCCACCTCACATTCACCATTCGTGCCGCCACTCCCCGCCACTGCTAAAGAATCAGGCTGTCCTGCGAGCATCGCAGCAGGCAACAGGCCCTGCCTCTCACCACCTGACGGAGAGGAGCATTTAGAAGTAGCATCTGAGGATGGCAAGGCCATGTTGTCAGCACAAACCCTTGACTCCTCCTGTGACTCTGTGCCTTCAGCAGCTGCGGATTCCTCTCCTTGCACCGCACTCGACCCATCCTCAATGGCCCAGTTCTTTTGATCACAACTTGCAGCCACGCCGTCCAACGTGGCTGGACGAGATGGCGTCCGCTCAATGGCTTCCCCCTCCATCTCAACCCCACCCCCACCCTCACCTTCACCTTCGCCTGATAATGTACGATTCGGTTCTGCCGATGTTAATTCACATCCTGGGTGACATTCCTTCCTGCTGCTGCACTCACTGCCGCCTGCTCCAGTGCCCTCCACCCGAATGTCAATGCCCACCACAACAGTCGCCCCATCCTCTTGTACACAACCACCGCCGCCCACGCATGACTCGTCGTCCCTTAGTAGCTTCGCCCCCGCTACAGTCACATCTGCCAGCGTCACGAAGCCCTTATCAGCGCAGGGAGAGCTCGGCGCGCTTCCACGCGCATCCGCGTCGCGCTCTAGCTTCTCATCCGCGTCGCGCTCTAACTTCGCATCCGCGTACGTGACGAGGTCGCTGAACGCCCCCAGCAGCTTTGGATCCAGCGCCTCCGCCAGCCGACTGCGCGCAGCTCTCTCGCGCAATGCGCGCTCGCGCTCCCGCGCACGCTCCGCCTGCTCCTCGGCCCAGACGACGCGGAACAGGCGGTAGGCGCAGACGAGAATCATGGACGCGACCATCACGGCGAACGCGAGGAGAATCCCGAGGTCCATGACCGAGGGGAATGACAGAAGTTTCTTATAAGGGGAATGGGGCAATGTCTTATAAAGGCATTGAAGGGTAATTTATGAGGTGCCTCAGGACTAAGGGCCATGCCAAGGGGCTACGGCAGATAGGGGCATTATGGGGATGGGAAAGATCAGGGCTTTAATCGCTTAGAAGACTTAGGCGCGGCCCGGAAAATAGGCGGCGCAGCAATTATGCGTGCGCAGTAGATATTTTCCTGTACGAGTGATCAGAGCGATCCGAGGGCGGAGGTGCCGTCTAGGGGAAATGGGGCTGGTGGAAACGAAACACGGGCGTGGCGTGGTGTGCGAGTTAACTCCAAGCCGTAACCACGGTCGTCGAAACCTAGTGCGCTCGTGGTTGCTAAAACGACGACCTGCGTTGCGCCTTTTTCGCAAATAGTAATCCATGTTCCCAACTAAAGTCTAGATTGAAGACTTGACTGGAAAAGAGCAGGAGCGGAAGGACGAGGAAGGTTTTCTCTGGCAGGGTTGGGTTGGGCTGGGGGCCATCCTGCCGAGGGACATTCGCTGACGAATCATAGAGCACCACGTGGACATAACATTAGCGGCGCGAAGTGGAGATTCCTGCAAGATGCCGAGCAGAAACAGCACTAACCAAATGCTCGATATTATGGCAACCCTCTTGTACATATATATATACGTGTTCCACATAATTTTATATAATAAGTGATTGACCCTTTGTATCGGGAGGAAACATAATGCCCTCCAATGCTCTGGTTCTTGGGGATTCTGCGACCTAGCACAGTATCACTCCCCCTAACCATATGTAAGCGTCTACACCTGTATCTACACTTGTTGCAATGTGCATTGGTGATGGTGCTTTGATGGCACGACTGACGCACGGCAGAGAGGGCACGAGGTGTGGGCTTGCAGCCAGCCGTCTATGCACTCCTGGATAAAGGGCACAGCGGGGTGAGAGCATGTGGAGAGAGGTGGGCAGTGCATAATACCAATTGGAGAAATAACACTGGCATGGTTGCAGGCACATCAGATGAATAAAAATGCAGTGAATGGACACAGCAGGCCAGGCAGAAAGGAACGGAGGGAGAGCACGAAAGTGAAGAGGATCAAGAGAGAGCGTGCAGACGAGTGGAGAGAGAGTGATTCGCTTGTGTATGCATGAGTGTGTGTGTGCGTGCGCGCGTGCGTGCCTGCCGACATGCATGTGCGTGCTTGTGCAAATGCATGGGCAGGTGTCATGCAAAACAGAGCAATTGGCATGTGGAGAGCAGCAGGGAAGCACCTGGTGGAACATGTGGGTGCAGCAGTGCAGTCGTCTCACACGCTCCTCCTCCTTGAACTCCGTCAAGCACACTGAACACTCCACCGCCAATGCCCCCCATACCCCCTCCACTCCTCCCTCTTCTTCCTCTCCACCCCCTACTCTTCCGCCCCCTGTTCTTCCGCCCCCTACTGCTCCGCCCCCTGCCCCTCCTCCTGCTTCTGCTGCCCGTGCAGCTCCCGCCCCCTTCTCCTCCGTCTCCTGCTTCTTGTGCTGCGCCTTCGCAAGACGCTCGCTCGAACCATCCACGTCCCGTCGCCGCTCAGCCTTTTCACTGCCCTGTCCGTTTACTGCCGCCCCTGCTCTTGCTGCGTCCGTTTCTCTATCCGCCTCTCGCTGCCCCTCCCCCTCACACGCTGCCTCAGCAACACCTTCCGTCCCCGCGCGCGCCTTTTCACTATCCCAACCCTGCTCTCGCTCCCCCCTCTCGCCTATCTCAACCACTACCAAATCCCTCTCTTCTACTCTCCGCTCCTCCTTTACCTCACTGTACCGAATCAAATCGCTGTGCTGCGCAATCTCTTCCGCCCGCAACCCTTTCCCTCTTGTCCCCCCTCCCGCGCCCCTCGTTTCCCCTTCCCCCGCGTGCGCTGGCGCGCCCTCCGGAACTCCGTCCATGACGAGAACGGTGCGCACGTGGATGGTGGAATCTGGGTCGTCGGATCGGCGCGGGAGCGGCGAGAGCAGCGCGGCGTGCAGCAGCAGCGCGCGGAGGACGCGGAAGAGGAAGGAGAAGACGAAGGCGGCGCACAGGAACATGATCGCGTATAACGCGGACGTGCTCACCGACATCTTGCCGCCGCTTTCTGCGCTGCCCGCTAATGCGCTGCCTTGTAATGAGGTGACAATAGGACAGAAGGGAACTAAGGCTCGCGTCAAGAGCAGCTGGTTGGCATCATTGGACTAAATTAATTGGCGATAGTGGAAGACTATAACAACCGCGCTGGCTTCGTCACGTGTGGAGCCTGTTAGAGTATTGTGAATGTACAGATGGTCAACAGAATCAAGCGTCCCCAGAGAGCCAGAGTCAGACTGTGTGAGCGACTCGAAGTGCCGCCGCTGCCGCCCTCCTCCGATACAGACCCGACTGCAGATTGCGGTTTCTAAGTTGAGAACGGAAGTAGCGGCGTATACACCCTAGCGGCGCGGGTCGGACGGCACGGGATGCGCAAGACACAGCGAGCAGCGACGCGCGGCGAGTCGGCTGTCCCTCGCCATTGGGATTTACGATGACGTCGGAGCTGCTACAAGAATTAGTTTCTAATGAAGGCCGTTCTGCGGTTCAGGTGGTAAGTCAAATTTGCGAACTAGTCTGTGTGACTAGGAGACTGCATAGCTGGGATGAGTCAGGAGCAGCTAGACAAGGAATCGGCGAGCAGCAAAGACTTGCTGCGTGGCTATGGTTTTTGGTTGCCCAATACCCACGTTGGCGGAAGGTGCCAGCCTGCTCTGTGGAGAAGACTTGGCGGGAGGGTACTGGGGAAGGTGCCCCACCCCAAGTAGGGGTTGTTGACAGGCAGTGGTGTGTCAGAGCGCGCCAACACTGGTCGTGGGTGGCGACGATAGGAAACCACGAGCCAGTAGCGACGGTGTATTCGGTACAGCTTGGCTAGGATATTACCCAGATTTTCCTACCAAATCCAAAGCTCCGATTTATGGAGATATATTTTCCGAACGTTAGGACTCGTTAGTGCAGGTTCCACCTGTTTGGCTGTATTGCATGCTCACCTCAATGGCTTCCCAAGCAGCTCAGCACGCAAGGAGATTGAGGCAAGCCCTTCCTGTACACTTTATAAACATCCATGGTCCTCCCTTCAACTTCCATGCTCTCCACAATCGAAACCAAAACACCTACCATATGAACCAATTTTCTGGTTCATAGGCCGATTCCCTAAATAGCGTCATCACCGCCGATGAAAGGCAAGAAGGAAAACATCCCACCTGAATGGCTGCAAGCAAGAATAAAAGGCATGTGATAGAGAATCAGCACACATTGGTGTGTGGTCACACAGATACCCAAGAGACCGCGACATGTATGGCCATAACATGGTGCATAGAACAAGCTGCCACCACACAACAATGCCAATCATACTAAGCAGCTCACGGATTGTGCCGCCCACTGACCTGTGCTGTGTGCAGCCCACTGACCACTGACCTGTGGCGAGAGAAGTAGTCATTGTCGAATGAAACGGCCAGCCCAATGCTGCACAACCGCACCCGTCATACCAGGCAACGCACGGCAAGTGCCGCCCAGTGACCCACTGACCTGTGCCATGTGCCGCCCTCTGACAACTGACTTATGGCGTGTGCCGGCCACTGACAACTGACCTGTGGCGTGAGAAGTCGTTGTCGAGTGAGACGGCCAGCGCCACACACACTGCTCTCTCCATCCAGCAGAGAGAGAGGGCGCGCTACAGGGAGCAGGGGACCTGCGGCGAGTGCTGACCACTGACCTGTGGCGGGAGAAGTAGTCGTTGTCAAGTGAAACGGCCAGCGCCAGACACACTGCCCGCTCCAGCAGCGAGAGCGGGCGCGCCACCGAGAGCACGGGACCCTGCAGACGGTTGCAGTGGGAGGGCAGGCAGGGCAGTGGTGGGAGGGAAATATCTCAAGAGGGTTGGACGAACGGGCATGCACTCGACACAATCAGTCACTGAAACTTGCCATTCTGCTTCTGACACTCATCTCACCTCGTCCGCTTCTGTTGAGAACCATGGCTGATGATACTGCTGCGCCTTCTCCTCTTCACCCTCCCTGCCCTCCCGCTCCCGCTGCTCCCGCTTGTCCCGCTGCTGCTGCTGCCAGTGCCGCACAGATCCGAATCTCACCACGTACTGCCCCGCATCTGTGAACACCTGTTTACCACAACAACACAGAGACTGGATGATTCATTGCAGCATTGACATTGGTGCCCAGAATCCGTGAACACACCTGCCGGCACGATGCCCAGAAACGACGAGACACGCATTGCAGCATTGGTGCCCGCAACGGCTGCCTCTCACGCACAGCATAAGCACCACATCATGTGCTACGCTCACCAATCCCCTCATGCCATCATCCACCATACACACACCTCACAAACTTTCCCTGCATCCCCTCCCCCACCTCATCCCAAGCCCCGCTAGCTTCCCAGCGCACCTCAAAGCCCAACCCCCGCCAGTTGCGGGTGATCTCTGCTATCCTCTGCCCCTCGGCGTCGCACAGAGCGAAGGACCACCACCAAAAGCCAGGGTTAACCACTCTCGCAAACTGCTGCTTGCTGCACGAAACGACGAGTGGAGTGGCGGAGGGAAGGAGTTAATGCGACTGGCTTAAAGGGAGGGATGGAAGTAGGAGCTGTGCGATGGAAGTAGGAGCTGTGCAATGGAAGTAGGAGCTGTGCGATGGAAGTAGGAGCTGTGCAATGGAAGTAGGAGCTGTGCAATGGAAGTAGGAGCTGTGCAATGGAAGTAGGAGCTGTGCAATGGAAGTAGGAGCTGTGCAATGGAAGTAGGAGCTGTGCAATGGAAGTAGGAGCTGTGCAATGGAAGCAATCCTCACGCGTCATGATGCCCGGGGACGCCATGGTTCCCAAGCTGGGACTGCAGCTCCAGTCCCGCACCTGGGACTGCAGCTCCAGTACCGCACCCGGGACTGCAGCTCCAGTCCCGCACCTGGGACTGCAGCTCCAGTCCCGCACCTCTGGGACTGCAGCTCCAGCCCCGCACCTGAAACTGCAGCTCCAGTCCCGCACCTGGGACTGCAGCTCCAGTCCCACACCTGGGACTGCAGCTCCAGTCCCGCACCTCTGGGACTGCAGCTCCAGTCCCGCACCTGGGACTGCAGCTCCAGTCCCGCACCTGGGACTGCATCTCCATTCCCGCACCTGAAACTGCAGCTCCAGTCCCGCATCTGAAACTGCAGCTCCAGTCCCGCACCTGGGACTGCAGCTCCAGTCCCGCACCTGGGACTGCAGCTCCAGTCCCGCACCTGAAACTGCAGCTCCAGTCCCGCACCTCTGGGACTGCAGCTCCAGCCCCGCACCTGAAACTGCAGCTCCAGTCCCGCACCTGGGACTGCAGCTCCAGTCCCGCACCTGGGACTGCAGCTCCAGTCCCGCACCTGGGACTGCAGCTCCAGTCCCGCACCTGGGACTGCATCTCCAGTCCCGCACCTGGGACTGCAGCTCCAGTCCCGCACATGGGACTGCAGCTCCAGTCCCGCACCTGGGACTGCATCTCCAGTCCCGCACCTCTGGGACTGCAGCTCCAGCCCCGCACCTGAAACTGCAGCTCCAGTCCCGCACCTGGGACTGCAGCTCCAGTCCCACACCTGGGACTGCAGCTCCAGTCCCGCACCTGGGACTGCAGCTCCAGTCCCGCACCTGGGACTGCAGCTCCAGTCCCGCACCTGGGACTGCATCTCCATTCCCGCACCTGAAACTGCAGCTCCAGTCCCGCATCTGAAACTGCAGCTCCAGTCCCGCACCTGAAACTGCAGCTCCAGTCCCGCACCTGGGACTGCAGCTCCAGCCCCGCACCTGGGACTGCAGCTCCAGTCCCGCACCTGGGACTGCAGCTCCAGTCCCGCACCTCTGGGACTGCAGCTCCAGTCCCGCACCTGGGACTGCATCTCCAGTCCCGCACCTCTGGGACTGCAGCTCCAGCCCCGCACCTGAAACTGCAGCTCCAGTCCCGCACCTGGGACTGCAGCTCCAGTCCCGCACCTCTGGGACTGCAGCTCCAGCCCCGCACCTGGGACTGCAGCTCCAGTCCCGCACCTGGGACTGCAGCTCCAGTCCCGCACCTGAAACTGCAGCTCCAGTCCCGCATCTGAAACTGCAGCTCCAGTCCCGCACCTGAAACTGCAGCTCCAGTCCCGCACCTGGGACTGCAGCTCCAGTCCCGCACCTGGGACTGCATCTCCATTCCCGCACCTGAAACTGCAGCTCCAGTCCCGCATCTGAAACTGCAGCTCCAGTCCCGCACCTGAAACTGCAGCTCCAGTCCCGCACCTGGGACTGCAGCTCCAGTCCCGCACCTGGGACTGCAGCTCCAGCCCCGCACCTGGGACTGCAGCTCCAGTCCCGCACCTGGGACTGCATCTCCAGTCCCGCACCTCTGGGACTGCAGCTCCAGCCCCGCACCTGAAACTGCAGCTCCAGTCCCGCACCTGGGACTGCAGCTCCAGCCCCGCACCTGGGACTGCAGCTCCAGTCCCGCACCTGGGACTGCAGCTCCAGTCCCGCACCTGGGACTGCATCTCCAGTCCCGCACCTCTGGGACTGCAGCTCCAGTCCCGCACCTGGGACTGCAGCTCCAGTCCCGCACCTGGGACTGCAGCTCCAGTCCCGCACCTGGGACTGCAGCTCCAGTCCCGCACCTCTGGGACTGCAGCTCCAGTCCCGCACCTGGGACTGCAGCTCCAGTCCCGCACCTGGGACTGCAGCTCCAGCCCCGCACCTGAAACTGCAGCTCCAGTCCCGCACCTGGGACTGCAGCTCCAGTCCCGCACCTGGGACTGCAGCTCCAGTCCCGCACCTCTGGGACTGCAGCTCCAGTCCCGCACCTGGGACTGCAGCTCCAGTCCCGCACCTCTGGGACTGCAGCTCCAGTCCCGCACCTGGGACTGCAGCTCAGCCATGATGCGCCCGGGCACCGTGATGAAACAGTGCAGCGAAGAAGCAACGTGTGGAGATGGGTGAAGTGATTCGAGTATCCTATTGTGATTCGGTTATCTCAATGGGATTCGATTATCCCAATGGGACCAACGGGCGCACTAGGAGAGGAAGCAAGCAGCACTCACTGCAGGTAACTTGCTTCCACAGGTGCCACCTCCTGTGCATCTTCCCTACGCCCTTCTGGCATTAGAAGTGAGTGCAGGCAGAGAGAAGCAGTGAGTGTAAGAAGGAGAGGAAGCAAGCATAGGAACTCACTGCAGGTACGCATCGTACACTCGCTTCCACAGGTGCCACCGCCTGTGCACCTGCCCTACGCCCTTCTGGTATGGTGAGGGGCGATGCATGTACGTGTACATACATACATAAGTGCATGAGTTGGCATGCACACACAGGCACACGTGGACACATGCACACACACAAAGACATGCAAGCACATGTGCACACACAAAGACATGCCAGCACATGCACATACACAAAGACATGCAAGCACATGCACACATGCACATCGGATGGGGATACCGAGAAAGAGTGCACAAGTTGACACATGTGGCATACGTGGCATGGCAGCGACACTCATGGCATGGCAGGGACAAAATTCCCTGAGCTTCCACCTGAATGCACCTGAAATCTCACCTGAGCAAGCAGATCAACATAGATGGTGCTGGTGATGAAAAACATGGGCCGCCGCACCTGACACAGCACATAGGGGACGGGCGCATGGTAGGGGGCGCATGGGGAAGAAGGGCGCATGGGGAACAGGAGCGCATGGGGAACAGGGGCGCATGGGAACAGGGGCGCAACAGGGGCGCATGGGGAACAGGGGCGCATGGGGAACAGGGGCGCATGGGGAAGAAGGGCGCATGGGGAAGAAGGGCGCATGGGGGGCCGGCGCAGGGGGGGAAGGGTGATGGGACGAGAGACAGGAGACAACAAGCTTTGTAAGCACAACAACAAGCGCCCTTTGAGGCGCCTCAACAGGCAGTAGACAGCAAGAATCATAAGCACAACAACAAGAGCCCTGCCCCAAGCAGCTTCGTTTAGTAAGCCATCTTCGAGTGGACTAAATGAGCAGATTGACACCATGAACCGAGTTTGAGCGGGCTCAGGAATGAGTGTGATACCCACGGTGAGCAGCAGCGTGCCGTGTGCATCGTGGATGGACGCGGTGAAGGGGCGATGCGCCCTCAGGAACTGACATGGGGGGAGAGGAGAGTGGGGGACAGGAAGGAGATGAGCCGAAGAGGGAAGTGAGCTTGTGAATCCAGGAGTAAATAATCTGGATGTGAAGAGGTGGAGAGAGATACAAGCACAAAGCAGGCAACGAACAGAGTACAACCGAAGGCGTAGTGCGGTGCAGCGTATGAGCGGGCGGTGCAGTGTATGAGCGGGCGGTACAGCGTATGAGCGGGCGGTGCAGCGTATGAGCGTGCGATGCAGTGTATGAGCGGGCGGTGCAGCGTATGAGCGTGCGATGCAACGTATGAGCGTGCGGTGCAGCGTCTGAGCGTGCGGGACAGCGTATGAGCGGGCGGTGCAGCGTATGAGCATGCGTATGAGCGGGCGGTGCAGCATATGAGCGGGCGGTGCAGCGTATGAGCGGGCGGTGCAGCGTATTAGCGGGGTGCAGCATATGAGCGGGCGGTGCAGCGTATGAGCGGGCGGTGCAGCATATGAGCATGCGTATGAGCGGGCGGTGCAGCATATGAGCGGGCGGTGCAGCGTATGAGCGGGCGGTGCAGCGTATTCGCGGGGTGCAGCGTATGAGCGGGCGGTGCAGCGTATGAGCGGGCGGTGCAGCGTATGAGCGGGTGGTGCAGTGCATGAGCGGGCGGTGCAGGGTATGAGCGGGCGGTGCAGCGCATGAGCGGGCGGTGCAGCGCACGAGCGGGCGGTGCAGCGTATGAGCGCGCGGTGCAGCGTATGAGCGGGCGGTGCAGCGTATGAGCGTGCGGTGCAGCGTATGAGCGGGCGGTGCAGCGTATGAGCGTGCGGTGCAGCATATGAGCGTGCGGTGCAGCGTATGAGCGGACGGTGCAGTGCATGAGCGGGCGGTGCAGGGTATGAGCGGGCGGTGCAGCGCATGAGCGGGCGGTGCAGCGCACGAGCGGGCGGTGCAGCGTATGAGCGCGCGGTGCAGCGTATGAGCGGGCGGTGCAGCGTATGAGCGTGCGGTGCAGCGTATGAGCGTGTGGTGCAGCGTATGAGCGTGCGGTGCAGCGTATGAGCGTGTGGTGCAGCGTATGAGCGGGCGGTGCAGCGCATGAGCGGGCGGTGCAGCGCACGAGCGGGCGGTGCAGCGTATGAGTGCGCGGTGCAGCGTATGAGCGGGCGGTGCAGCGTATGAGCGTGCGGTGCAGCATATGAGCGGGCGGTGCAGCGTATGAGCGTGCGGTGCAGCGTATGAGCGTGCGGTGCAGCGTATGAGCGTGTGGTGCAGCGTATGAGCGTGTGGTGCAGCGTATGAGCGTGCGGTGCAGCGTATGAGCGTGCGGTGCAGCGTATGAGCGTGCGGTGCAGCGTATGAGCGTGTGGTGCAGCGTATGAGAGTGCGGTGCAGCGTATGAGCGGGCGGTGCAGCGTATGAGCGTGCGGTGCAGCGTATGAGCGGGCGGTGCAGCGCACGAGCGGGCGGTGCAGCGTATGAGTGCGCGGTGCAGCGTATGAGCGGGCGGTGCAGCGTATGAGCGTGCGGTGCAGCGCATGAGCGGGCGGTGCAGCGTATGAGCGGGCGGTGCAGCGTATGAGCGTGCGGTGCAGCGTATGAGCGTGTGGTGCAGCGTATGAGCGTGTGGTGCAGCGTATGAGCGTGCGGTGCAGCGTATGAGCGTGCGGTGCAGCGTATGAGCGTGCGGTGCAGCGTATGAGCGGGCAGTACAGCGTATGAGCGTGCGGTGCTCCCACCCCCATTACACCCACCCCCTTGCACCCACCCCCTTCACACCTGGCGCATGAGCCAGTTGCTGCTCTCCACAATAGCCCCCACGTGCTGCAGGGATGCCGCATGACGCATGGTGGGAGGCCATGGGGGGGGGGGGTTGCAACGGGGAAATACAGAGGAAAAGGCATAAGCGGTAAGGTGTTGCTGACACGCAGGGTGCCAAACGGGTTGGGAACAATGGAACTCAAGAGATAGAGATCTAATCGGGGTGCACATAGGCAGAGGGGGGGGGGGGGGGGAGGGGGAAGGGGAAGGTGGTGCTAACAACGCACAATTGGAGCAACGAAGGAGCACAGCGGGTTGCATACTGACAACGTTGCAGGTGTGTGACTTGGGACTGACCTCGCCTGTGTGCGCGTCCACGATAGCATACTGGTTACTCTGTTGGTATCGGCGGGGCGTGCATGGACACATGGGAGGAAAAGGACGAGTTAGAAACTGGGGCACATGCGAGTAAGGAGCAGGGGTGAGGGAGAATGAGAGGAAGGAGGGCGAGGGAGAATGAGAGGAAGGAGGGCGAGGGAGAATAAGAGGAAGGAGGGCGAGGATGCAGACGGGAGCGTTGGATTGGAACCAGAGGGGGGCATGCAACGCACGACAACGTTTCACTCCATGGGAGCACCAGTGGAGCCATGGGCACCGCACTGCACCTGCTCGTACCCCAGCAGCACGTTGCCCCACTCCACCCTGCGAGTGACCACCAGGTCCGACCGTGCCAGCAGCGACGCCAGCGACGCCTGGTGGGCGAGGGGGGCAGGGGGAAGGGGAAGCAAGGAGGACAGGCAGGGGGAGGGGAAGAGCGGGGGAGGCAGAGCTTTGAGGCGTCTCAAACCTCCACCCTGCGAGTGACCACATGGTCTGATCGGGCCAGCAGCGACGCCAGTGACGCCTGGCGGGCGTGGGGGGCAGGGAGAGGGGAGAGCAGAGTTGGGGAGAAGGGCAGAGCAGAGCGGGGAATGTGAGAGCGCAGCAGCAGCAATGACAGGGTACGCCAGCAGCGACGCCACTGACGCCTGGTGGGCGTGGGAGGCGGGGGGGACGACGAGTGGAGGAGAAAAACGGGAAAAGCAAAGTGGGGGGGATCAGGGCGCATGGGACGCAACGCCAGTGATACCTGGCGCGGTGAGAGGCGCAGGGGGGGTGAAGGGAGAGCAGAGTAGGGAAAACTGGACTATACAGTGCGTGCCATACAGTCACCCCTCACCTCGTCGCTGCTCTGTGGTCTAAGTGGTCCCACTAGTGGCTCCACGCCTCCTACTGTCGACCCCACACTGCTGCCTGCTGCTGCTGATGAAGGTGGTGGTAGGGGTGGTGGTGCTGGTGACGAGGGCAGGGGCGAGGAAGGGGAGGAGAAAGTGGAGGTGTGTTGCAACTGTTGAAGGCGAGCTATCCATTCACCCACCATCCCTCGCATATCACCGTTGCCACTGCTGCCACCGCTAATGCTGCCACTACTGCTGACGCTGCTGCTCGTGCCACTGTCCGCAGTCCTCCCCCCCTGCTCCTGCCCTTGCTCCTGCCCCTGCCCTTGCTCCTGCCCCTGCCACGTCCCCTCCTGCTCCGCTCGTCTTCTCTCCGCCTGCCACTGCCGCTCCCTCAGTGCGTTAATCGCCAGCCGCACCTTCTTCGAAGCTTCCTTCTTCCGCTTCCTGTCCGCCGCCCATCTGCTCGTGAGCGCTCCGCGCGAGTGCGGCGACGGCGGGGGGAAGGCGGACGACGTGGAGAAGGCGCGGGCGGAAGCGGAGGAGGGGGAAAGCGCGGCTTGAGTGGCAGACCAGGCGAAGAGGGAGGAAGGGGAGGAAGCGGAGGAGGGGGAGGAGGGGGAGGAGGGGGAGGAGGGGGAGGAGGGGGAGGAGGGGGAGGAGGGGGAGGAGCCGGAAGAGTGGGGGTAGGGAGAGGAAGACGAGAAGCGAGGCCGTTGGTGGTTCAAAAGTGGTAACGGAGAAAACTGGAGGACGAGCAAATTGGCGGGGTGCGCTGATGTGCGGAGTGTAGAAGGAGGTAACGAAGGGGAAGCGGAAGCAAGCGATCGGCGGAAGGCGGAAGAAGCGGAAGACGCGGAGCAGAGGGGGAGCGCGATGACGGCCTGAGGAATGCCGAGAGCGGCGTCGACGGCCAAAGGGATGGTCGATTCTTTGACAGGCGAGTCTAGGAGAAGGGATGGCCGAAGGGAAACGGAGACTGGAGCGACGGGGAATACGTGTGCGGAGGGGAGCGCGCGTTCGTCTCTACAGGCGGAAGAACGGGAATCGCCGCGCCTGCTGGTCGAACGGATCGGATTTGAGTTCCCGTGAGACGAATCGACAGCAGGGGAGGCGCGATGGAGCAGCGCGCATGCGACTAGCGGCGGTCGCACGGCGAAGGCATTGGTAACCAGAGCGTGGCGAAACGATGCAATCTCGCAGGCTGCGATGGCGGGATGGGAGGACGCTACAACGTTGAAGAACTGAATTTGACGAAACGACGCTGCGACGGCCGTTGAAACGGCGAGCCGCGCCGCCATGGCTGCCTCGATTCTGACGCGACGCCGAGCTCGCGATCACTTCACGGCACCGATCACGACGCCTGGCTTGCGTGTTAGTTGAAGACGACAGGAAACAGTGGGACAACTCACGGGACAGAGGAGATTCGGAGGATGATTGACGAGAGACGATCACTGACGAAATGGAGGGATTTGTCAGACAAAATGGCAGAGCGAGGCGAGCGGGAGTGTGCAATAGCGAGGTATTTTCACTTGATTCGTTGTCAGTACGGGTGTACACTGTACATAGACGGTTATCGATTTTTAAAAAGTGTACAGATACCCTGTTGAATCTTGAGCCAGGATGTGGGGTAGGCAGGCTGCTGGACTGGAGTGTTGATTTCTGGATGGCTGAGGCAGGCTGGTTAGCTGGATGGCGGATAGGCTGGAGTGTTTGTTGACTGGTTGGCTGTTGTACGACTTGGCTACTCGTCCGATTTGTTGTTCGCATGTCTCTTAGTGACTTCTTTGTGGCAGCTTGTTCTGCATGTTGCATGCATGGAACATGACTTGATGCATGCTGCATGCAGCGCGTGCTTCAGTGTCCTGCCTCTGTGTTTAGCGCGTTCGTTCCACCATTGCGTGGCTGCCTGGCACGGCACAGCACCTGCTTGGGTGTTTGTTTGTGCCCAGGCACCTTCAAGGCTGCCCTGCCCATCCTACCCACCTATTCCACAATATGCAGGCCCATCCCAGCCCGGCACAACACAACACACCTATGCAAACCTAAGCACACCTAAGCAAACCTTGGCACACTTAAGGACAGATAAGCAAAGCAAAGCACAGCAGTGGTCCATCTTCTTAAGCTGTTCGTGGTCGGTCCACAAGCAAGCGGCAGCCCACCCCACTTGTCCTTTAAGCGGCACCAGGAAGCGGCAGCGCACCCCACATGTCCTCTACCCCGCCTTGCACTTCACTATAGAAGAGCCACCAACAAGGAGAAGCTGCCATCGGGACAGTAATGGGACAAGGAAGGAAGAACGAGAAAGAGGAGCCACTCAGAAGCTGCAGAAAAAAAGATGATAAGACGGCAAATGTTACCTGTGAATTGTATTCACGTCAGATTGCTATTGAGAAGCGAGCACTAGGTGAGAAATGTACGATAACAAGGACCGCAACCCCCCACTGCAGGGAGGGTTAGCACCAACGGGAGAGGAGGCGAGCGGCAGAAACAGGAACTGGGGACACGACTCTTGCCTCTGCGCGGCAACTCACTTCATGCCCCCCCTGCAAGAACCTCCTGGCACGTACCATGCTTCGTGTGTTGCTCTCCCACTCCTACACCACGAGCAATCTGCCACATTCTGGAGCTTGAAGGTTGAGAGGCACACTCAGAGGCATGCACACATGCACGCGCACACATGCACAGCCCCCATCCTCTTTCCCCCTTCCCCCCACACGCACATGCACAGCCCCCGTCCACTCGCTGCCATTCCAGTCCGCCTCGCAGGACACGAGGCACACACACGCATGGGGAGAGAGAAACACACACACAGAAGCATCGCAACAAGGGAGGGTTAGGAGCAGCATGAGAGGAGGCGAATGGCAAAGACAAGAACAAGACACGACTCTTGCCTCTGCGCGGCGACACACTATGACTCGATTCATGGCCCCCCTGCAAGCACCCCCTGAAACATACCACGCTCCATCCGCTGCTCTCCCACTCTTGCGCCACGCCTTCACTTGAGGCGTCCATGGTTGCCAGTGCTCTCCGCCTCGCAGGCCATGAGGCACACACACAGATTGGGAGAGAGAGACAGACAGACATGGGGGGAGAGAGAAACACACACATGGGGGGAGAGAGAGACACACATAAAGAAGGTTAGAAGCAGCAGGTGGCAAGTGGTGGACCCACAAGCAACAGATACGACTCTTGCCTCTGCGCGGCAACAACCTATGACAGTTCACACCCCCCCTGCAAGCACCCCCTAGCACGTACCATGCTCCCTTCGCTGCTCTCGCACTCCCGCGCCGCGCCTTCTCTTCAAGCGTGCTGCTCTAGGTGTGGTGTATTCACAACTCCTTGTGTGCTGGCCTGGCCATCATCTTGGCCAGGGACGGGGGAGCAAGGCGAGGGGATCATATGAACTGCATACAGCAAGACAAGAGAACGAGGCACATAGACAAGGATGAAGGGAGACGGGTAAGGACTGACAAGAGCACGAGCGGCGTTGAACAACCAACAAATAGAGGGAGCTTGGTTGCGATAGGATAAGCTGCACTCACCCCTCCTTTTCTGCTGCAGCCGCCACTGCAGCTGCCATTGACATTGCAACTGACGCTGCCACCACTGGCACTGCTGCCACCACTAGCACTGCTGCCACCACTGGCACCGCTGCCCATGCGGCTGGTTCCGGACAGAAAGTGCGGCACTTGGCTAAGTCTCACTCCTCCATTGCTGTTGCTGCCACCAGCGCTGCTGCTGCCAATGCGGCTCCCACAGCGCTCGCTTGGGATAAAAGCTGCTGACGAACAGGCGGAGAGGTGAGAAAAGCAGAAGGCAGGAGTGGACAGGTTTTCGAGCTGAGAAGAGTGCCATGAAGATTTGGCAACACACCAGCAATGATACGTGGGCGCCATGGGGAGATGGTAGACATGACCGAACTAAACATGAAGAAAAGTTCGGCGCCTACGACTTTGGTCGTTTTTGCCGCCAAGTGCCTAGAAAGCGCGTGAATCTCTATAGGCGTAGGGGAAAGCACTCAACAACCTGAACTTTATTGCAGATTCGAGTGGCCCATGTGCAAATACCCCTACTAGAGCCGTTCCGGCCTGGTTCTTGCGCGAAGAAAAGTTCGGCGCCTATGGTTTCGGCCGTTTTTACTGACAAGCGCATAGAAAGCACGTGCATCCCTATAGGCGTAGGGAAAACCACTCAACAACCTGAATTTTATTGCATATTTGGGTGGCCCTTGTTCAAATACACCTACTAGAGCCCTTTCCGCCTGGTTCTTGCGTGAAGAATAGTTCGGCGCCTACGATCTCGGCCGTTTCTGCCGCCAAGTGCCTAGAAAGCGCGTGAATCCCTATAGGCGTAGGGAAAAGCACTCAACAACCTGAATATTATTGCATATTCGAGTTGCCCTTGTTCAAATGAACCTACTAGAGCCTTTACGGCCTGGTTCTTGCGCGAATAATTGTTCGGCGCCTACGATTTCGGCTGTTTCTGTCGCCAAGCGCCTAGAAAGCGCGTGAATCCCTAAAGGCGTAGGGAAAAGCACTCAACAACCTGAATTTTATTGCAGATTCAAGTGGCCCATGTTCAAATACACCTATTAGAGCTTTTTCGGCCTGATTCTTACGCGAAGAAAGTTCGGCGCCTACGATTTCGACCGTTTTTTCCGCCAAGTGCTTAGAAAGCGCTTGAATCCCTATAGGCGTAGGGGAAAGCACTCAACAACCTGAATTTTATTGCACATTCGAGTGGCCCATGTTCAAATACACCTACTAGAGCCTTTTCGGCCTGGTTTTTGCGCGAAAAAAAGTTCGGCGCATACTGTCAAACTCATATGCTTTAGTCTGTGTAGGCTGTAGTGGGGTAGACAATATGGGGTACAACACTTCTAGGTTTTCCTACTTTTACCCACCTGCTTGCTAGTTCATTCATTCCTCATTTCTTCACATGGTATAGAGCAGGTTCCCTAGTGGGAACGATTCCTTGGGCCCACCATTGGAAACTTTTTCTGAACGGAGTGCCAGTCGCTCCTGCCCGATGCGCGCCTAGTGGGCCGCCCTTCTGTCGAGCTCTCGTAGAGGCCCCTCTCACGGCCCCTCGCGTCGCCCCTAGCGGCCCATGGCTTCATCTGCTGTGGCTCCAGCACATGGCTTCATCTGCTCTGTGTTTCAGGTGATGGTGCGCAGACTAGGATGTTACAGAAACCAATTGCACCCACAGACATGCTTCCCCTTGGGTACCACATCTCCTAGTACCCCCCATCCCACTTCCAGCAGAAATCATTCGGCGATAAGTACTGCTATGATCTAGAACGCTACACCAAATACGGTAAAAATTGCAGCGGTTGACACAACAACGTAACTCCTCGAACCCGTACATTCTCAATGCTGGTATGATTCACCCTCAGGATTCCTTTATGAGGTTGATGGGATCGCTCAAAACATAGTGAGGTAGCTCGTACTTGGCTCCTGCAGTAGGAAGCAATGCAGAGAGAAGAAAAGATAGAAAAGAAAGCAGAGGGGCATCATCAGACTGCAGAGAAGATAGTAGTGCAAGAGCCTGCCAGCCAGCACACTCACATCTCCTGAACTCCCAGTCACCCAGTACCTTGTCCCACCATCATGACGCACCTCTCTCATCGTAGCACACGGACATGTCTGGTACGTCGACCACCACCCCTGCTGACTCGAGTATCACTTGCGCCATACTTCTGTCCCCCTCTGTGGCCGCCTTCAACGCGTCCCATATCTCTGCCACACGCAGGCACGGGGCGGCCAAAGGGAGGTGGAAGAAACGGGTTGGGGAGAAAGAGGTGGAAGCTCTAAAAGAGGGGAAATGGCAGTAGTGTGTATGTTTCAATTTAGGCCGGAAGGGAGACGGTGGGAAAGGAAGAGGGGAGAGAGATAGTGATGAAGAAAGCTAGCGGGGCTAGAAGCAAGGAGGCAAGGATGAGAGGCGGACCTCGTTGGCCGCCGTAGTGCGAAGCTGTGTCCCAAAACTCCTCCCTCATGGCGCCTAAAATGAAAGCGAGAGTTGGCAAGCAATATAGGTACGAGCTAGAGGCAAGGAAGAGGATGGAAATCAGACCTCGTTGGCCGCCGTAGTGCGGCGCTGTGTCCCAGAACTCCTCCCTCATGCGCGCCAGCTCTGCCTGTGACAGCGGCGTTGGGTGCTTCCATGCCTTGGGCTTCACCACCTTCTTGCCTGCGCACACGCGCATGGAGAAGCAGCCAGGAGGGAGTGTGATGCTGTGGGTTCACAAGGCGCAAATTCGACACTCTACCCCCTCTCGCATGGCGCAGCCCAGAACGTACCGTACGGCACAGGGAGGGCAGGGCGCGGGAAGGGGGACAGGAGAGCAGAGCCGGGGAAGGGGAATGGGAGAACCCAGTGGGGGAAGAGGAAGCAGAGATGGCATTCCAGAGCGCAATCCTACCTTTAGGGGAATCTTCCTTCGCTGTAGACCCCACGCAGCCCATGAGAATGCCGGATGCTATAAGCGCTTGTCGGAAGCTTCAAGAGGAGCCGAGCTAAGTGCCTATTATAGTCTTCTCAGAAAAACAGCGGATTTCGGAGTTGTAGCCGCGCAGCAATGCAGACAACCGGTTCACTACAACCGGCGCTACTCCCCGAGTTGAGCTACAACAGCGAGGACCGCCCAGGAAGGCTATCAGATATAGCGGCGCGTGATGTAGAGCGAATGTCGTCAATCAGGCGCACGAGTTAGACCATCGCGTTACCACCTTCTCTGTCGGCAGCGGAAATGCCGGGTAGAAGTCATGGCGCCTCGAAACGACTCTTTCAAGCCAATCTTATGAGGACGCTGTCCCGTTGCTGGCGAGATGACCTACTGGGTTGCCGTTTAGAGAGGAAAACGACGAAGCTGTACACTAAATTAAATAACTGCTGATGAGTTAACTCTACCTACTCCACCTCTCGCTAGGAGCTCCGTCTTTCGCGGCTCACTCTTCTCTTGCTGCCCGTCGTTCTCCGTTCGCCAATCGCTCGTCACTAGCTGCTCGTCGCTCGTCTCGCGTGTTGCTCGTCGCTCAGCGTTCGTCGTTGCTCAAGGATAGTCTCTGTCGTTGCTCGTCGCTCGTAGGTGGTCGCTCGTCGAAGCTCGTTAGTCGTGGATTATCGCCCAATACAATCTCGTGGATACTAAAATAAACCTGGTCAGAGCCTTATGACAACTAAGGATGTGCTCCCACCCACTCTTGCGTTGTCTGCCTGCGCAAATCTGAAAATGCCTGCAACGAACAACACTTTCGGCGACATGTTACTTTTCAGACTGTGATTCGCCCCCACGCTAGTATGCGACAGAATTTTCATGCGAGGGAGAGCGAATCGTGGTAACAAATTTGCCCGACCAACCAGTTTGTTGTCTGAATAAACCAGGCCAAAATCCTGCATCTTGCAACTCCACCAACCGACAGCACCTTACGGAACGGGAGTTTGAGCAACCTAAACGTTGGATAACGTTTTTGACCACTTTAGAAACTTATTGAATCGCACCCAACTGCAGTTCCGACTTCAGAATATGACGCCCCCTGCGACACTGGAGTTGGGAGGGAGTCCCTGAGGACGCGTTGAAAGTAGACGATCGATCGTGGGTCGCGATCGATGTGCGGATCTGTAACCCTCTTTACTGTGCTGTAATCTTGCTACAGTACGGTTTTTTTTTTTTTTTTTCCAGAATTTGTGCACAGTGTGTGAATGCGACTGATGCTCTCGAACCGAGCCTACCTGGCGCGATTAATTCTGATGCATGCGACTTTCTGAACTTTCGCAGAGCCAGGAAACGCTGTCGCCCAAATTGTCCACATTTGGCAAAATCTGTAAACATCACATCGCCAGGGTGGTTGCCCTGCTGGCTGCGAGTGTCGCAGGTGGGTATGGACGACGTATATTTTTTTGGTGCGAGTCGCATGCAGGGCAGTAATCTCGGCCCTGGAACATCCACCACAAAGCTCAGGTGCGATCGTTACAACGTATCGGTCTTCATGTTTCGCCAATCGATCTGCCCACTCGATTGTGGGGCTCGATTTATGCTCGCGATCCAGCGATATTTGCACTTTTAACGCGTCCTGATAAGTTATCAGTGTGCTCTACTCTAGTGGCCAGGGGGAGGGTCATTTGAATCAGCCTCGGGCAGTATTCTCGCCTAGGCATATCCCAAGGTTTCTGCGCGCGCTCCGAATACCCAGGTGCATGCTGCTATCGTAACATTCGACGCCGACGACTCCGACGCTCTGAAGTAACTGTTATAAGGAACCGAAAATGGGAGGTGACCTGACAATGTGAGTGACCACCTTTGACCCGATAGAGGCACGCCACCTAGTAGTAGATGCTGTTCGTATCTTCATGAACCAGAATCGAAGGACAGCTGTCAGCTGTAGTGCAGTCATGATTGACCTGGTTACCACGTCGAGGGAGTTTCGCTAACCGCAGAAGCGATGTCGTCGCGAGCAAGAGCTGGGAGCCGTCGATCCCAGTACTCTCCGTCGTCAAGATCAGCGGCTGCGAACGCATTCAGCACACGTGGCGGCAGCAGCGGAAGCGGCGGCGGCGGCGCAGCCGGCCTCCTAGATGGCATCGCGCGGGAGCGACCCCACGTGGTGATCGCGTCATGCGCGGTCTTCGTATTGATCGCCACTAGGTTCTTCTGGTTCCCCGCGCCTTATCTGGCCAGCAGACTAGTCGAGCCCGCGGGTTGCGACTTCGCCGTTTACCTAAACGCCAGAGGAGTGTTAGAAGGCCCTTGGTTAAACGATACCGCTGACTCTACCGATGCCGCCGTCGCCGCCGCTGCCGCCGCCGCGGGCCTCGATTTCACCTCAGGCTTGGGCGCAGGCACAGGGGTGCTGCTAGGGGACACCGGGCCTAGCAGGCTCGGCGGAGGCGCAGGTTCGGGAGGAAGCGGAGGCTCGGGAAGCGGGGAAGGTTCCAGCGGCGGGCAGAATGCAGGGCCGATGTTTTTTTCGGGCAGGAGGCTGCAAGCGATGGGGAAGATGGTGGCGGCTCGTGAGGGGGAGGACGACGGGAAGGTGCCGTGGGCTGTGGTGGTGGAGGGGTTGCTCACCACGGGCGCCTTCAGCACCAGTGACCCCGTGACACTTGCCTTCGCGCGATTGGCCGAGCGGTTCCTGGCGCCGTGGGCGAGAATAGAGGTGTGGCCGGGTCGGGTGGAGTGGGGAAGGGGGTTAAGGGAAGAGGGAAGAGGGGGGAGGGGAGATTGGGGTAAGAGGGGTCTTATTGTGGGGAGTGGGAAAGGGTGGAGGAGGGTGTGATTCTGAAGGGAGGGGTTATGGGTGTCTCTGTGAGAGGGAGAAACAAGCTCACCGACTGGAGCTCACTGACTGGAGCTCACTGACTGGAGGTCACTGACTGGAGGTCACTGACTGGAGGTCACTGACTGGAGGTCACTGACTGGAGGTCACTGACTGGAGGTCACTGACTGGAGCCCACTGACTGGAGGTCACTGACTGGAGCTCACTGACTGGAGCCCACTGACTGGAGGTCACTGACTGGAGGTCACTGACTGGAGGTCACTGACTGGAGGTCACTGACTGGAGGTCTCTGACTGGAGGTCACTGACTGGAGCTCACTGACTGGAGCTCACTGACTGGAGCTCACTGACTGGAGGTCAGTGACTGGAGGTCACTGACTGGAGGTCACTGACTGGAGGTCACTGACTGGAGGTCACTGACTGGAGGTCACTGACTGGAGGTCACTGACTGGAGGTCACTGACTGGAGCTCATCGACTGGAGCTCATCGACTGGAGGTCACTGACTGGAGCTCATCGACTGGAGCTCACTGACTGGAGCTCACTGACTGGAGCTCACTGACTGTAGCTCACTGACTGGAGCTCACTGACTGGAGCTCACTGACTGGAGCTCACTGACTGGAGCTCACTGACTGGAGCTCACTGACTGGAGCTCACTGACTGGAGCTCACTGACTGGAGCTCACTGACTGGAGCTCACTGACTGGAGCTCACTGACTGGAGCCCACTGACTGGAGCCCACTGACTGGAGGTCACTGACTGGAGGTCACTGACTGGAGGTCACTGACTGGAGGCCACTGACTGGAGCTCACTGACTGGAGCTCACTGACTGGAGCTCACTGACTGGAGCTCACTGACTGGAGCTCACTGACTGGAGGTCACTGACTGGAGGTCACTGACTGGAGCTCACTGACTGGAGCTCACTGACTGGAGGTCACTGACTGGAGCTCACTGACTGGAGCTCACTGACTGGAGGTCACTGACTGGAGCTCACTGACTGGAGCTCACTGACTGGAGGTCACTGACTGGAGCTCACTGACTGGAGGTCACTGACTGGAGGTCACTGACTGGAGGTCACTGACTGGAGGTCACTGACTGGAACTCATTGACTGGAGCTCACTGACTGGAGCTCACTGACTGGAGGTCACTGACTGGAGGTCACTGACTGGAGGTCACTGACTGGAGGTCACTGACTGGAGGTCACTGAATGGAGGTCACTGACTGGAGGTCACTGACTGGAGCTCACTGACTGGAGGTCACTGACTGGAGCTCATTGACTGGAGCTCACTGACTGGAGCTCACTGACTGGAGGTCACTGACTGGAGGTCACTGACTGGAGGTCACTGACTGGAGGTCACTGACTGGAGGTCACTGACTGGAGGTCACTGACTGGAGGTCACTGACTGGAGGTCACTGACTAGAGGTCACTGACTGGAGCTCACTGACTGGAGGTCACTGAATGGAGGTCACTGACTGGAGGTCACTGACTGGAGGTCACTGACTGGAGCTCACTGACTGGAGCTCACTGACTGGAGCTCACTGACTGGAGGTCACTGACTGGAGGTCCCTGACTGTAGGTCACTGACTGGAGGTCACTGACTGGAGGTCACTGAATGGAGGTCACCGACTGGAGGTCACTGACTGTGGAGGTCACTGACTAGAGGTCACTGACTGGAGGTCACTGACTGGAGGTCACTGACTGGAGGTCACTGACTGGAGGTCACTGACTGGAGGTCACTGACTGGAGGTCACTGACTGGAGGTCACTGACTGGAGGTCACTGACTGGAGGTCACTGAATGGAGGTCACTGACTGGAGGTCACTGACTGGAGGTCACTGACCGGAGGTCACTGACTGGAGCTCATTGACTGGAGCTCACTGACTGGAGGTCACTGACTGGAGGTCACTGACTGGAGGTCACTGACTGGAGGTCACTGACTGGAGGTCACTGACTGGAGGTCACTGACTGGAGCTCACTGACTGGAGCTCACTGAATGGAGGTCACTGACTGGAGCTCACTGACTGGAGCTCACTGACTGGAGGTCACTGAATGGAGGTCACTGACTGGAGGTCACTGACTGGAGCTCACTGACTGGAGCTCATTGACTGGAGCTCACTGACTGGAGGTCACTGACTGGAGGTCACTGACTGGAGGTCACTGACTGGAGGTCACTGACTGGAGGTCACTGACTGGAGGTCACTGACTGGAGGTCACTTACTGGAGGTCACTGACTGGAGGTCCCTGACTGGAGGTCACTGACTGGAGGTCACTGACTGGAGGTCACTGACTAGAGGTCACTGACTGGAGCTCACTGACTGGAGGTCACTGAATGGAGGTCACTGACTGGAGGTCACTGACTGTGGAGGTCACTGACTAGAGGTCACTGACTGGAGCTCACTGACTGGAGGTCACTGACTGGAGCTCACTGACTGGAGGTCACTGACTGGAGGTCACTGACTGGAGGTCACTGACTGGAGGTCACTGACTGGAGGTCACTGACTGGACTGACTGGAGGTCACTGAATGGAGGTCACTGACTGGAGGTCACTGACTGGAGCTCACTGACTGGAGGTCACTGACTGGAGCTCATTGACTGGAGGTCACTGACTGGAGGTCACTGACTGGAGGTCACTGACTGGAGGTCACTGACTGGAGGTCACTGACTGGAGGTCACTGACTGGAGGTCACTGACTGGAGGTCACTGAATGGAGGTCACTGACTGGAGGTCACTGACTGGAGCTCACTGACTGGAGCTCATTGACTGGAGCTCACTGACTGGAGGTCACGGACTGGAGGTCACTGACTGGAGGTCACTGACTGGAGGTCACTGACTGGAGGTCACTGACATGTATGGTTGCATGTATGGGTGGGTGCATGAGTGCATGGTTTTCCATATGTGCTCTGCGTTGCATGTCCACAGGGTATCACGGACGGGCTGGGGAAGACAGGCCTCATCAAGGCGGCAGCACTCAAAGCCATCGCCACCAACCCCAAGGTGCTATGCGTTGCCCTGCTCACTGCACTGAGTTTTGAGTCGACTCTGCAGTTGCACGTTAGCCTGCACCTTGCGACTTGTAACTCGACTCAAACAAATCAAGGCGGCTGCACTCAAGGCAATCGCCACCAACCCCAAGGTGCGCTGCTCTGCAAGTCACCCTGCACCGTGCACTGAGTTTTGAGTCGTCTCTGCACTTGCACGCTAGCCTGCACCATGTCACCCGTCATTCGACTCAATGTTTCAAGGCGGCAGCACTGAAGGCCATCGCCACCAACCCCAAGGTGGGCTGCTTTGAGTGATGCCATGCACTGTCTTTAACCCCAATGTGTATGTGTGCTACATCTACAAGTTACCCTACACCATGTGACTTTAGAGTCTACTCTAACATCTCAAGGCGGCTGCACTCAAGGCCATCGCCACCAACCCCAAGGTGCGCACCTCTGCCAGTTACCTTACCCTGCTGCACCATGCACTACCACCACCAACCGCAAGCTGCACTGCACCTTCGCCCTCTCCATTCCATTGCCCCCCTCCCTCCCCACCTCTATTTCTTTTCCCCCCCACTCCCCTTTCACCCTCCCCCTCCCCATCCCGTCCCATCACCCCCCAGCTAATGACCTGTGTGGCGCAGGTGCGAGTGGTGGAAGGGCGGGTGTTCTTCCGCTATGGCTCTTTCCTGGAAGACGAGAGGAAGCTTCTGAGAATCAACCTGGCGGTGAAGATGATTCATGAAGCCGTGGTCACGTTTGAGCTGCAGAGTGAGTCCTTGGTATTAGTGTGCTCATGACTGTTTCCTTTTTGCCTTCTTGTGAGTGGCGTTTGATAACTCTCTTTTGTTTTATATCCCCTCGAACTGCCCTTCCCCTTGTCTCTCCCTCCCCCCTCTTCGCCCCCCTCTCCCCCCTCACGCCCCCTTTCCTTCCCTGCGAGCAGAGCTCTATCTCAACGCGTGTGACGACCCGCACAGCTACGACAACTCACCTTTGTTCCTCGACTAACCCCCTCCCCTCTCCCACTGCCTCTTCCCCATCTTTCCCTTTCCTTCCCTCGCCTCTCCTATTGCCCCAGCCCTGCGGGCAGAGCTCTATTTGAACGCGTGTGACGACCCACACAGCTACGACAATTCACTCTCATCGGGTCGTTCGGGCTTTGCAGTGCTGAGCTCCCAGTGGACGCCCGGCGTGACGGACATTCTCTTCCCCGACCCCCTTGACCTCGCGTACCAGCCCTCCTACTCGCCCCGCGCGGGGCAAGTAGGAGAGGCACGGCAGGAGCGGCAGGGGTTGGAGCCGTTGCCGATATGGGAGCGGGTGAGTGCGTGTGGGAGATTGAGAGTGGTATGGATGGTAGTTGTCAAACCTGCACCTCAAACCTGCACATCAAACCTGCACGTCAAACCTGCACCTCAAACCTACACGTCAAACCTGCACGTCAAACCTGCACGTCAAACCTGCACCTCAAACCTGCACCTCAAACCTGACCTCAAACCTGACCTCAAACCTGCACGTCAAACCTGACGTAAAGCAGGAACGTGTTGCGGCTTGATTTTCCTCCCACATGTTTCCCATCTGCATCGTTTCCCCCGTTCTCCCTCCCCCTGCATGACCAGCGGCAGAGCAAGGCGGTATGGCAGGGCAGGGCGTTGGAGCTGGTATGAAAAGAGGCCAACTGGGCCAGCAGCCTGAGAGTGCACCTGCACCGCCTGCAGCGCTTGTCAGACGTGCCTTGTTCTCCTCAGCCCCTGTATGTCCCCCCTGCCTCTCTCTCTTTCTTATCCCCTCTAAGCAGCGCAAGAGCAAGGCGGAGTGGAGGGGCAGGGCGTTGGAGCTGGTGTTGAAGGAGGCCAACTGGGCCAGCAGCCTGCGAGTGCGCCTCCACCGCATGTCCGATGCTGCCGCTTCTCATCCCCTGCCTGTCCCCCGTGCCTGTCCCCCTGCCTGTCCCCCCCCCCCTCCTCCCCATGAGCAGCGGCAGAGCAAGGCAGAGTGGAGGGGGAGGGCGTTGGAGCTGGTGCTAAAGGAGGCCAACTGGGCCACGAGCCTGAGAGTGCGCCTGCACCGCATGTCAGACGCCCGGCCCGACCTGCTGGACGCACGCCTCACCATGTGGGGCGAGAAGGACGGCGTTGACGCCAAGAAGCTGCTGCTCAGGTGGGCGGCTGTTGGGGGGTGGTGTGGGAGAGAAAGGGAGAGAGTGATGGGGAGGGGATGTCCAATGCCCGGCCCGACCTGCTGGATGCGCGCCTCACCATGTGGGGCGAGAAGGACGGCGTTGACACCAAGAAGCTGCTGCTCAGGTGGGGAGGGGGTTGGACGGAGGGGCGGTGGGGGGGGGTCAGGAGAGGGAGGGTCTTAATGGGGAAAGAACGTTCCCTTGGGACGTCTCGTGTCAGTGTAAGGTAGTCTTGCCCCATCTCCTGCCCGCTTCCCTTACCCCCCTCCCATAGCCACAGGCATGGTGTGGTGCTGGCAGAGGAGGTGGATGACGTCGCAGAGAGAATTGAGGGGGTACAAGTACGTGCTCGTGTTGGACAAGAAATTGATAGTCAAATAGAAAACCACATGAAAAGAAGTCACAATCTGAGATTCAAGATTTCACTTCTTTCACATTGCTGATATTCTCTTCCCCCCCTTCCCAGGCAAGGTGTGGTGCTGGCAGAGGAACTGGATGACGTGGCAGGGAGAAGAGACTACAAGTACGTGCTGGTGGTGGACGAGCAGATCGGCACGCGTGACATGTGTCGCGCTCTGAGTGGCCCGCAGGCCGTCATCCGCCACGCGTCAGGCTACACGGAGTTCTCTGACCCGCTGCTGCTGCCAGGCGTGCACTATGCACCCGTGGGGCACAGGTCAGTGGGGTGGAGTGTGATAATGTGGGGTGCGATTATGTGGGGTGCGATTATATGGGGTGTGATTATGTGAGGTGCGATAATGTGGTGAGCGTCATGCATGTGTGGTGCACATGGTGAATGGGCTTCCATGCTGCCATGCTGCATGGATCTTCTTGACTCGCTGCTGTTGTCGGGCGTGCACCATGCGCCCGTGCTGCACGGGTGAGTGGAGTAGGATGCTGTGCGGTGCGCATGGTGTGTGTATGGAGTTCCATCCTCTCATGCTGCATGGAGCTTTTTGACCTGCTGCTGCTGCCCCGTGAGTGGGGTGCATGCACCTATGTGCACAGAGGCTTTTTGACCTGCTGCTGCTGCTCTCATGTGCCCGTGGTGCACAGGTGAGTGGGGTGCATGCACCTATGTGCACAGAGGCATGTGTGGGTGACATGGGCCTGCTGTTGCTGACACGGGAGTGCTGCTGCTAGCAGCAAACACTCTCCCTAAGGCAGATGGTGTGCAATGCCAACGAGCTCACAGCACATGGAATAACTCTCTAACCTTTCCCCTCCCCCCCTCCCCCTCCTCCCAGTTTCCGGGACCTATTCAGTGTGATAGAGTGGATGCAGCGCAACGATGCTGCTGTCCGCACCATGGTACGCAACGCCAACGAGCTTGCAGCGCTCGTCTGCACATGGCACTCGCGCGTGCACTTCTGGGCGGTACTCCTCGCCAAATACTCCTCCCGTGCCCTCGAGAACCCCGCTGCTGTGGTTGCCCCCACGCCGTGCCGCGGCGGCCGCGCCAGGGTTAGTTCCCAGTGGGCGAATTCGACTGTTTCTGGGGCTTGTAAAGTGGAGCGGAGTGTAGATGAAGCGGGGGCGTCGTGGAGTGAGCTGGCGAAGGCTGCTGGGGAGAGAGGGGCTAGTGCGTTGTTGGAGGTTTTGGGTATTGATGGGAGCGGTATGGAGGAAATGGGAGATGATAATCTGGATAGGTGTAGTGATTTTTGTGTAAGTGGGGTGCCTGAGGATCAATGGGTATGGCTGGATGCGGAGGAGAGCTTGAGGGACGTCTACCCGCATGATCCCATTGGCCGGTCTTTGCATCTTTATAATCGATGATGTCATCTCATGTTGCCAAAAGGGCTTCTATTTATTAGGCATTTCCGCAGCTCCATTAAATTGCGCAGATAATGGATGTCTATGCATCACAATGTTGCCACTCATGAGTACTATACAACCCCTGTCCGTGGTAAAAACATATTTTACGCTCTGGTGCTGATGTTAGCCCTAGCGCGTACAAGCAGTCAATTTACAGAGCCGATGCGGTAACTTCCAGGCGTATCGCGTTTGGCACGCGCTCAACTCCTTGACCAGTGTCGGATGGCTGGGAGTAGACCCGCATATTCTTCGCTCCTCAAACTTTATTGTGCCCGACGTGTGATGTATGAATTGCAATTAGAATTGCAGCTTGTAGTCTCCACCAAGTCGCGCGGCCTTCATTCCCTCCACCTGCTCCAAACCTGCCATTCTACACCAAACCATCTGCAAAATGATATCGCGGGAAGACAGACACACTACACTTTTCCGATTGACAAACCTTTTTGGCCCAATTGGGTTGCACCTTCAATACGAAGTTGGAGTTTTGTCTTTGTGCAAGGTCGTGTCCGTAGGAACGACATGTCAAAGTGGGCAGTGTCAACTTGGCATTTTGACACTCTGCCAACTGTTAGTAGAGTGTCAAGAAATTGCAGGTTGCCAGCCAATATAAATCGTCGAGCACTTTTGAAATTGGCACAGACAAACCTACAAACGAGAGAAGATTGTCGCAAGTACCTATCTCACGACCAGATGCTGCCCAATCAGCACACAATATGTCTTTTGAATTGTTCGTTGCCTAGCAGATCTAGCCATGACAAATTCTCAAACCAATGAAATTGCGTCGCTGATGTTCGTACCTGCGCCTCGACTTGACACTTCCATTACAGTGCTTGACACTCTAATTTGAATGCGCTTTGGTTTGACACGCTCTTACTTGACATGTCGATCCTACGGACACGAACTAACACGTTCCAAATTCCCAACAAACAGGGCAAACTATCCGTACCTTGAGGTGTGGTATGGAATGGCGTTGATGAAGGTTCGGTTTCGAGCGCGCACCGTCAATTGCCCTTACCGAGCCTATCCGGAGCCCAGAATTTCTTCCACTGGTCGGTTAGGGCGGACGATTATCGCCTCGCCACACGGAGCACACAGAAATTCAATGTTTTTTTTTTCCAAGCTTGCCCCTTGTAGCGCGCTGGTGCGGCGATAGTCGCATGCAACTAGTTGCAGCCAACGCGGTGTGAGCTTCATGGTTGGGCATTATTTGGGGTCGATACGGAGCAGGTCGAGGAAGTCGCCACCATTGTTGGTAGAAAAGCGAAAAGCGCCGCAGTTGGCGCCTGCTCTGCTTCTCTCAACTCGACTCAACTCCCTTGTCACGCCAATCTCCTGCTCGAACTCCATGAGCTGCTCTTTCTAAAAAAATGGTCGGGAGGACTAGTGAACACGACGTGTGATAAGCCATAGAACGCCAAATCTGGCAGCAACTCTTTATATTGCGCCTCGTACAACGGCCAACAGTCAACAGACCGCAGCCATGGCCCTTGCTGGACTCGACTCTTCCGAAGTCGACCTGCACAGCACTTCCCCTTTATCTCCCCCCCTGACTCTCGCCGTTCCTATCCTGAGCTACAGCCTCTGGTTATCCACTCAGCCTCGTGCCAAGCCTTCCCTTCAGCTGCGAGATTTCTCGCAAGAGCTCGCCGAGGCCTCGCCGCCGTCGATTCGGCAAGGATCCTGCGGTACGGAGGAGAGCGAATGTGAAGCTCTGGTACCGCCTGAGACGCAGCTATTCGATGAGTATCAACGAGGAACTTACCTTCCTGCCGTCAGTGATTCGTATCGAGAAAATACTACGAAACTTACTGCAGCGGGTGATGAGATCGTCACGTGTAAACAGACGACGCGCGATTCTATCGAGACATCGGGCAACGGGGATGTATGGGAGGGAGAGGACGCGCACTGTGGTACGGCGCGCTCTTCATGCGACAGTAAGAGCTCGTGCGATAGCGAGCGATCGTGCGACAGCGACGACCTGTCAAGCGACGACGAATCGTCAAGCAGCGACGATTCGTGCAGTGGATTCTCGTCCTTTGGGAGCGAAGATTCGTTCGAAACTTCCAATTTTTCCGAAGAAGGCAGCGCATTGGCTGCCGAACCGCCGAGCGGCGCGCTGGCTCAACAAAACGACGCTGACTCGTTCAAACCTGCGTTGACTCTCGAAGACGACATACCCTTCCGCGCCACGTGGCCTTTCGGTCCGTACAGGTTCCCGCCGGTGTCGCCAGCGCGTGCGAGAGAGTCGCCCAGCAAGTCGCCCAACAGCAAGGGACAGCGGGTTCGGTGGTGCGACGAAGAAGACGGCGGGTCGCTCGTCGATGTTCGTGAATTTGAGCGAAGGTGCGTCGCCCAATGCTGTAACAATCCACGTGCTATGCGACCACGTGAGACAATGTGCGACCATGTGCGACACTGGGCCCTTTCCCGCTCATTCACATCCACCCACTCTCCATCCCCCTGGCTCCCCCACGGGTCCCACTATTCCCTCCCCTCCCCTTACTCCTGAGAGAATAGCAAGAAGCCAAGCTTCTTCGCCCTCCTTTTACAACCTGCCGCCCTTCCCTCCCCCGCCCCCCCATCTCACCCTCCCCTGTCAACGGCCCACCCTGCATTGCGCAGCGACGTGAGGCGGGAAGTCAATAGGCCCCCATTCTCTTCCGCCCTTCCCTCCACCAACCTCTGCCCCTTCTCTCCCCCATCTCCCTCCCCTATCTCTCTCCCCTCCCTTACCCCCATCCCCCCAACTCCGCTTCGCCTTGCATTGCGCGCAGCGACGTGGAGTGGGAGGATATTCGCCTGCCGCCCAGGCGACGCAGATACGACGCGTCCGACGAGGATGACGTGTGCGGATGCGCGGTGCAGTGATGACGTGTGACGACGCAAGAACGGGGGAAGGGGGGGTGGGGGGGGGAGAGGTTATGATGGGGGAGAGGGAAGGAGGGAGGGAGGAGGGGGAAGGGGGGGTGGGGGGGGGAGAGGTTATGATGGGGGAGAGGGAAGGAGGGAGGGAGGAGGGGGAAGAGGGGACGGACGGAGGAGGGTGGAGAGGGCGGTGGAGGTCAAAGCTTCACCAAGCCCTTCCAGGGGCAGCGCATGTGTTGGGTGGTGGGGGGCTTTGGCTATGGGTAAAGAGCAGGGGGCGTGGCAGAAGAAGCAAGAGCAGAGGGGAAACAGGGTTGAAGGAGAGCAGCATGAGTGGGAGGGCGGAGAGATCTTCCCCTACTTCTACACTAGAGCTTCACTCCATTCTATCCAAGGGAACACGAGTGGGAAAACTGAGAGGTTGGAGATAAGGCATGGCACGGCAAGCGCGGTCGAAGTGATTGTTGAGTTGTGCTGTGCGCTCAGAGAGAGGGCGATGGGAGCTGGTGCTGCATGCAAGTCAGCACACAGTGGGTGGCCGGAACCGGTGTACTAGGGAGTCCATGTGCTTCAAACAGAACCTTTACGTGAAAATGAATGGATCTAGTGCGGTGGTAAGGGGGTGTAATGCAATGCAAAGGGATTATTTAATGTGTTCTCGGTTGTTTTAGTTTGATCTGGTGGGTGTTCTGTAGGTGAAATTACATTTGAAGCTTGCCGGAAGGGTGCAGAGCAATGCCAACAAGTGGTCATTCCCCCTGAGCTGTGTCTTGTGTTGTGCCCCAATGCTTGTGCAGACATCACAACTGTGCAGGTATTCTCCCTGCATCATCAAAACTGTGCAGATTTTCTCCCTGCATCACCACAACTGTGCAGATTTTCTCCCTGCATCACCACTACGGTACTTTGCAAAGAACTGCACTGTTTGAATCCAAAGGTTCTCCCAGGGGAACGAGTATGGGCAAAACACAAAACCCCCAAGCCCGCTACATTTAACAGTGACCACTGCAATCACAACCCATGCTTAGCATCCCATCAATAAGACATTATAGGCGCACCAACATCACTCATGCCCACCTTCTCCATCCCTGCATCCACCATCTCACCGCCCTGCACCACAGGCAACTCTTCCGCACCCAGATCAAACTCGGGGTACTCCAGCTTGAGCGCCATCCTCAGCACAGCTTCCAACCCCGCACCCACCAGCATCCCATAGAATGAAAACCCGAGAGCCATTAGGAACGGCGGGTAGTCGTACGCGAATAGGAACACCTGGTAGAGCGAATCGCTGTACGACATGTCGTTTATCACCGAGTAGATTTGCGTCCAGATGAAGAGAGAAGCGATCCCAGACAGGCAGCCAAAGCCCACGGAGAACGGCGTGACGACCCAGCGGGACCATTTCCCGGGGATCACACCCGCCATCACGGGGATGACTGATGTGGTGGTGAGGAGGTTGGCTAGCAGGAAGAGCTGGAGAACGTTGTATCCCTTGAGGGCCACGACGAGCGGAGGGATGTTGAAGAGAAGCACGATGGCCCGCACCGCCCAGATGCCCTTGGCTTCGAATACTGACATGAAGGCTGTCTTTGCCACTGCAGCCTGTACTGCGTCGGAGGAGACGGAGAGGAAGAAGTCGATGATTGCGAGGAAGGTGGTGGTGAGCGTGTCGGCAATGGCGTTCTGCAGCGAGTCGACTGCGGACTCGGACATGACGACGGCGAGCACGGTGGTGATGACCAGGATCCACGTGGTGTCGTTGAAGAGAGAGAAGAGGATGGTGTTGGTGTTGGTGAAATCCTCGTTCGGCTGCCACACCCCACCCCAAACGGCGAGTAAACCTGGTGTATGGGGTGGAGGGGCCGGAGGGGGGATGCAGGGGTGTGGAGTGGTTGAAGAAAGGGAAGGAAATGGTGGTGGTGTTGGTGAAGCCCTCGCTGGGCTGCCACACGCCTCCCCACACCGCCAGTAGGCCTGTTGGTGGGGTTGTAAGGGGAAGGCAGGGGTGTGGTAGAGTGGTTGATGAGGAGAACGGGGAAAACGCGGGGATGGGAGCAAGGGCACCAGGGATAAAGGAGGCAGACATGGGTCAACCACCCATCCTACCCATGTGGGCCCGTGTGGCGTTGAGGAACGTCCATCCCCGTTGGGCTGCCACACGGCCCCACACGGCCAGTAAGCCTTTAGTCTAGAAGATTGATGGTTTGAGAAGGGAATCGGAGTGCAGGAGAGCAAGGGGTGGGCAAGGCAACAGCAAGCGAGGACAAGCGGAGAGCAGGAGAGCAAGGAGGGGGAGAGCAACGGGGAGAGCAAGGAGGGGGAGAGCATACCGCCGAAGCCGAAGAGGAAGACGACAATGGTGACGGCCACTGACGCCAGCGCTGCTCCCCCCAGCAGCGCCTTGCGGCTCGATGACGCCCAGCAGCTGGTGCGACGAGCAGGGGAGGGGGGGGCAGAAGGGCAGGTGTGGGCCAGCAGGCTTAGTAGGTGGTCTGGAGAAAACTCTCTGCTCCCCCCAGCAGCGCCTGGCGACTCACTGACGCCCAGCACCTGGTGTTCTGGGGAGGGTGGGTTGGGCGAAGGGGGGGCAGGGAGGAGCGGCAGCAGCATAGCTATGCTATGGCTATGCTATGGCTATGCTAAGGCTATGCTATGGCTATGCTAAGGCTATGCTATGGCTATGCTATGGCTATGCTATGGCTATGCTATGGCTATGCTATGGCTATGCTATGGCTATGCTATGGCTATGCTACGGCTATGCTATGGCTATGCTATGGCTATGCTATGGCTATGGCTATGCTATGCTATGGCTATGCTATGGCTATGCTATGCTATGGCTATGCTATGGCTATGCTATGGCTATGCTATGGCTATGCTGCTTCCCCCAGCAGTGCCTTGCGACTGGCTGACGCCCCGCAGCTGGTGTGTTGGGAAGGGGATAGAGGGCTCCCTCTCAGTAGAGAGACAACACCTGGAATTCAGTAGAGTCACAGTCATGGCCTCACTAGGGCAGCCTGGACGGAGGGAGGTGAGAAGAGAGAGATGACGGAGGGAGGTGAGAAGAGAGAGATGATGGAGGGAGGTGAGAAGAGAGAGATGACGGAGGGAGGTGAGAAGAGAGAGATGATGGAGGGAGGTGAGAAGAGAGAGATGACGGAGGGAGGTGAGAAGAGAGAGATGATGGAGGGAGGTGAGAAGAGAGAGATGACGGAGGGAGGTGAGAAGAGAGAGATGACGGAGGGAGGTGAGAAGAGAGAGATGACGGAGGGAGGTGAGAAGAGAGAGATGACGGAGGGAGGTGAGAAGAGAGAGATGACGGAGGGAGGTGAGAAGAGAGAGATGACGGAGGGAGGTGAGAAGAGAGAGATGACGGAGAGAGGTGAGAAGAGAGAGATGACGGAGGGCAGCCTGGACTGTCTGACAAAGAACATTGACGGCTGCCTCCTGACAGGGAGGTGGATGTGATGTGACCAAGCACACTTCACGTCTCACCGACTTTTGAGATGTCAAGACGTGAAGTCAGTGAGATGTGAAGTCAGTGAGATGTGAAGTCAGTGAGATGTGAAGTCAGTGAGATGTGAAGTCAGTGAGATGTGAAGTCAGTGAGATGTGAAGTCAGTGAGATGTGAAGTCAGTGAGATGTGAAGTCAGTGAGATGTGAAGTCAGTGAGATGTGAAGTCAGTGAGATGTGAAGTCAGTGAGATGTGAAGTCAGTGAGATGTGAAGTCAGTGAGATGTGAAGTCAGTGAGATGTGAAGTCAGTGAGATGTGAAGTCAGTGAGATGTGAAGTCCGTGAGATGTGAATTCAGTGAGATGTGAAGTCAGTGAGATGTGAAGTCAGTGAGATGTGAAGTCAGTGAGATGTGAAGTCAGTGAGATGTGAAGTCAGTGAGATGTGAAGTCAGTGAGATGTGAAGTCAGTGAGATGTGAAGTCAGTGAGATGTGAAGTCAGTGAGATGTGAAGTCAGTGAGATGTGAAGTCAGTGAGATGTGAAGTCAGTGAGATGTGAAGTCAGTGAGATGTGAAGTCAGTGAGATGTGAAGTCAGTGAGATGTGAAGTCAGTGAGATGTGAAGTCAGTGAGATGTGAAGTCAGTGAGATGTGAAGTCAGTGAGATGTGAAGTCAGTGAGATGTGAAGTCAGTGAGATGTGAAGTCAGTGAGATGTGAAGTCAGTGAGATGTGAAGTCAGTGAGATGTGAAGTCAGTGAGATGTGAAGTCAGTGAGATGTGAAGTCAGTGAGATGTGAAGTCAGTGAGATGTGAAGTCAGTGAGATGTGAAGTCAGTGAGATGTGAAGTCAGTGAGATGTGAAGTCAGTGAGATGTGAAGTCAGTGAGATGTGAAGTCAGTGAGATGTGAAGTCAGTGAGATGTGAAGTCAGTGAGATGTGAAGTCAGTGAGATGTGAAGTCAGTGAGATGTGAAGTCAGTGAGATGTGAAGTCAGTGAGATGTGAAGTCAGTGAGATGTGAAGTCAGTGAGATGTGAAGTCAGTGAGATGTGAAGTCAGTGAGATGTGAAGTCAGTGAGATGTGAAGTCAGTGAGATGTGAAGTCAGTGAGATGTGAAGTCAGTGAGATGTGAAGTCAGTGAGATGTGAAGTCAGTGAGATGTGAAGTCAGTGAGATGTGAAGTCAGTGAGATGTGAAGTCAGTGAGATGTGAAGTCAGTGAGATGTGAAGTCAGTGAGATGTGAAGTCAGTGAGATGTGAAGTCAGTGAGATGTGAAGTCAGTGAGATGTGAAGTCAGTGAGATGTGAAGTCAGTGAGATGTGAAGTCAGTGAGATGTGAAGTCAGTGAGATGTGAAGTCAGTGAGATGTGAAGTCAGTGAGATGTGAAGTCAGTGAGATGTGAAGTCAGTGAGATGTGAAGTCAGTGAGATGTGAAGTCAGTGAGATGTGAAGTCAGTGAGATGTGAAGTCAGTGAGATGTGAAGTCAGTGAGATGTGAAGTCAGTGAGATGTGAAGTCAGTGAGATGTGAAGTGAAGTCAGTGAGATGTGAAGTCAGTGAGATGTGAAGTCAGTGAGATGTGAAGTCAGTGAGATGTGAAGTCAGTGAGATGTGAAGTCAGTGAGATGTGAAGTCAGTGAGATGTGAAGTCGGTGAGATGTGAAGTCAGTGAGATGTGAACAAGAGGCTTGAAAAGTGAAGCAGATCCCTCACCGCTGCCATGTGACACCCACACAGAGAGCCCACACTCACCGCTGCCACATGGCTTCGCTGAAGAGCGTGGAGGAGATGAGCGAGATGGGCATGACTGCTATGGACGCGAGTCTGTATGGAGGCGAGGCTGTAGTGCCTGACAGCGAGGTGCATGTGCTGTGATCCACCGCTGCCATGTGACACCCACACAGAGAGCCCGCACTCACCGCTGCCACATGGCTTCGCTGAAGAGCGTGGAGGAGATGAGCGAGATGGGCATGACTGCGATGGACGCCAGCCCATACTCGTTGCTCCACGTGAGATCCACCGGCTCGGACGGTAAGGGGCCGAGAGGCGCGTCGAACGTGGCGCAGACGAATATGAAGAGCACCAGCACGAACACTACTGATATGCCCGCCTGGTGTTGGGGGGAGGTGGTGGGGGCAAGGAGGGAAGGGAGAATGGTGAGGGGAAGCGCGTGGGGTGAGCAACGCTGCAGATGAATATGAAGAGCACCAACACCACTGATTTGCCCGCCTGGTGTTGGGGGGAGGTGGTGGGGGGGGGCAGGGAGGATGGAGAAGGACGAGTGGAGACGGGAAGAGCGTAGAGTCAGCAATGTTGCAGACGAATATGAAGAGGACGAACACCACTGATATGCCCACCTGGTGGTGGGGAGAGGGAGAGAAGGGAAAGAGGTGGAGGGGGCAGGGAGGAGGCAAGAGCGTGGCACAGATGGATATGAAAGCATGAGCACGGATACGCACCCCCCCATCCACCCATCCACCCACCCACTCACTCACCCACGCACCCACACACCAGCACAGCAATCCGCGCACCTGCCACCAGTCGGTAATAATGGACACATAGAGCCCTCCAATAGCTCCGTGTGCTGAGTCGCCTCAACACCCAGCCACTCACGCACACAGCCACCCCTCCCTCTCCCCTTTCCCCCTCCCACCCACCCACCCACCGCCCACCCACGCACACAATCCGCGCACCCACCACCCGCACAATCCGCGCACCTGCCACTGGTCGGTGATAATGGACACGTAGAGCCCTCCGATGGCGGTGTAGGTGAGCGAGACGAGGCCTATAACGAGGATGATGGGCAGGCTCTTGGAGCCGATGATGTCCGTGAAGAGACTGCCCACGGCCGTGTACTCCGCTGTGATGGCCACTCCCATGTTGAACAGCATGAGGGCTGAGACGTAGAGGGAGATGACGCTGGGAAGAAGGGGAGGAGGGGGGATGGGGCCAAGGGGGCAATGGTGTGAGTGAAGAGACTTCCTACGGCCGTGTACTCCGCTGTGATGGCCACTCCCATGTTGAACAGCATCAGCGCGGAGACGTACAGGGAGATGACGCTGGGAAGGGAGGATAGCAATGGAGAAGAGTGGAACAAGGACGGGAAAGTGGAGGGGAGATGGAAAGGAACGATGACAGGAGGTAATGGGAAGCATTGAGCGGTAATGGGAAGCATTGAGCGGTAATGGGAAGCATTGAGCACAAGGGAATGTGAGGGGTAGACCCAACCCCTCAGAGCCACATGCAGAAGCGGCGGGCCATGCCATGGGGACTCATGAGAGGGAATGTAAGGGCACGAGGCGGCTACTCGCTTGCCACAGCACAAACCCCTCAACTCCGAACATTGCAAACCCAGACACCCCCCCACCCGACGACTCACAGGCCTAAGCGGTGGCGTACATAGTCCGCCATGGATACGACGAACGGCACGAGACGGTGGATGACCGAACCCCTAAACCCCGCATACCGAACCCCACCACGCCACAACCCCCCGCGCCCCTAACCCCGAAACCTTACAGGCCGAAGCGGCGGCGCACATAGTCCGCCATGGAGACGACGGACGGCACGAGGCGGTGGATGACCGCGCCGAACCACGCCACTATGATGATAGGCAGGCCTGCTGATATCGCGTACATGATCATCCCCAGCGTGCCCGCGTACAAGCAGTACGACGGCGGCCCGAACAGCGCCCACGACCCCATCGCGCCCGCGTAGAACGACCTGCGCGGAGGGGGAAGGGGAAAGGGGAAGGGGGAAGGGGAGGGGGGCGAGGCGGAAGGGGAAGGGGAAAGGAGTGGTTTGTTAAGGCGAACGGAGAATCGCCCATCGCACCAGCGGCAAACGGAAATAAACAGGGGGTATATGGACGGGGGGGCTTTCGCACTTCCCGGGTTCGGGGTTTACGGGAGGGTGACTGGAGGCGTCGCGAATGGCACCTTCCCGCGATGTCCGGAAGGCCCGCGCAACGAGTAGCACAACCACAGGGCCACCGGCACTGGTCGTGGGAAACCCGTGTCGTTTGAGGAGCGCCCCGCTGCGACACGTGGCCGGCAAAGCGCTCACCTGTCGCATGCACAGCGCGCCGCTGCGAGCCGCTGCAGCTTTTCCGCAAATGCCGCGCAGTGGCCACGAGCGCCATTGTCTTGCCACGCGACGGTGAGCATGGGAACGGGGTTACCACGCGATAGTCGCGATCACCGTTGACTTACCAAGCAATGGGCGCGAGCACCGTTGACTTCCAAGCAATGGGCGCGAGCACCGTTGACTTCCAAGCAATGGGCGCGAGCACCGTTGACTTACCAAGCAATGGGCGCGAGCACCGTTGACTTACCAAGCAATGGGCGCGAGCACCGTTGACTTACCAAGCAATGGGCGCGATCACCGTTGACTTACCAAGCAATGGGCGCGATCACCGTTGACTTACCACGCGATGGTGAGCATGGGAACCGATTTGCGAGCCGTGAGGAAGAAGTCGGGCGTGTCGGGGCCGCCCTGCTTCATCTCGCGGTACACCGCGAACGCGCACGCGCCCGCGCCGAACAGCACCACGGCCAGCACGCCGAACGTGTACGCGAGCACTTCCAGCGACGCCATGGCTCGCTAAGTGCGGCACGTCAAGTGTAACTCTCACTGAAGCGCTAAGTGCGGCTCGTCAGAGGCCACGCTAATGCGTTGGTGCTGCTCGTCGCCCGTAGCTTCTTGGGGGGATATCGCTCTGTCTGGCGAGGTTTATGTTTTTTTCAGCGGTTTTTCAGGCGACTCCAAGACATGCGCAGACCCCGCCAAAGTCAACGTGAATTGAGTCACTAGGAGCCTATATAATGTTGCTGGACATGTTTCTTTGTAAGCAACGGTGGTTGATAAATAATGTGGGGTGGCCCAAGTCCGCCACGTGCAAAAAGCAGCTGAAAAATGGCGGCTCTGCTGAAGGAAAAGTGCAGTAAATTGCGTGTGTACGTGCTCCCCAGCGCAACCAAGCACAGCTGCAATGCACGCAAATACAACATGGCCGACAGGAGGGTGGGTGGGTGGGGGGGGGGGGGAAGGGGGGGAATGGGGGGAAGGGGGGGAAAGGGAGTTGGATTTTTACGGGAGGGGGTGGGGTGGGGGGACAGCTGTCGCCTGGTCTTGACAAGGGCGGCGAACCTCAAGCTTGCGGGGCTTCAATTCAAACCAACAAAACCGAAAGGGGGAACAAGACAGGCGGGATCTTGCAGGGCAGGCGGGGGTGAAAGGGGCGCGCACACACGTCTAGCCTCTGGAAAAACGAAGAGGCATTACTGTACACATTGTGCACGTCCTGATGACAGCTGTCCAACCAACAATTAGCCCGCTGCTCGAGATAGAAAGCATATGTACAGTAACATTGCAGGGTGTTCACGCGTTCGATCCACGGTTGATCTGACGGCATACAAAAATAGCAGCTGTGATCGACGAACAAAACTCTTGCTGCGGCAAGCTCTCACCCGGTCGCTAATTACCTAACCTTCATTGGTTCGGCTGGGACAATCAGCCCCCTGGAAAAGGGGAGATGCGATATTCATGCGAAGCCAGCGTGGCGCCGCCAAACCGACAGAGCTGCTGTGTAGAGATGTAAATCCTCCTTAGCAGAAGCACCGGTGAGCGCTACAAGTGCCTTATGGATGTTTTGAAAGAGTAGCATGGACCAAAATGAACCAGACTATATAACATAAAACTGCACCAAAAAAAGGCAGCCCAAGCATATTAAAATCCGTATAGTAAATATGGTCCTTCATTCGAGATATTTATGCTGCTATTTCATTTCCCCCGCCCCTTTTCTCTCCCCCTCCCTCCTCATGAACACCCCCCTCACTCGCCGCGCCACATTGAATGCCGACAGCGCCAGCAGCAGTGCGACTCCCAGCCCTCCACGCTCTTCCACGGCGCCTGCCAGTGGTGGACGGAATGAGGGGGACGGCCCCATCCAATGCGCTGCACTGATGGACGCATGGGCTGTGGCTCCCCGGGTGAAAGCTCCCCCCACGCCACCACATGTAGCACCAGTTGTAGCACCAGCTGTAGCGCCAGTGATTCCAGTAGCACCAGCTGTAGCATGACCTGACGCGACCTCCTCAACCCCATCCGCCGACGCAATAGTCGCAAGCGGCGCAGCAACCTTCATCGCCGAAGCAGCCGCCGAAGCAGCCGCCACGCCTGCAGTCACCGCCGGACCTGCACCGTGCCCGCCTTCCCCTCCACCCCCACGAGCCGGCAGGAAAAACAGCGGAGAGAGACCCATCAAGCCGCCCACAGTGACTCCCAAAACGGCGCCGACAGTGGCGAAGAGCTGGGCTTTGGGGTGCTCGAGCTGGTGCGAGGAGAAGGTGGAGCCGGGCAGCAGCTTGGAGGAGGATGATTCTATGGCTCCCCGTGACCACGTGCCTATCACGTCCGCCACTGCATTGCCCAGACCCGCCGCCTGATGGGGGTGGGAGAAAGGGGAGGCACGCTTGAGGCTTATCAAAGGCATACGAGGGTTGGCAAAGGCTGGTTCGGGTTCCCAACCGAAGGAGCTGATGTGACTGTACAAGGGTAGTTGGAAAGCAGCTAAAGAGGGACTGTAGGGCATTATGACTTTCAGCGGACCCCAGCTGACTCAATGGGAGGGCTGACTGCTCTGCCTGCATCCCCTTTCCAAGGCTTACCATGAGCGTAGAAAACCCGAAGGTGGCTCCAAGCGTACTCGCTATAAAGTCGCCTGATATAATCATCACCGTGTTCTCTGCGAAAGAATAAAGAACCCATGAATAGAGGATGTGACCGGGGAATTGGGAAGGGGAGTGGAGGCGGGGAAAGTGGGGAAGAAGGGGTGAGAGGGGAGTGGGTGAGCATGCCAGAGTAAGTGAGAGAGATACGCTGCAGGAGAAGCTGGGGGCTACCTAAAACACCATTCTTCTGAACGTGACGACTGCTCTAGGCTGTCCATTTGTGGGATAAGCCACGTCATTATAAATTGGTTATGAGACGTCTCACAACCAGTTTATTGTCAAGTGGCGATTACCGTTACCTCACAAGCATCCAGAAAACCAGCAGTCCTAGTCACCTGATCTGTTCATACTAAAACCGATCCATCCGTGACCTAGCCCGCTTGCCGAGTCTCCCACCACCTCCCACTTTCTCCTCCCCCTGTATCTCTATCCCACCCGTCCCCCCCAGAGCGCTTACTTGTGAGTCCGAAGCCCAAGTTGCCTGCGCGCAGCGGCGCGTAGAGTCCAACATGCCGGGGGAAGGGGGGAGTGGGGGGAGGGTGAGGGGGAAAGGGGGGAGGGGTGGGGGAGGGGAGAGATAAATGGAGGGAGAAACGAGAGGGGAACGACGGGGAAGCGGAGGGGAGAGAAGGGGACAAATTAATGAGCCACGGTAGGAGAACTCATTTGCTTGTCATAACACCTCTCATCAAACTCGCATGTCTGTCTCCACACGCAATATCACACACGCACCAAGCGCCTCCTTCTTTCCGAGCAGCGCGAGCTGTGGGAAGTCAAGCGCGTGCAGCGCACAGTTCTTGGCTTGCTGCTCTCACCACAACTCACCACCGCTCACCACCGCTCACCACCGCGCGCTAGCATTCAGTACCATTCGCATGCCTACCACACATACGACCACACACGCACCGAGCGCCTCCTTCTTGGCGAGCAGCGCGAGCTGCGGGAAGTCGAGCGGGCGGTGCAGCGCGTCGATCTTGGCCTGCTGCTCGCCCACGTACTGCTCGAACTCGCCCTCGCTGATCACCCCGTCGTGATGCGCGTCCGCGTGCTCAAACTCCTCCTCCGCCTCCGCGCTGTTCGCTGCGCGCACACAGTCACGCACACGGACACAACCGAGTGAACGTCTGAGTTGAAGGAGCACGTTGAAGATTCTACCGCTGGCACCGACTGCTGGTGCTGATTACTCCGTCGTGATGCGCCTCCGCGTGCTCCAACTTGCTCTTCTGCTCTCGAGTTTCCGACGTTCGCGTATTTCGCGGGGACAATCTAGTAATGTCGACTCGAAAGGCATTCGCGTACCTCCCGGGAAGAGCGCTGTGAGCAGCACTTCGCGCCCCTGCGGGCTCAGCTGTCGCACGAGCTCGATCGCCGCCACCTCGCCGATCGTCGTCCCCTCCTTCACGCTCGCTGCAGCCGCGCGCTCCTCATCTTCGTTATGGTGCGCTTCTTTACTGTGCTGCTCGTGGTGATGGTGTTCGCGAAAGTCGTAGCTTCGCGGCTTCGATAAGAGCCGCGCGACGTCCGCCACCACCGCCCGCTGGTCCGGCTGCTCCAACAAAGGCGCTCCCGCAGAATCTGCCGACGTTCCCGCGAATGCCGCCGACACGTTAAATCCGGCTCGGTGCGGCCGTGGAGTCTGCGGGCCGCCTCGCGAGACTTTTGAACGAGAAATGGTTCGCCGCAAAACCGGAGCGGAGGGGGAAATTCGATCTAGGGGCGCCAGCCGTGATCTTTGAGAAGAAGTCGCCCGTGGCGGCGCTGGTCGATGTGTTACGCCGCGTTTCGCTGCGGCGATAGGCCCTAACGTCGCGGTCGTGGCTGCCATGCTGTCTGTTCTCTTGAAGGGATGCGCCAAGGAGCGATTGCTTATGGTGCAGCAATCGCCAGTGAATCGTCTCTTTGGGCAAAAATAAGTTGTTTCCAACGTGGAGTTCTTAGTGCCGTATGTCTATCAAACTTGTTATTCTAAGTAGAGGTGCAATATGATACTCTGTATACTACTGTCATCCGACGGTATGAGCCATATTGCTGATCCTCGACCACACGCGCAAAAGTTGCGTTCAATTTCGTTCCTCCTCGTCGTTGGGGAAGACTGCAAGCTGCGCGGACGAATGCTTCTGGGCTGCGGACCTGTGATTGCGCAAATCTGGTCTGGGGCTCTGCGGTGTGAACGAAGATTTGAAATCGAGGCGCGCGTTTGGTTCTCTCCGTTTGGGTTGAATTTGAGCTGCACGTGCGATGCAAAGCGTGCGAGCTGGTACATGGGGGATGCGAACGGGTGAGGTGTACCGCGGAAATAGGGAACCTACGCTCGTGCGACGTTGCTCATTAGTTGGGAACGGGTTGACTTTCTTTCCGCAAGCATTCCCTCATTTAGAAAGTTCAGGATTCTGCTGCGATTGGAGGATCTGTGCCGCCTTTTTGGGCTCGAGCCCGATATTTTTGCGCCAACAAGGAGTCAGGACGTGTTTTCAGGTCCCCACGCGTGTAAACGACAAATTTGACACGACCCAGCCACGCTGGTTTTCGTCTTGATCGACGCTGGCTTCCCAAGATGTCCAGTCAGAAAGTCATCACTTTCGTATGGGAAAAATTCAGGCCTTTCTTCCGAAGCTCAGTGATTCCCCGAACCTAGTCTACACCAATCATCGCTTCGTAGGTACAGGCGCCTCTCACCAAACCTCGCTTCTCTACACGCCCCCAGCCCATGATTCCTCCGCCAAGCCCCACCAAGTCCCACCAAGCCCCCCTGAGCCCCCGCTACCTCAAGCGCGAGAAGCTCCGCCCGAACATTTGCAGCTGGCACTGACTGAACAACGAGGAAATGACGGACCGCCGTGTTTGCGCGTTTTCGATTCCTTTCGG